TATAGTGGAATGCAAATATTAATATGTAATTGCATTTGAAATTGAAGAAAATAATAAAACTTAATCCAACTGTTTAGTTGCATCACAATATATGTCACAAACTAAAACTATCTTAAAAATATCTTTCAAGTATACATTATCAAAAACTGTTTGCGGCCCTTTTACAATTTCCAAAATGCAATGCGGCCCTCGAAAACCCATGAGTTTGACACTACTGATCTATTCTAGACGATTCAAGCATTGCATTGGGAAATAATATCACTTCAATAAAATTGAGAAAATCTTGCTATATTAAATACAAAATCGGTGCTATCATAAAGATAAACCGATTCAGCCACTCGAAATATATCGGGCTTCACAAAGCAATGGAGGCAAAATTGAGAGTTCATGAGCTATGAATATTTGTTCTTTTCTGTGTCTTGAACTTTTCATACTCCACAGCCCCTATTAATTTTTTTTTAATTTTAATTACCATGTAGTGGTCATACATATCTTTAACTTGTATTTTCTGTCATGATTTATTATCTCAATGTGTCAAACTATTAATTAGTGTGCATATTTTGCTTCCAGATGACATAAATGTATTGTCTTGTTTATTACCTCTGCTTGAAGTATGGACAAGAAAAAGGTGCCAATAAATTAGGTAAAAATTTTTTTTAACTCTTTGTTATAATCAGATTTCAGCCAACAATCAATGAAAATTATATTCAAAATCCCTCAGAATAAATTTGTCTAAAATCGGAGGAAGGCAAAACATATAGGTAGTTTCCATACACACAAGCATTTCAAGAAGACTTGCTCTAGCCAAACTAAATGAGCATCGTCAGGTGATCGGTAAGGCTGCAAGTTGAATTCAGCCCTGCAATCTCCTGCATAGACGATAATATTAATTAGTGGGCTATGAGCTAAATTCCTAATTTTAAACAAACCTATCTACGATGCATTATGTACCAGCAATGTTACCTACGATTAACTGAATATGTAATATGTCTAATAAATTCACCTACAAAAGCAAGTTCGATAGGGGCAAACTTTGTGTTATGGAATTGTATCACAGCACCGTTAAGAGAAGTAAAAACATTTTTGCTGTTTTGTATAACACCCTCTTTGAATGAAATTTCGATGTTTAAGCGCAAACATTAAAATTACTAACTCTGAACTTTGTCAATATCTGCAAAATGTTCCACTCAAATCTTTCCGCTATCGCGTTGTAATCTTCTCTGATAAAAAAAACGTCTATGATGTCCAGAATTGCTCTTTACAGCTTGTCTGCCATTCCAGCTTTCCAAGTGAGCAAAACTTCTTAAATATAAAGATTATTTTCTTTCGTTACAGGCGCAAAAAGGCAGGTACTACACGGAAAAAAGACGCCGAGCAGCAAAAGCGAACGGAAAACGGTCGCGAAAGGCGACGAAAAATATGTGCATTGGAGGGGTTGGAGCGTATCATGAAATACAATCTTTCGCCTGTAGTCTTATGGAGTGACGCCAGAGTTGCCTATCATGTTGTTTAATGTCATTGGTCCGACGTGCTGCAACGACTGTTTGAGCGTGACTGAATACTATCGTAAGCTTAATGCAATCTCTTGCAAACGACATTGTTACTCTTCAGGCGAGCTAGAAGAAAAAGGAATAGGTCAGAATCTGATTAAAATCTGGTCAGAATCAAAATTTCAGAATCTGATTAAAATCACATTTTTTAATTTGCTTTACTACTTGATGTGGTTCAGTTTTCTTTTCACTTCATCTTGCCATGCATTCAACTTCCGCTGTCTGTTTGTTATTAAAACTTCTATCAAGCACGATTGTATTCCGAGCATGCGCGACTAAGTCGTAAAAAACATATTTTCCACGTTTAACCATTGAAATAAATTAAATGTGACAATTGCACGGCAAATAAGCAGTGAAATAAAGTCGTATTAAAAAGCATTACCATTGAACAGTGTCGGAGTCATCCGTACCCAAGATTTCTATAGTGATGAAGAGCATGATAACCACTGTGTTACGTTAATTTTACTTTCTCAATTGAAAGAAAATTCGAATCTGTTCAATAAAGCTTTCAACTCTAGCTTCTAATTTGAAAATATGTCTTCTGCTATCCAGGGAATTAATATCGTATCCAATCCTTTTGTCTGTATATTTTCGAACGTCGTCGCTATAGCGCTTCAACAAACAAGTATTCTCGCTCGTTGGACGATTTCCATAGATGAGTCAGTTTTTCTCGTATTTACCTAATCATACCTTTTCTTTAACTTCCGCTCTGATTATGCCCCAACGTGCCCAGATATTTATATCGCGCATTTTTGCAATTAAATCGTAAAAAGTCATATCCGGATTCTGTCGAATAGCGTCATTTGCACAGCTTGAACATATGGTAAACCACGGCCTCTCGTTTGGTTACCAGTTTATATCGAGTATGGGGTTAGTTAGTCAGGTATTTTTTCCAGATGCCTGGCCCTGATGGTGGAGGAAATGCACGATATAACGAGCCGTGAATTATTTGTGAAAAAACAAAACAATGTACATTTTTATAACAAAATGGCAAATGGGTGTATCAAAAAAGAAATACAAGTTATGTGTAATTAATTCGCTGGTGAATAATATAGAAAATGAATTGTCAAAAAGTTAAAAGAACTAGTAAGGGAATACACAGTGAAGCAAGTATGACGGCCATCAAACTTAAACGAAAGCATCAAAACAAATACTAAACACACAGTGGGGAAAGAAAATTTCTTTCACAAACGTAAAAAAGTTGTGGAGACTAATTACTTAAGCTGGGTGTGTAATGAAAACCATGAAAATATCGATAAATGTTCACAGGGAATGAATGAATAGTTTTCTTGGAAAAGAGCAGTAATTGTTTTCATGGAGACAAAATGTGTTCATTAGATCACAATTCTCAATTATTGTTTTTGCTGGACGTTTTCGACAACCTATGGCAAATCTGATTCTGTGTTAGACAGAGGTCGGAGGGTATCCATCTGTTTCCTGGTGTTTCTAATCCATCTGTTTCCTGGTATTTTTGAGCATTTAACTGTGTCTCTTGTAGTAGTCTACACCGACATATTTTCTTATACTGAAGCGAACTAACTTCTTTCTAACAAGAAAAAGACTTTCAATTATGTTGATGTTTGATCCATAACAAAGCAATGTTAACGACAAGCGAACAGAAAACAGAATGACAAGTTATCGTAAGAAAAGCACGTAAGTAATCATGCGTGACAAAAACATAAACAAAGCAATTGTGACTCATAACGGCTATTAGTTAAGTGGTTCGCCACAATACCTATGCCTACGATAAGAGCCTCCAACCGCATTTTAATTTAAAACCATTGTTTCCAGACGGCGTGTGTATTTCTGCAATTCTGTACCCCGCAATACAAAACCACGTTGCGACCTTATCATTTCATCCCTAAAATGCTTTACCAGGCATTTTTAGTTTGGCGTCGAAACAAAAGCACGTGAATTGACTTCGGTGGGTGAATCTGTGTTTTCCATTTCATTGATTTGAGTTTGTCCCACCAAGTCCAGTTTAATCACGTATTGATCAATCTTCCTTCAACTTTATACAGATATAAAAACCCAAGTAGTCAGTTTTTATGCACAAGTAGGCCTACCTGTTAGTTTTAATCAAACAGCAAATGTGCCCAATCAAAGAGCTAATAACAACAATGATATTAATCAAAACGATCAATATGTACACTCTGTAGTCAATAATACAAAAATGCTACGAATTGGATAATTCCTTGAAAGTATATTTCACCCAGCCGGAGTTATACAATTTACTACCAACTCTTTGACTTCCTTTTTGTGACGGAATGGTTAACTGGCGAGAAGTGACACCTTAACCAAGGTCATCATCTTTTTTTCCCTTCTGTGGCATAACTTTAAAATCCATGTTATTTTCAATCAATCAATATGGACTATCTCAGAGAAATATTTACCCAATATTCCAAAGCTGAGTTTATAAAAACAAATTGCCGTATGATGTATAACGTATATATACACAGGTGGAGAAATAACTTGAGAATCAGGGTTGTGAAGCGCGGTGGTGTGGCTCAACGGGCTAAGCGTTAGAAATACGCTCGCCACCGCACCTCTGACTACTCTGCGTGGGTTCGCAGGTTCGAATCCCATGTAGGGATGGTTATGTGCGAGAGGATTGCTGGACTCCTCGCCGTCGTTGGGTGGTTCACGTAACCGCTGGTCGGTTACGGCTTCCTCCACCACCAAGTCCATGCTTCCGAAAACAAACAATACAGTAAATCTAATCCCATACCCGACCCGGAATGGTAACCGGACGAGAGGCCGTGGTTCGCCATATGAATAAGCCGTCTTATCGGCTTTCCTCCCCCCCCCCCCCGGGATAAATATGTAAATCCTATCCTATCCTGAAGCTTGAGTTTGAGATGTATTCCACGAAGTCGGAGCGAACGTCGTGTTTTCAAACACCTTCGATGCTAGAGTGGAAATTCCGTATTCGTCGTAGTTATAATTTCAGATTTTCAATGACCTGCATGCGGTTTTTGTTACCAAATTTTTTTTAAATTAAAATTCAATTTTACTTTTCTCGTGGAAATCGAAGTCAGAGCAAAATTTCTTTAATCCGGAGTCGGGAATCGGGAAAAATTTGCAATCGACTCCGACATCCAGGGCGAGGGTCTCGCGAAACAACGGTGTAAACGGGATGAACATTCTAGTATGATAGCTGCAGAGTTCCGAACTTGGACTTCCTTTACTCAATAACTTAGGTTTTTTAATATACCAGTGTTGGTTTTGCAGTTTTGAGCCAATTATACAAATTTCTGTAATACGGTACCGGTACCTATAGCTGAACAGCTGGTGTACCAGTAGCTAGATAGACTGAAACATGATACACAACATGATTATGATAGTCAGTACCAGAGTACGGTACTGTGATATCGAGGCCTTTGTTTCGTTTTTACAAATTGTGATGGCTGTGATAATTCGTAGTACAGTACCGGTACAGGTAATAGCTAAATTTTAAATTCAACTTTCAGGGTATTAAACTCTATCTAGCTCATGTAAATTAGATCTTTGTCAATTTGTGTGGTTGTTTAAACTTAAAGACTTTCTCAAATACCTGAATACTCGCTATTGGTCATCGAACATTGAGTATATTGGACACCTGGGCACATATCAACAATAATACATGGCTGCCGGTATCCCCAGAAGAATTATAAAGGTATTCAACATCTTCTTTCAGTTTTAATCAAATCTTCTTCACAGTTGTTTAGAAAAATACTGAATGAAACAAAAAAAGATTATGCATGCAAAAATGTTTTTGACATAAATATACCGTATAGTATATTGTCTTTAATATATTATATGGATCTTAAAGTATTATTTATCCATTTATTAACAATATAATCATGGTTGACAAGTCTAAATAATGCTTTCTAATTAGATTGCCTTGTTATTTTTCAGGAAACACAAAGATTAGTGTCAGATTCTCCACCTGGTATATGTGCCATTCCTGTTGAATCGAATGCGCGTTATTTTAAAGTAACAGTCGTAGGTCCACAAGATGTAAGTTGTAAATAATTAGGTTATATCAATCTTTTCAACTACTTGATCTTCATCAATTTATTTGGATAATGGTTAATTAGCATAGAGTTTTCTAACTAACAATCTGATGAAACAGTGGCACGAAAAGGTATTACTCGCAATAGTATTAAAGAAATGAAGTATAAGTAGTTAATCGCTTTGTATACCTAGATTCACTTTAGCACTGGGGTACACTCAGTGGTGGGATTCAAATTTTTGTCAGCCGGTTCCATCACAAAAGTCATATTTTTCAGCCGGTTCTGTTACAAAAAGTCATATTTTTTTAGCAAGTAAACTGATTATTTTAAATTACTTCCTAATTACCATTTCAAAATAATGGTTAAGTAAGCATCATTATGTCAAAATTAGCATCGAAATTTTCAATGATGTTGAGGATTGTCGATATTGCTGATTTGCTGTATATATACCGGCTCAATCCCATCACTGCTAACAGCCACACTAAAAAGCAGCAGTCGTCTCATGACTTTTACCTATGACGCAACAATTCAATTTTCAGACAAACAATCACAAAAGAAAAATTACTACAATTATAAAAGTTAACACAATGCATAACTGTTACGTGTGCGAACTTGATCATTTCACATTTTGAAAAAAAAATATGAGCTGCTTGATCCGAAAAATTGGTGTGTCAGATAAGATGCAAAAACCCATTGACAGTAACCAGTAATGCTAACCGGTTCTTTGATCTCATAAAATTCTGTAAGACGGTTCTATAGAAACTGTGCGAACCGGCTGATTCCCACCACTGGGTCATTGTGGCATATCAATTAGTTATTCCAAAATATTAGTAACGTTAGATACGAATAGGATTGGTTGAACCCTTATATCTGTGATATATTAAAATATAATGGAAGTTTTAAACAAAAATATGATAAGCATAATATAAGGTTGTGGAAATCCTTGACCAGAAGTCTAATTATGAATTGATCACGGCTCACTACTAAATGAATTTAATGATTAAAAACTTTTCTGGATGGAACAAGTTTTAAAAGTTGAGGAAAACAAGAACATAGTGTAGAAAAAGTATTGTTATGCCTAATTCGACGATTTCTGTTTACCATAATTTTCTCTATAAAAATAATATGTAACTTTAGTCGTATCATTTACAATTAATCATTTATTCTTTTTATTTGTAGTCACCATATGAAGGGGGTATATTCAAATTAGAATTATTTTTACCTGAGGACTATCCTATGGCACCACCAAAAGTTCGTTTTATGACAAAAATTTATCATCCAAATATTGATAAACTTGGAAGAATATGTCTAGATATTTTAAAAGGTGATGTCTTTTTTGATTCTTAAGCTTTGAATTAACCCTGAATTCTTTTTATGCTTGACATAGGAGACATAGGAGCATGGTTCGACGGTGTGGCACATCGTGCTAAGCGTCAGGAATACTCACACCAACGCACCTCTGATTTTCCTGCGTGGGTTCGCAGGTTCAAATTCCAGGCAGGGAGAGTTATGTGCGAGAGGATTGCTGGACTCCTCGCCGCCGCCTGGTGGTTCACGTAACCGCTAGTCAGATACGGCTTACTCCACTTATAAGTCCATGCTTCTAAAATAATAAAAATAAATGGCCAACTAATCCCATACTCGACATGGACTGGTAACCGGGGCGAGAGGCTTTGTGGTTCGCCATATGATTAAGCTGTCTTATCGGCTTTCTTCTCCCCAGGATAAATATTTAAATACTATCCTACAAATTTAGCCCCGAATGAAATGACACTGCAATGCCACTGACAATGTTAATTTAAGATAATCATGCCTGGCAAGTCAGGATGTTACAATCTTGAATCAAAGTTGAAATATTTTAAAAAAATAAAACAAAATGTCCGAATTAACATTTTGAATCCCATTTTTTAGATAAGTGGAGCCCAGCACTACAGATAAGAACGGTTTTGCTTTCAATACAAGCTTTATTAAGTGCACCTAATCCAGATGATCCTCTAGCTAATGATGTTGCAGAGGCTTGGAAACTAGATGAAAATTCGGCAATTAAAAAAGGTTTGTGTTTTTTTTTAGTTATTCTTGTGCGTATATATACTTTATTTGGGGCTTCATAAGTATGTGTACCAAAATGGAGGTAACAATTTCGTTCGCCTACTTGTGTGAAGAGACTGGAGCCTATGGGCAGGGGGTATATAGTCTCCGAACTTGTAATTGAACTAAAAATAGGGAAATTCGAAATGAAATTATAGCCTAACCCTAACCCGGTACACATACTACGGGGGTACCCTTTATTTTGTATATACAATTCATTTTTCGCTTTTGGGCCACAGATACCTTCCAAGAAACATTTTTAGTAGGCTAGTAACAACAAGTAGGCCACAAACCCATTAAAAGTTGCTGGAGTTATTGATAATTCAGTTAAACTTTGATTGTAGTAGCAATGAATGATGATTCTGTTTTTCAATTATTAAAGTGGAAATGTCTATATTCACGGAAAGCATTCTTTGTAGTTTTTCCATGTACATGAGTTAGTTGATGGGCCATGGAACTTTTTACAATGAAAGTGGGTCACAAAAGAAAAAAGGTTGAGAACCACTGGTACAGATTCTTCTTTCTCAACCACCAATACACATACACCTGGAAAGTTGATAACTGAATGAGAAACCTTGTTCGTCGATCTATCTTTTTCTACTTCATAATCAACATGAAGTGACATAGTACTAAGGTGTAATGTCTCCGCTTAAACATTGAGTATACTAATCATGAGTTATCCCAGCTCAAATGGTCATTTCACAGTTATCCTGTCCATTCCGGGCAAAACCTATAAATTTTATTTACCTTGCTTTTATTTTACTGTGCTCTTTTGTCTGAATGGCTAATAAAAAGGGGTTTATATGATTTATGTTTTATGAATGTCATATTATAACCTTTTGTCTATTTGCCACCTATCTAACTATACTTAAATTTTCATTTATTTGTAGCTAAAGAATGGACCAAGTTGCATGCCAGAAAGAATAATGATAGCTCAAAGAAATAAAAGTTCTCGGAACCTTTTTCCTTGACTCTTTGCACACTGTTTTCACCTGTGCTGCCGTCATTTCCTTATGTGTTCATGTCTTTGTTACAATTATTTTATTATTATACTATTGTGATGTGACCATTAAGAAATGACATTACATATCAGTCAGTCCTGAGTAACAACTCTGCAATCAGTTTTTTGTCTTCTCCATCATCACATCTAGTTTTTTTAGGTTAGAAATAATGGATCATATTTATGTACAATTTTAACTTTGTAAATTTGATTGAATTTAATCCCGATGATGCAAATTTGAAAAAGTTAATGTAAAGCATTTGTTTTTGATGTATTCATTGTTCAGGGTTTATTTATGCCAGTACTTTAATCATTTCATGTAACAATATTTTTCACAGCCTATTAGGATCATTCACGTATGATATAAACGCACTTGGGGTTAGTTAATTCTGAAATTTCAATGTGTAAAAATGTTCAATAATACTACAGTTTCTTCGGTTAGCTGTGATAAAACAATTTCATTGAGTGGAAGGCGAAATAAAAATCAAATTGTTGATGGGAAAAGGTTTAAAATGTCCGCATTAGATCCAAGCTTGTAATGTAACAGATTATGAAATTAAATCACCCAGTGTAAATGTGACTTGTTTGAACATAACTGGAAAGATTAATTAATTATTGGGCAAAAATTCAATCTTCGAGTATCATTCCTCTGTTTCACAGTGTAAAATAATGTGAACTGATTCGTTTGCGGCTAGATACTGGCACAAACTACAGAGTTGTACTTTTAATTGGTTCCCATAGTTATAATAATTTTATTTCTTAACTATTGTGGCTTGACTTGTTTATTATACTTGCTCTGAATGGAATTCGATAGACATTTGAGCTGCTTGTTTTGATGGATATAAATACTTCTGGTGGGCGGTAATGACGCGCAAATATAAATATTGAATATTTGGAACAAGCATGATGCGAAAAGGTTTCCACGACCTTATATTATGCTTATCATATTTTTGTTTAAAACTTCCATTATATTTTAATATATCACAGATATAAGGGTTCAACCAATCCTATTCGTATCTAACGTTACTAATATTTTGGAATAACTAATTGATATGCCACAATGACCCAGTGGTGGGATTCAGCCGGTTCGCACAGTTTCTATAGATTTCCTCTGTAGCAATCACGGTTATACAACACTGCATTGCGTTATCGGCGAATTTGGGCTTGTTTTCAGTACTATAGATAGTGAAACGCAAAGTAAGAAGGCGTCTTATTTCCGGGTGATGCTACTGAATAGGTGAATCAGCGATGTAGTCAAGACTTTGGCGCGATGTCGTAACCTGTATTTTAGTCAAAGTTGCAAGAAAATATTATTTCAAGGAATTCAATTTAATTGCTATTTCATCAAGCCATATGATATAAATTTAATTTTGATCTATGTTAACATAACGTAGACAGTTTCTTTAATCTATTTTTGCCAGCCACATCTTTCGGAAAGGTGTGTGAATATACAAGTTTATAAAAATAAATGATAATTTGTTGAAGAGAAAAGTTTCCATAAGATTTGTTATGTGTGTACTCGTGCACTTGAGAAATTATATCTTACATGCGCAAAACATATATACCACAAACATATATTGAAAAAAACTGAAGAGTTACGTAGGGGAAAATCTATCGTCGTGGCATAATGACATTGCTTGACAAGTTGAATACTAAACTATGAATCAGATGCCGTGGGCAATGAGAAATAATCGAGCAGCGTGCAAATTGTTCCTGAAATATCGGATCCCGCAGGGCTCAGTAGTAGATATGATAAAAGAAGGTAATTGTTCAGTAGCGACTTCTTTCATCTATGGGTATAGGAAAATTGAAATCGATTGGCCCATTAGTTGCTGGAAAAAACGATTTTTCAAAATAACAATCGCCTTACAACAATTTAGCAAACAGATCCACTCCGTATCCAATTCCCTTGCTGGCGGAAGGTCGTCAACGTAACCGCTGGTTCTTGTATTTGAGACAATAAATTGGTAAAAAAGAAACAGTACTGGGGTACATATGCCCCCGGGCGTCAAGGTACAGGGGCGCCAGAATGGGTCTTCCCCAATTCTCACACAACAAGGGTAAAAAAACGGTCACAAGCAAGATCCCACCGGCGCAGACATCTAGTCTTAGTTCTGTGCTGGAGACAAATGGCAACGGAATTTGGTTGAATGATGTTAATACATGTTTTGAGTAATACGTGGTTTTGTATTTCGTGGTTGTCAAAGTAACGTACTTTGCGGCAGAGTTACATAAAATATATTATACTGTGCTAAAAGACCCCAATGCCTTTTTCGACAATTCGTCGAGATTGCACAGATTTTGCAAATTTTTGCGACACGGACATCAATGGCCACAAACTTTTCCCCGAAATTGGAGATTGCAGAATGCTGCTCAGTAACAGAACTGAAGGTCAACCAGAAACTCTTTTGGCTCCTCTTGGTTTTATTGTGTTTTTTGGAGACGACGTTTTACCCAATCTGCGAATTTCTCTACAAATTTTGTTAACAATACCAGTTTCAATTGCAAGCTGAATTCATCAAATTGAAACATATTTTGTCGTATTCGCGTGCATCAATGGGACAGGATTGTCTCAGTGATCTTGCACTTCTAAGTGTTGAAAGAGAAACATTGAAAAAAAAAACAGATTTTGATGACGTGTTAACCAGTTTGCGACAGTGAAATAAAATAAATTTATCGTAGACTATGTAAATCATCTTTGAAAGTAACTGAGTGGGACATATGAACAATCGAGCAGCGTGCAAATTGTTCCTGAAATATCGGATCCCGCAGGGCTCAGTAGTAGATATGATAAAAGAAGGTAATTGTTCAGTAGCGACTTCTTTCATCTATGGGTATAGGAAAATTGAAATCGATTGGCCCATTAGTTGCTGGAAAAAACGATTTTTCAAAATAACAATCGCCTTACAACAATTTAGCAAACAGATCCACTCCGTATCCAATTCCCTTGCTGGCGGAAGGTCGTCAACGTAACCGCTGGTTCTTGTATTTGAGACAATAAATTGGTAAAAAAGAAACAGTACTGGGGTACATATGCCCCCGGGCGTCAAGGTACAGGGGCGCCAGAATGGGTCTTCCCCAATTCTCACACAACAAGGGTAAAAAAACGGTCACAAGCAAGATCCCACCGGCGCAGACATCTAGTCTTAGTTCTGTGCTGGAGACAAATGGCAACGGAATTTGGTTGAATGATGTTAATACATGTTTTGAGTAATACGTGGTTTTGTATTTCGTGGTTGTCAAAGTAACGTACTTTGCGGCAGAGTTACATAAAATATATTATACTGTGCTAAAAGACCCCAATGCCTTTTTCGACAATTCGTCGAGATTGCACAGATTTTGCAAACTTTTACGACACGGACATCAATGGCCACAAACTTTTCCCCGAAATTGGAGATTGCAGAATGCTGCTCAGTAACAGAACTGAAGGTCAACCAGAAACTCTTTTGGCTCCTCTTGGTTTTATTGTGTTTTTTGGAGACGACGTTTTACCCAATCTGCGAATTTCTCTACAAATTTTGTTAACAATACCAGTTTCAATTGCAAGCTGAATTCATCAAATTGAAACATATTTTGTCGTATTCGCGTGCATCAATGGGACAGGATTGTCTCAGTGATCTTGCACTTCTAAGTGTTGAAAGAGAAACATTGAAAAAAAAAACAGATTTTGATGACGTGTTAACCAGTTTGCGACAGTGAAATAAAATAAATTTATCGTAGACTATGTAAATCATCTTTGAAAGTAACTGAGTGGGACATTATGGACCTATGCTATACTTTGTATAGCTTTGCTTCTTTTTTAAATAGAATGTTCCATTGAAATTTGAATACACATATACATATATTTTTGAATTTACATATATAATTTGTTTTCACATATACAAGTAAATGTAATAGAAAATCTGATTGAACGTGGAGGTCGGGGCGCCAATTTTATAGTTTGCCCCGGGCGCAAAATATGCTGGCTACGCCTCTGATATCTATCACCACCCAAAACGAAAAGGTTAGGAACATACTGCTCGTTTATCAAGTCCATGCTTCCGAAAACAAATAACCGGCTAACTAATACCATACCCGACATGGACTGGACCTCGGACGAGAGGCCGTGGTTCGCAATATGATTAAGCCGTCTTATCGACTTTTCTCTCCTCCGGAATAAATATGAGTTCATGCAGAAAATGACGTCATAATTGCCGTGCTACCGATCAGCTGCTAAGAGTGCTGTAGTGATTCCATCGTTGGTTTGAGGAGACAGGAAGATGAGTATTTGTGTTTGTTTTGTTTGTGGTAACAAAATGCTGGAAAATACAGCAGAATTGCTTTATTCACGAGTTCGTAGTCCTTCTGCGCAATACAAGTATGGGTGTCCTTTCTTTCCATTTCTTGAATATCATGATCCTGCGCCAGGTGCGGAACGAATGAGCGATCACTGGTCAGTTGTATCTTGCCAGGTTTGCAAAGCTTTTCTTACACAACAATGGGATTCTTTTGAACGAACACACGTGCCTATTAACAAGAGACTCTATTGGCTGAAAAGACCAACAGGATGTGAAATTAGGCAGCCGGTTTCTCAGGTAGACTATGTTACTTTCAGGCCAAGTATATTGAGTCAATACCAAAACCAAATAATTTTCAATCCTCTGTTTCACAGAGGATTGCACCTATGGAATTTTTTTTTACGGATATTTGAACCCATACTAACCCTAACCCATGGGTTTTAGTACCCCTATGTAGATTGAACACATGGGTTCAAATGTACGGTCACCTGTTTCCGTAGTTGATAATAATTTTATTTCTTAACTATTAACAGTATTGCCATGTTGACCTATTTTTAATATTTGCTCTGAATAGAATTTGTTGGACATTTGAGATGCTTGTTTTGATAAATCAAATTAATATAGTCTTCCTTGCTTCTATTAACCAATTTTATTATTTATTGTGCTATATTCTTCCAGATCGAACTCGAAGAGATTTTGAATGAACACTCAAAAGAAAATTCAGATAACAAAAAAGACTCAAGTAGAGCATACAATTCAGAATCATCGGATGACATGCATAGGAACCGTGCTAACTCAAGGCAAATTGAAGAAGATCGATTTGACAAATGATACATCTAATGTGGTATTGCTATGAGATCACCAGTAGATTGATATTGAGAATGAAATTTAATGAATTGATATGCACAAACTGCAAACGCGGAAGAAAATTCTTCCTAAACGAATATGGTACATTATTATGCTGTTTGTTAGATTCATAGCCCACACTTCATTCCCAATACACCGTCCTATTCGAGTAGCAGTTGCAAAGCCTTTAAGGTGCCAGTCCTCATCCATTTAAAAAACATGCGTCTCACTGTTTATGACTCAAGCGAGAAGAAGTGTTGACTAAAATGCAAATTATCCATGTACTACTTCTCACCTGTTTTGTATTGTGGTAAGCAGTAAAAGTCTGAATTTTCTCATTCGGCTCAATAATAATAAGCCAAGTTCTATTTACTTATAAATGCTTTTGGTAGTCTCTGTTATGGACATTAATTAGAAGGCCCATTCCAAATACTTCCATGATGTACGAATGTATGAAAATGTTTTTATACCTTCTAATAACAAATAATTTTTATGCTGCTTATTTTTAATCCTTTGCTTTTTTTGCTGGTACTTTTTTATTTTAACTTTGCACTATTTGTTGATTGTTTTTCCCTTATTTTGTACCTTTTCATAAAATACTTATATTTCTATTATTATCAGTGGTGCTTTGCAAATTAACACAGATTGTGCTCGTCTATCAACCCGGATGAGATTGAAATATACGAATTGGTTAGAACTTTTTTAAGCCATCTTATTAGCCGAAGGGCTGCTGCTGGCAAAATATATTTTAATACCACCAGACTGAGATGATGAACTCATCAATAATATAATAGCCAGCGACTCATCATTTAGAGTCAAGTCTTGTGAGATTAGATTTCTTAAAGCAGCAGCTTGGATCAGTTACAATGCATGACTTGGAATGGTCTTAAACAATTGATACTACAATAACTTCTGGTATGTAGGATCTGCCGCTAGGAGCCGCTACAGACTTTTCTCCGCGACAGTGCTTCATTTAATATCAGGACCAGACCCTTTCGATTTTACTTGTATGTTGGTTGCTTTATTCTCGACTGTTTTTTATGGTTAGCATGGCTATGCAGAGGCTGGTCTCAAGGAGTCTTAAAGTATGGTGGACACAACATAAAAAGAAAGTGGAATCCCCTCAACTCAGCAATGTCAGTTCACATTGCAGGTATTTGAACAAATAATCCAAGATTGGAATCTTGTAAACTAAGAAATGGTCATATTCTTCCAAAGGTATGCACGTCTCAGAATTGAACATAAAGATGCATAAATAGTTACTTTATTTCAACTACAGGGAAAAAAATCGTGAAGATTCACATGGTAGATAGCAAAATATCAAACCAGACATTTCTTGTGCAGCAGCTATATCTATAATAAGATAAGAGACTGATTGACGTCGTTAACTAATTAATTAATAAAACCTAGTGTCATAGTTTTCATTACCTAACAAAAAAAAAAATCTAAAAAGAGTATCGGCTGATTATTGCTGGAGCAGTGTCTTTGCCTTGTTTAATCCTTGTTGTGAATGTTCTTCTGTTATTCTCTGCAAGCGTTCAATCTCTGAACGAAATGATGTCTCATCTTCAACGGAGAGACTCAATCTAAAAAAAACATCTTCAACTCAATTATCACAATAAAAGGGTTGAAGCATTGGTGTCATAGGCTGAAAATTCGCATTGAAACCCTATATGTAGTAATAAACAGGGCAGGAAATGGAGAACTGGAAATGTTTTGGTCCTTCCGAAGTTGATAGATCCTTGTACAGCAGGGGTGGGAAATTACTTTTCTGAGTGGGCCAGTTACAGATAATAGACTTGGTTAATGGACCGGATGCTCAAAACTAAATATGAACAAAACGAGTTCATTTACAAATAACCAGCGTAACAGCTACGTACAACAAACGGCTGGTGTACCAAGTGGCACATTATATTCAGATGCAGTTAATACGAGAGAATTACGGTCTATATTTTAGCTGACGACTCGTTATTTTCGTCGCAAATTTATATCCATAAAACTATAGTCATAATTTCTACAACCACACGTGGGTCGGATAAACACTTCGGGGGGCCAGATTCGACCCGCAATTTGCCCACCTCTGTTGTTCAGGATCAAAATGCCCCATGAAAGAAAAATAACAAATGAAAACATACTGTGGCATATGATCACTGGAGTTGCCATGGAGTAAAGCCCAAAATAGCATTCCATGAGGAAAAACGGGAATTCAATCTTTTTGACAATGTTGATTTGGTTTTCACAAACCACCACTGTATGAATATAGTTATAGCAATCTTTGATGATGAGCATGAACTGATGTATAAATGAACAACTACGGCTTCATACATATTTTGTGATGGGAAGAGCCGTGACATCATCCCTTCTTTCTAATCAAATTTAATACACCCCTGGTTCAATACACATGACTGTATTCCACACTCACTCAGAAACTTCATTAAAAAGATGCATTGGATCAGCAACGTCTTCTACACCACAATTGCGAAAAAATTTTGACATATTTTGACAATCTCTGAATAAAAACTCAAGTCCACGAGGATGATTTGGCTCAACAGATTGGCTCACATCAATGACCCATACCTGTCAAAACAAATAAAAAAATTTAATTTTGAGGTAAAGACACAAATTTCAATACAAAATATAGACTGAAGTTATACCTTCTGATCGTTCCATAATAAGTTGTATTCACTCAAATCTGCATGTACCAATCGACAAGTGTGATACAGTGTGTGCATTATTTGCTTCACCTGTAAAAAAGACAATATTTTATCTTATTATTTGTAGAAAATTATAACTCTTCAACAATTTTGTGGGTACTCCTGTAGTGTATGTACCACCATAATTTTATTCTGATTTTCCTTATTTTAGTTTAATTACGAGTTCAGGGACTGTCTGTGTTAGCCAAGTGAATATACCCCCTAACCATAGGTTTCAGTCCCTTTATACAACTCGATGTTGAGAAGGCAAACAAAATAAGTTACATCCATATTAGTACACACACTTCTGGAGCGTCGTTTTGTATACGAGTGAATACTAGTTTCCAGTAGAATAAGATAATGGTTAAAATTGAAAAACGTTTCAAACAGTATATATTTCTGAAAATTCTTTTTTACAGAAAAAAGGGGCATACATATATTTTTACTATGCCTTTGCACTGGTGGATTTGAATTTGTTCAATGCAAAGATGCTGCAGCAAGAATGAAGAAGACTATATATAGTTTCGGTGCATAATTTTCGATGAATCCATCTGACTTGTATTTTTTATTATGACCAATAAACATGTGACAAAGCGAATTCTACATTGTTTTTTAAAAAAGGTTGCATACCTGACTATAAGCACTTTTTCTTTGAGTACTTGAAAGCACAGCATCTTTTAATTTAGGAGCAGGATTTTGACCAACACCAAGAAATGACATAACAAGAACATGTTTCTTCAAAAGTATGACATCAGGACATGAAATCCCAGCAGCCTGAAAAGTAACAAAACAATTTGTGATAAGTGATTTCCATACTATGTGAAGCTATTTGGCCACTTTAAAAGGTGACCAAATAAAACACCTACAAATTATTACTCCTACGACAATGTACTATCAAAGTGTATAATTGAAATGACTTTTGAGAGAAAAGGAATCAGAAGTTTCATTTATTCAGATGTGCCATCCATATTTCGATGTGGATAAACTAATAAAATCAAAAAAAAAAAAAAAACCTTAATTCGTAGCAGATTTCTCATCTCCTTTTCTGCCCACATGTGGATAATTTTCCTTGGATTTAATTTCTTGAATCTATCTTTGAATCGATAATCGTCTTTTATATATTTATCTCTCGTGCGAAACTCATTCAAGGTTGTCTTATATACCTGATAAAGATGAATGAAAAAAATATCCAAATCGCAGAACATAATATATTGATAACTGCAGGGTAAACATCAGAATTTTCGATCTAAAAGGGATTGCCCTCTTTTTTTCTCATCAAACTATCCCACAAAATTTAAATTTTTGAACCTTTCTTATAATGAAATTGCTTGAACATAAGTAGCACTTGAAAATATGTGGAAATAATGATAATCTGCACCCATAGGCAATTCAAAGAATTATCCTGGAAATTTGAAGTATATTGCCAGATATAATAGGTATAATGAAGAAAAAGAGCAACTAGGCCAGGGGTGGGCATTTATTCGGCACGCGAGCGAGGCCTCAGAAACGAGATCATTCTCTTTTAGATAAAAAGTTTCGAGGCTCTGATTTATCTGACGAAGCTTTGTTTATTCATTATCGTTTGTTAACAATCTGATATTCATTCAAAATTTTAAACTCGTTTTGTCTTTTCATGACATATGGCTCCAAAGAAATATATTATGACATAACAACTGAGTTAGCTCTTTATGAATTGTGACGAGACAGGATTTATTGGGGGTTCATTGTCACGTAATATATAGTCTGTGCCACCATTTTTCTTCATTTCTGATTGATTTATGAAGTTGTACAGCTCATGTCGGTTAGAGTTACGTACTGAAATAAATTGATTTCGAAAGAAATATAAGCAAATATAAGGGAATACAAGAGAGAAGTGCAGAAAACGAACTATCGCGTGATTGGGAAGCCATTCCCGAGAATTTTTCGTGTTTCAAAAACTTTGCAACTGCCTGATTTTATCCACATATGCTTGTGACTTTCTGTTCTCAGTTATGAACTTTATCAAGTCTCATAACAGGAGTAGCCTGAAAGATGAAACCAGTAGTTCGTAACTTTTTTTCAATGTAAATCTCTATCAACGGCAATGCAGTAGCAGAAGTCCCTATTATATAGAATAAGAAAAGTAATCAAATCTATTTGTCGGACTGATATTTTCCGGAATAGTGAATCTGTCTGTAGCTTACATGTTTAGGTTTATTATTGTGTATTTTTGCTTTAAAAGTAACAAAGCATTGTTTTTAATTTTGGTCGGCACACGGAAGAATTTTGTCGTCAAATTCAGCCAATTTGGGCACGCGAGCCCGAAAAGGTTGCCCACCCCTGAACTAGGCACATCCTTAAATATATAGGGAGAGACATTACAATTTTTACATACCTTAATAGCACATTCACTCGGTACTTTTGCATCTTTCACTAAATCAATTGCTGTCTTTTTTTGACTTTCATCCAACAGTCCTGCATCACCACCATCAGCATGTATTACAACGGATTCCTTCCCTACGCTTATGACACCATTAACAGAAGCTAATATGCCATGATTGACAAGACGATACAGTATAAGTCTTGTTTTTTCATCAACAGCATGCTCGGTTGTGTAGTGCTCTTTGGGTTCATGGATTCTCTGACTCCTGATCCAAAGTAATAAAAGATTTAAGAAATGAGACTAATTATATTTATTTTGTTTGAAAGACAGGGAACTCGAAAATGTTGATATACACTTATTTAAGTCATTGTCCCTCCGTTCACTATTCCAAACATATGGCAATGCAAGCACTGTTAACATTTTAGGCCCGTAATGCGGCCCACCAAAGCATTTTGTGCGGGGCCTTGCAGACATCCGCAGGCAACTGGTCTGATACTACTGATTCGAGTGAAAATAGTTTCTACAGTTATTGTCTTGAACAGCTTCATGTCAAAACTTATATCAATTAGCACTCCGAATAGCTCATGGTATTTCAGTTGTTGCCGTAAATTTGCTCATTCAAAGATGAGTCCTATTTATATCCGAGTCTATTGTGTGCGGCATTGCTTTTAGCAAAATCAATTCAAAGAATTTCAAAATTGGAAAGTATTCTGGAAAATTTAAAGTTTAGATAAATAAACTGTAACTTTGTTTGGGCTGTAATATGTATCAGGCAAAATCCTGATAATCGTAGATTCATTATTTTTGAAAATCACACAACTTGGATCCTCAAATATCAGGTTTTTAAATAGCATTCTAGTTCTAATTACAAATATATAAAACTAATTAAAATTTCTAAAACAAACTAGAACCTTCGTTGTTCACTAAAAGCATGTTGTTTCAGTGAGTTATATATTTTATTTGTGAGTTGCAAGTCCATTCCTCTTGCATCACCACTCAGAAAACCAGCTGGGAAGGAATCTTCCATTCTGGCAACATTACGTCGACTACATATTTCCTTGTCATGTTTTGTGACTATTGTATTCCCTGAAACATGTGAATGGAGATTATAAGTGAAGTTTCCATTATCACAAGTGACATGCAAAAATGCCAGCATTTAATCAATATAAAGCACTATTACTAAATACTAAGATAATAATTAATAAGACATATTTCATTGTTTCCATATTTTATTCAGAATAGATTTATTTTCCCCTTAGCGATATCACACTTAATTATATGTTGGGCTTTGTCAAATTTTCTTAGTTTTTCGCTAACATACAAGGGACACAGCATAAACTATTGTTTCTCAATGATTTATTTATTCTCGTAATGATTGAACCACTGCGGCCTAAAGTAATTTGTGACAAATCCAAAAAAAAGTAAATACAAGATGGAAAAGTATATTTTAAATCAAATTGACAAAATGACTATGGTTTTTGGTATGGTATGGAAAATGGTTTTTCATATGACGCATATATCATGTCATGTCATTACCCACCCAACTTATTACACCCTGGATGAGATGAACCTGAGTAGTGTAACCTGCAATGCCAACAAATGTAAGTCTAGTATTTTAGCTGCTAAGATATCACAATCTCTTCATGATATGATTTATCTATATTGAATAAAATCGAAATCACCAGAAGATTTTGTATGAGACATAAAATTTTCATCCATATCATCATCGTCGTCGTCATCATCTGAGTCTTCTTCTGCTGATGAGGTAGAAGTTTTTCCACCACTTGCTCTGTACTTATCAAATGATAATTTTACCTGAAACAGAACAATATGAGATAACTCTACAAAATCTATATAAGAGAATGAGTTCTCACAAGGGGGAAAGACATATATATATATATGAGCTACCCTCGTAAATGTAGGGGGCAGCAAAACTCGTTGCTCTGGAGTTCTGCCTTGCAACCTACAGATCATATACTATCACAAAAAAGCATAAAAATGAACCAAAAGGGAAGGTAAAATATGTCATGAGTTGACTGATCGACAGTATAATGAGTCATTAGAATTGGCAAAAAGTATTACGTTCTCTACACATAGACAAGTATAATATTACACTGAATGACGATGAGGAAAACTCAATTTCTGGTATTGTTAACTATTGAGTAAATTCCAATTTCATGAAGGGAAACTCACACCATTTCAACTGTATGTTCAAGGTTTAATGCAGAGTTTCCCAAACTTTTGGTGACACGAACCCCTATTTGTAAATCTTAGTTTTGACAGACCTATCTTATCTATGCCGTATCAATTTCGGTGCCTAATCAACGAAGAAGGATAATGTTTCATTTACAAGACAAATGACATTAATGTGATGGATGAGGTTGCTTTTCACTGCACCATTTATCGATTCTTGAAACCCTGGTTTAATGTCTTTGCCGAATCACTATGTCAATTGTTCTATAATGCATTATTGAGTAATACAAACATATATTAAACTTTGGAAGTTAAATCAAAGCATCCTTATCATAAAAAAACAACGATTATGAAATATTACTCATTGATATATAGTATTCCATCCAACCTTTGAATACTGATTAACTCTTGATTCCTCTTTTGCTATATATTCATTATATTCTTTGTCCATTTCTGCTTGTAACATGAGAGCAAGTGCTTCATCACTGGATGTATCAGGAAAACCATCTCCCAAAACAATAGGTTGCTGATTTGATGTTTCTAAATATAAAAGAATTATTTTTGAAGCAGTTTGTGCAATGAATTTTGAAATGTCCCAAAGTAACTTGTTAGGTTTGCAGCTTGGAAATAAAATGTTGTTGTTACCATTTCAAGGAAAATTCGTACCATAATTAAATTGATATTCGAGCACTCCAGCCCAAAATGGCAAAACTTGGAAAAGCTATTCTACTCTGTTACTTTTATTATTTTTATTTTGGTGAATACTTATTGCTTCAAAATATCCTTGGAAATAAAAAAAATTTTCTATATTTTAATTAAACTTTTATTAAAAATCCAACATTACCCTATTTTAAAAATTACCATCTGTATCAAAATGATTTATTCACTATTGTCTTATTTCTCACCTGAACTTGTGCATTCACATATCAATTTTTCATTCTAAAATAATAACTCCAATTCACGGCCTCCAACACTATTAACATGACTACGGTAATCTGATAAATTTCATTTCTGGTTTCTTAAACAGTGATCCAGTATCTTACCAATATCATCTATCGGTTCTTTGAAATCATCTTTTATAGTTTGATATTCTTCTTGAACAATGGAGTCTGCCAATTGTTCACTCATTACATCAGCAAATGAGATAAGAGGCTCCATACGATTAGACCAAGATCTTCCTGATCCAGGTGACTTTCCACAAGTCATATCAGGTGTAGTTAGAACACTGGTGTTTGGTGTATCCACTGCTACTGTTTCAATTACTTTAGTGCTGGAGGCCATAGTTCCTTGTTGCCAGATTTTCATAGAATGAAATATATAAAATGTTTTCCCCTATGACCCCCCACCTGTTACTACCGTACCAGTATATATATTTAAAGATTGAAATGATGGAAATGTCCCTAAACCTATCGCCTTTTCTGAAAAAAAAATGGAGCAATAATAGAAAGTTGCAAAAATAGTTTATCGCAGTGAAATGGTAGTTTGTAATGATCATTAATGGAGTATAAATATGATTTCTTGTTTATCCTGACAAAATTGAAGACAGTAAAAGAACTTCATGAAGCCAACAGTGAGATCAGTCAGTAAGGCTGGAGATGCCTCCTAGCTTAGTGTCTCAAATATACTTATGAGGATTAAACAACTGATTGCACCAAGGCATTGAGACAGGGTTAAGAGGTATTAAGTGATTCATTATAATAATATACAGTAGATGCAGTGTATGGTTCCATCGTTTAAATCTGGTATGTGATAAACGCTGGTGAAATACTTGCTGGACTCCTCACCATCAAAAGGAAATTTACACTCCTGCTAGTCGGTTTTATATGATCTTAGTAGCTTATAGCATAATTCAGTGGTCATCTGTGACATAGCTCTTGATGACAGTTTGTCTTTTTTTACGTGCGAGATCTAGCTTTGAACAAAATATAAAAAGACTCGTAGCATAAACTTGACACGATTTAAGGCAGCCCAATCAAGTTATAAAATACACAAGTGAATAATTACCAGCGATGCATTTTCCAACATGATTTTATGATACATTTGTAATTTTAGATTGACATTGCTCTTTACAGAAGAAGCATAATTAAAATATTAAGTACATAATAAATTCTTTATTCCTGCTACAGCAATCTTGCATAATTATACGCACATAATGGGTCCACTGATGCAAAGGCAGAGAGGAGGGACAAAAAATGGTCTCGCGTAACCCCAACACCCCGATTGATAGAAACGAACTATTGTTGTGCACAAGTAGGTAATTTTTCAGGTTCCTCTTTCTGTTCCGTTTTTTTCTTTGCTGGTGAATCTTCATATGTTTCTTGTTGTCGGTATGGCACTGCATAAACAATTTCTTTAGGATCAAAGTGGGTTAGATCAAACTCTTCTAAATCTTTACTTGCGATATCAGGGCTCGTTCGCTTAGGAAGATAATTTTCTATATTTTGTAAAACGGACAAATCTTCAAACTTTTTAGGAAATAGAACATTAAACATAACTATAAGATCTCCCTTTGCACCAGTTTTGGAGTTTAACACCGGCATGCCTTCATTTTTCGCACAGAGCATATCGCCTGTCCTTATTACTGTTCCTGGTTGTGTCTTTAACACAATTTTTCGACCATCAAGATGTGTAAAAACAAGTTTCAAACCACATAACGCATTAGTTATAGAAATATTCTTTTGTATATACAAATCATGTCCACATCTTCGAAAGTTACTATGTGGTTGCTCTTTTATAGTGCAAACAATGTCACTTGCCGCATCTGGTTGATTAAGCATTGTATCACCTTCACCCTTTATCCAAATCTGATGCCCATTTCTTGCCCCGCGAGGTATGGTAACAGCATGGTATTTTTCTTTCTGAAGAGTCCCTTGCCCAAAACAAACATCACATGTAAGAAGTCTGAAGCCTTTACCATCGCAATTCGTACAGTTGTTTAAAATTCCTGGATCGGACCTTCCGGTGCTTGAGCATACAGCACAGCTGTGCTTCTTAATACCACGCGCGCAAGAGGTACATGGTGTTTTTTTGTCTGCGCGAATTCTGACACTCATTCCTGTGTACAATTTATCCAGTGATATTTCAATTTGATGATGTACATTCTGTGGTTTGTTTGGATTTGCATTGACCTCTGCTATTTTTATCCAATCAGTTTTCAATGCATCTCGTCCAAGTAATGATTTAATTTCCTCTTGAATAGCTGCCATTTTTCTGAAATACATGAAGTTGTTACATAGCCATTAGTTACTACAAGTATCAATCTAAATTAGTAGCTAAGGCATTTTAGTGTCAGCCCTAACTTTGCTTAGAAATCAGTCTAATTTACTTCCGAGGTAGCAAGACCTAGCTTTGAGCAAAAAAAATTGAAGTACGACATACTCTTGTCAATTAATATCACATGAGCGGATAGATTTGTAACGACAGTACTAGCCCTCTGAACAACAATGATAGGTTTTAGACAATATATAATTATAGGCTTATAAGAAAATTCCGAAATATTTCCAGTAATGTAATTATGAACAGAATATGTCTTCATTTTTTTTTAAATGAAAAATAACATAAATATTATATTACCAAAAAGAATTATCAACAGTACATTATTAATATGATATACATGGTTTTACATCCAAGGAAGAATTCGTCATCATCTATTTTTTTCCATAATTCATATACCGGGGTACCGGTAGGCGGTAATCAGCATCATTTATACGATTACAATATTATTATTATTAAGATGAAGCATGTAAAAACAAGTTTTTCGAATTATTATATATCTACCAATTACATACACTTATATGAATAGACATTTGTATACATATTCTTCTATAGGTATACTTCTATTATACTTACTATAAACTTAGCTCTCTTTTGAAATTAAGTAATTTCCTATGTTGCTCTACTTTATTTTGACATTTTAAAGCATTTTTCAGTTTTTAACAGTGTTTATTAAACTAACACTTGGCATCACATTTTAAAAAATTACTGCATTTCGATGCAACCAAATCTCATATCTAGTATAGTAATACACAATAACAAAATAATAGCATTTCCTCTAACTTCCTACTTAAATTGTGTGCAATTAGTTAGGTAGTTAAAAACAACTGTGCGTGTGATGAGCGAGACGTCATGTAATAGACAATACGTTTATTTCGACGTGCAAGAAATCACTACACAAATTCAGAATAAGAAAAAAAAATTATGCATTACAGTAACGGATTTCATTGCAATTGACTGGAAGTCGCGATAGACCAGAAATGGTCATCATAAGTCAGCGACACCAAGATTTAAAATGAGTCAATAAAAAAATTGAAATAAAAGCAATAAACACAAAGAGAAACTTAGTCCCTCAATAATTTACCAACAAGGTTGATATGAATCTTCATACATGATTTGGGAGAGATAGTAAAATGAAAGTCGGGAAATTCAATTGATACAGTAGGCTAATTTGCATGGGAACTGGGGCGATATAATGAATCTAGAAGCAGTTCAGAGGAAGTTTACAGCACAAATAAGCTGCTGTGGAGGACAGAGTTATGAGAACCGCTTGAAGGTTTTGGGACTGACAACATTGTTAGAAAGAAGAATGAGAGGTGACTTAATAGAAGCCTTCAAAATACTAAATGGTTTTTGTACATATGGGCAACAATTTTTCAACAAGTCTCCTAGAACTGGTAACCTTGTAAGACAAAATCAGCATTCAAAATTGAACTTTTTTGGGAACAGGGTCGTAAAATACTGGAACAGCTTACCATTAAATGTGACGTCAAGTGCATCTGTGAATATTTTCAAACACAATTTGGATAAATACAGAGATTCCCAGGTGTCCAACCCAAGTACACTTGGACAATACTGGGAATTGTCAAATATGATATTGGAGAGAATTAGATAGTCCAGTTTTCGACATTTGTGTATTAAATGGATTAGCAAAGCAATACTATTTGGGTAATTGTCTAATGTCCTTTCCAGTGCTTTCACTAGTCATAATTTGTCTAGTCTTAATTGTAGTAATTTTTGTGATAGACTACTGTGATACATTGTTTTTATACAGGTGTTATAGATGTTTATACCGTGGTATATTTATATTGTAGATTTTGAAGTTGTACTAGGTCTGTAGGTGTGAAACCCAAAGAGGTATTATTTGTTCAATTATAAAAATAGTTCACCATATCATTCAGCTGTGCTTCTGTACAATTGCATCGATTAAATTCTTATCTATTGTCATATGCAACATTAAATCGAGCGATTATTTTATTTGATGAGAAATATTAAATTATAGGCAACCTCCTTGTACAAAATCGAAGGCGCAATTTATACTCCATGACAACCAGCCACATGAAACTTTCAAGGAAGAAAATAAAATTTAGCCCAAGGTCAAAGTTACGCGCATATATCGAGATCGGACTCCACACACTTTTTGGTTTTGGTTGGTTACCGGTAGCTAGGCCTAGTTAGTTTGTAAACAAACAACTGTACACATTATTTGTAGATGAAAATGTGCAAACCTATGCTGGCGCTTCGTGCTAAAATATATGAAAAATCGAGTGATTGCAATAAAATCGACTCTACCGGTACCGACATATAACGTCTACACAATTAACTTGACAGAACTTAGTGTGAACATCGATTGTCAGTTCTCAAGGTTTACCGGTACAGTATTACTGCAATCTAAATCCTGCACGACAATGGCGCAATGTATATTTTTCCGACCCTTGACCCTAGAAAAAAATGCTCAGGGAAACGTCACCTTTGACATATTGATCTTACCTGAGAGAGATTCTTCATTATCACAAACAATGTCAACAAATAGAAATAAAGGCAAATGGTCAAACTTTCTTCTTAATTTTCCTTTTGAATGATGAAAAATCACCCACACTCGCTAAACTCAGTTCAGCAGATAGTTAAACTGCAGCTCGCGAAATTGTAGCAAGTAGTGTCTATCTACTTAACGTCACAGAAATTAAAAGTCAATGCATGGCTAACTGTTGAATATGGGTCAAGGTTAAATCGTAGTAGTATATATTTACGGTTAAAACCTAATCTGACATATAAAGAAATTTTAATGTGGGTAGGGCAAAACCAAGGTATAAACTGTGTTTTACCGTAAATATATACTACTACCGGTTTTACTAAGTTCAAGATATTATATTTATAAATGTAAACTACGTAATGAGAGGCTTCAATTTGATCAATTTTTATATATGATAAAAAGTATTTTCAACTGTGAAAAATTTATTTCCACCAAAAAATGTAAACTGTCGAATCATGTAAAAAAGTGGAAAATTATCATGAACTCATTTTTTCAAGTGCAATTGTATTTATATGTTATCGTGTGTATAAAAAGTGATGTTTTTAACAATAAAAAACAAAAACAGAAAGTAAACGGTATAGAAAGGTAAAAATGAAGAAGCAATAGAACATTTATAATAAAAACAATATATAAAATATTCAATCATATTTTAGTTATAACTTATGTTCAACACAATTCTGTTGATTTTCGCGGCGCTCTTAGCAAGTCGCGCGGCGCACCCTTTTCTTTCTATTGAAAAAATAAAATGAAACGATAAATGGAACAATACATAACGACCAAATTGTTCCGTAATATCATCAAATTTATATCATGTTCGATTGATATACACAAATTAATAGTTATTTGTAAATTATACAGTCAATAGTTGATTGTCCATGGTATAAGGTTTAATTCCGATATTTGAATAATGCCATTTAATTGTGTTCCGGCATAACAATATTCTCAACATGATGTAGCGGTCGTCCAATTCATCCATAGTAGATTATACATTAATATACAGTATATTATTATATATTTTGAGAAATAAAAGAGGGGAGAAAAAAACAAACAAAGTTAGACATGAAATAATACAACAACAATTTTATCTGCACCCTTTGGAATCCGCTTGCATAAAGTATAACTTTTAAATAGGGAGCCCCAAACTTCAGGTTTTCTGCAAATATATTTTGTTGCTTTACTGAATTCATTTGCAGCCAGATGGAATGAACAGCATAGGCAGCCGAAAATTAGGGCGGGGGTATGTTTTTAATATGACGTAATACCACGCTCGCGCCTTTTGCTCAGAATAAGGCCGGGTACAACTACCACTGAATCTTCACACAGATATACTCCGCTGATCACATATATACATTTTCAGCGAATCGCTGAAATGGTTATTGTATTATTTATTTCATCAACGTGTGCGTAAAGTACTGTGATTAGATGATTAGCATTCATTTAAAAATAAAAAGAGCGCATAACACGGGTAAAGGAAAGTATATAAAACTGCGGATGTTATCTGAGCTGTGACAACCTATATGACCCATAACATGCTTTACTATTCCAAAAAGGTGTGAAAACACAGAAATAATACAACAGGTTTTATATACCTTATCGAAACAGAAAATATGAATATTGGCTTTCTTTAGTTTGAGCACAGTGAGTGAAAAACATATTAATATGCGGAGAAATTAATCGAAATCGAAGTAAATTATATAAGTATAAGTTTATTTCGACTCCATAATCAGCATAACAATACATTTGACAGATAAAAACGAATAAATAAAAACTGATTATGAAATCAGGGGAACAAACGAAACCTTAGATAAGGTTTATAACGTACAAAATATAAGATGGAAGGTTTTGCCAAGAGGAAGTGGTACGTGTTTACTCACCTAAAACTATTGAGTTATTTTACACACGCTCACATGCACCCACCAGCCACACACACACACAATCGCTGAGAAGTTATTTAAGTAAGAATAAAACGCGATAAATTTAGGGTATACTATACAGTAAACAAAAAAAAATAAATAATAGAAAAGAATAAAATTATCCCCATGTTCCAGTTCCAGATTGATGAGCGCAACATGGACATTAAGTTGCGCACATCGGGGAATACGTTGAACAGAAATGTTTCTACGAGGATTTTCTCTAGGGATCGGAATCTTTCCGTTTTAACCTGACCTATTTATTATACTTAGCGTGAAGCGATGAGTATGAGATTTGAACCTGCAATGCAATCATAGTTAAGTCTGGAAGCCTTCTTCCATCTTTTTGTACAGAAAATTCGATATTGATTGGTCCATTCGTTGTGGAGATATTTCCCCCCTTAAAAAACAACGATATATCAAAACAATCAATATGAACCTTTTGCTTCCAATAAATGATAACGATACATCAGAAAATTGGTGTATTCATGTATATATGAACACCTCGTGCCAATCCTGTGGACCAGGTTAAACTACGAATAGGAACCAAATTAGATCACAGGCGATAAAGCAATATAACCAGGATGCCTATGATCGACATTGGTAGAACTGAATATACTGAGTACATGTAGTTGATATTATCTAGCCAGAAACTCAATATGAAAGCTGGAAGTAAACATGCTGTAATTAAAAGTGTTTCAATTTTTCATTTCTTTCCTTGTTTCAATTTGAGCAGACTTATTCAAATGTTATTTTGAAAGCATTCCAACGCTTGACAGCTTGACACTCCTTAACGAAATTATTACACAAATCTCAGGAATCAAGTATATTCACGAAATCAACAATAACCAATGTATATTTGAGTCAGACACAAAATGAAAAAATAATAACAAACAACCTTGTGTGAATGAAAATACTGATGCTATGGAAAGATTCGTCTTCAAATATTATTGATGATACAAGCACCTCGATGCACCATATCATGCCATGTTCATAACCACATTGGGTAGCAGTAGCAGCTTACAAGGATAAGTCAAGTTGCAAAATGATAAAGGGTAATTACCGGTATAACTCAGTGCTACTTTTGATTTAAACCGAAGAACTTCAACACCATAGCAATGAGAATTTGAAGTTATTAAATCACAGTTGAACAATATAAGTAATTTGAAAGTTACACATAGGCATAAACAGTGAAGCATGCATACCATATCTTATTTTTGTAGAACAATAAGGAACATATATTGCCCTGTAAGCAACTAACATATCAAAATTTAGTACTTTACTGATATAAAATATGTGACTGTTAAAATACGTTTGCATGCATAAATACTATCTAGGTAGGACAAACCATTCGAATGATTTAAAAAATGAAACCCTTCTTAAAATGATGTAAATTGCAACTCTTTTGATTGTGATGGGCAACACATGCCTGTGTCTGGGTTAACCAACCCCTATTGGCTTGAAGCATATCAGGATCATGGGCTCTTATAATGAAAATTATATAGGTATATATTGGACATAACCCTCTCAATGAAACGACACCAAACAACTTTAACTGTGGTAGCAGAGTAAACAATTATAGTATTTACTACAACTGATGGTGATTGTTTTGTCTATGAGAGATATATAAAATGTACCGCTAGTAAACTCTTTCCAATAATGTACTATGGCACAACATTAGCCACATTACAAGTGTGCAACTCAAAAAAATTCACCGTCTTTCCAGACATCACTGCCCTCACTTTTATTGTCAAATGGTGAGTCATCTGCTTGATAAGTTTCAGCTATATTATTATTTGCGTTCGAATTATGAGATAATTTATTGTATTGTTCATTATTAGGATTGTAATATTGATTTCGTGATGTTTGACTTGGTCGAGGTAATGATCTACGAGGAGTTGTATTTTGTGGTCTAGCTATACCGGATCTGGGAGATGAGGGTTCTGAACCCGAATCAGAATTTGTGAGTCTAGAACTTGTACGAGAAGAATAAGATGGTGGTTTTAGTTGTCTACCAATTCTACTTTTCGGTTTAGTGTCAGAATTCGTAGCTCGGCCATAACCAGGGGATGCCTGAGGAAGAGCAGATGTATAAACTCTACCAATATTGCTTCTTCGTGTTGCTGTTGGATCCGACGAGATTGATGATCCAGAGGATAAGTCATCTCTACGTAGATCCGGTGAACTTCTATTTATGCTTCTTCTTGTACTTAAATCTGTAGATGGACTTTGCATTCTTCTGGAGTGAGATGTTTCAGGAGGCAATGCACTTTCTTTAATTCGATTTGCAGGTGAACTAGTTCTTCTACTTGGCGATTCCTTTCTTCGGCCAGGCGAAACCATTCGTTGGTGAGAAGCTTCAATTCTATTTGAAGGCAGTTCCATCCTTCGAACTGGCGTTTCCATTCTTCTAGCAGGTGATTCACTTCTCCTTGCTGGAGATTCTTGTCTTCTTATTGGTGATTCTCTTCTTCTGCTAGGGGATTCTCTTCTAGCTGGAGATTCTCCTCTTCTAGAGGGAGATTCCCTTCTAGCTGGTGATTCTCTTCTGACTGGAGATTCTCTTCTGGAACCATGGGAACTTGTTGATTCTTTAGCATTTCTTTGCATTCCTCGTGATCGATTACTAGGTGAAGGGCTTCTTTGTCTGTGTCGTCCTACGACAGACCCATCACTTGGAATTAGTCCATGTACTGATGTCATTGTATGGCTAGGTAAAGGCATGTGGTGTACATGGTGCATTGCATTTGATTTTGTGGGAACTTCTGGTTGATTATAGTTATCTCCTCCACCCCCATGAGATGAGAATAATCGACGTTCCAATGGGGTATTATTGGACAATGAAGGAATCTCAAACTCGTCTTCAGTTTCCTTTAAAGCAGAGGAACGCGAGGATCTTCCAAAAGATGGAAACTCGAACTGTATACTTTCGTATCCAAATGTTGTATCGAGGCTAGCCAAGATGCTCTTTTTTGCTTTCGCCAACTCTGGGGTGGCAGGGTGTTCCAGATCGTTTCGCATCCATGATTCTAGAACTCCACGATTTTCTGAATACCTTGTTTTGGATGGTGAATACAACCAATCAGTTTCAGCTGTCTGGTTTAGGACTTGTAATTCTGATTCAACCACAACATCCTCATGTACCGGTACATATTTATGTTCAGTATCGTTATCTTGTTTAGATTCATCACTTGATGATGAACGTGCGACAGAATTTAAATCAGTTTTTGAATGTGGACTCAGTTTCCCAGTTTTATAACGAAGATGTTGATTCTGTCGTTCCAGCTTCTTCACTAAATCCTTTAATTTTTGAACCTCACAGTCGGCAGTAGTTACCGGTAATTCCGCATTATTTGTAATTTTTTTCGCAAAAGACATTTTTGACAGTGGTATACCATTTGAACTTATTATTAATGAACTTATCAATTCTATTCTGATTCAATATATTTGAAATGATATTTTATGGTTATTTATCAGAAAACCTGAATGCGAAACAAAGAAAATTATAAACTGACGTTAAAAAACATTGCATGCCGGTGAAAACTTGTGATATTCACCATAAACATAATTACTAGCTAATCGCGATTTAATTCGCACTTTAGTTGACTGCCAACAGATTCAAAAGACTTGAAACTTATAAACATCTTTTCTCATAGATTGATATGTCCAAAGTAGCAGTGAACAGTGTAGTGCTATATTTATATTATTATTGTTCTATACATGCCTAGAAAAGATATCATGTATTCTTTATTACCAAGCATACAATCAAAGAATCGTATGATAGGTAGTGACATATCCCAAGTTTAGAATAAATGATTCCTTCAACTACCACATATAACAGTTGTCTGGTATTAAATCAGACAGTGGCAATCTCTTGTTATGCTCACACGTGTAATGCAAATTTTCCTAAGACAAAAAAACATAGATGGAGTGCTGGGTGGAGGCATAACATAGACCAAACAAACATTTTTTCTGTAACAATTGAAAGAGAATGGCTGATGATACTATGTTATATTGAATGAATATCATGCAACTTGGGAAGTATATAGTGGAATAAAGAACCAAACAGGGAAGAAAATCTCAAATATGTCAAATTTGTGCTGCAATACTGTATTTCAGTGAGAGCAATTACAGTAATAAATTATAAATTTATGAATAACATGACAATGAATGGTGATTACCAGTAACTGCAGAAGAGAAAAAAAGTAATTTTTGTATTAATAAAATGACTAAATCAAAAGTTTGTAGGTATAACTAATATAATGGTCTTTTTTACAATATATGTTTCATACATACCAGTAAGTCTCAATCATTTATATTGAATAAATAAAGTGTGAAATATGAAAAACATCCTATGGTTAAAAACTGTCAATACTATATATATAATATATGTATATAAATGCCAATACAAATTCTCTTTATAAAAGCTATCATATATTTACCGTACTATGTGGCATGAATTGTCAGAAGCTCTGAATTTGTTGAAATAAAGTACGTAAGCATAGGATAAAATGATAATGATTTGAAATTTTTTTAATGTTTACACAAAGCTCCTAGGGAAAGGACCAAGCCATTCCATCAAATGAAAACCAGATTGAAACAATATTAGCTAGAGCTCACATCAAATATTTACACAATCGCTATTTGAACAATATTCTGAAGTTGAAAAAAATAATCAAATATGAATAGGTAAAAACTGTATCCCTTTACCACCTTGAATTTATCCCAAAGAACTCTTATATCTAAACATATTGATGAGAAATGTAGCATTCAGGCTTCACTTGTTTACATTTTAATATGCATATTACAGTATTAGGAGTTCCATTCATCATCTTAAAGAGTTCCATTCATTATGCAATCCAAGGATATTGAGCATTAGGCTACTTATCTACCATGTCTGTTTTGATAATTTTTGTTGAACTGAAATTTAGAATCAATATTTTTCATGATTTGAACTCCAGTTGACGTTACAGCGTTATGGAGATAGTCTAGTTTTATCTTTTTACATTCTGTATTTCAACTTTTATTTTGTTCACTACGGCATAAAACAAAACAAACGGAAAAACAAAATGCAGAGGACCTGGAGGGCGGGCATAACTTAAGGACAAAGTTAAAAGAAGAACGGGTAGGTGCGCCCGTCCACCAAATAGTTTTAGCAAAAGTCTTTAAGTATTTGTTGGTAAGTTACAATATACAGACATAGACCTATGTTCCACACATTATGGAATATTTTGGAACAGTTATGCCTGTGTCTCTTTTATACAAATTAAACGAAGTAGGGAATTATACTAGATTTTTCGCCAACCCAGCAATGGGAAATTGCTGACGACTGGTCTAAGTTTATGTATCGATGTAACTTAACCGTACCAGTACAGCAGTAGTAATCGAGTCTCATGTAGTTTCCTACCCAACGTACTTCTAGTAGGTGTAGCATAACGATTTTTTCATGTGTCAATTCTAACCCCCACCTGACCACACCATCCAAAAATTACGTCACTATGACGTCACAGTGATGAATAGAGCCCTTCAAACTATGCGAACTGTCATCGAAGACGCGCAGACGAGAACCCGAAATCGAACAGCCATTTCTCTCGTTTTCTCGTCGCAACGATCCCGATAGGAAAGAGATCGCTGACGTTACTCAGTTCTTTATCGTCAGTGCCGATGCCATTTCGGGCGATCGTACGAGTATTTGGCAAGCTCTATGACGTGATCGTCGTATTGACGTCATTTTTGGATGGCGTAGTCAGGTGAGGGTTAGGACTGGCATGTCAGAAGATTGTTATGCTACGCCTGCTAGAAGTACGTTAGGTACGGATCTACACAAGACCCTAGTAATCTATCGGCACATTTTACATTTTAAAATATAATAAAGGATGGTAAAAATCTTGTACAATTAGAACATAGAAACCCCACCACAATTGACCTAAACTTGTAAACTTTTTATTTTTATTGCCAAATAGAATTCCAGTGCCAACATGGAATTAAATTATTTATATAATTTTTGTCCAGATGAAAGTGAATTGATAGTATTTATATGCCATTTCCAATTTTGGTTACGGTATACAGTTATAGTAATTGATATCGGAATACAATTGCATGGTCTGTATTCCGTTTAGGTGAAGAAAAATCAATATACAATACCCATACATTTACATCATATTTCACTTGTAAACAAAATACCGTACGTTCACATTTTTTTTTCTATTAGATTTTCATAAAATAATATTGATTTAGACAATATTAGAAGATAAATAATGCATTCATAAAAAGTAATATTTCACACTGTTTGAAATTGTAATCTAATTGTATGTTATGAGAAAACAGAAGATTGGAGAAACACCTTATCACATTTTATCTATATACTATACAATCAATTAGCAAATGAACTTATATATATACATATAACCTGACTACACGACAGCTGAAATCGCTCTTTTCACCCGCGGTGGTGCCGAAGTTGATGATGTCCTCTTTGGCGCCTTCTAACCAAAAATGGATAATATTTTATACTTATTCGGGGCAAAAAACAGACAAAATATATCCCCCATACAAAATATATATTTCTGCAAAATCACAATATTGTGGTGTTTGATAGCTGTTCAGTCGTAAATATATAAAAATAGCTCGACTTTGGGAAGGTTTAATGAAACTGAAAACCTTTAGCGCAAAAAGGGGTCAAACACCATTTGAAGTTCTGGCGACTTTCCTGAATTTTCGTCCTGTGTGATGTCGTTTTTTAGAATCAACGTGGAGTTTATTTCACCCAATGTATCTTGAATATATATCCCGTATCTTTTACACTGTTTAATTATTATGCAGATACTGTTCCATTTTGAAGCAAATAAACGTACATACATACCGACATACCGTATACATAGGCTACCGTACTTATTTGATAAAAACTAGCAATTGGAGATGTTTGCGGGGTTAAAGGTTGAGTAAACAGCCGAAGGTTCATTTCAATCAATCCCCATTCATGCAAAAGCTCTGGAACTACAGGACTAAGTTATACAGCGGCCTCATATATAAGTTCTCGAAAAAGTTTGGACTCAGTTGGTTTAAAGTGTAACTTTGTTTGGCAAGTGTGTATTTGAAATGGCTGCTTGTGCGATAACAGCCAGAGGAATTTCAGTGGCTTTATGTCATCCAAACATTCACATAAGATGTCTTTCCTGCACATCTGCAGCTCTAGCAAGATGGAAAAAGTAAGTTATGTTTTGGCAATAATCACTTACGTAGTTTTTTTTTTATTACACTGTGGCTCAATTGATTTATCCTTTTGCACTATCACTGTATTGGGAATATCCAACTTAAAACAGTAAAATAGGTACCGGTACTGAAAATAAATCAACATTGTATAAAACCGATCAAAATAATTTTATTTGTTATTTCAAATTCTCGATTTTTTATCTGAAAACTCACCATTCTTTTGTGATGATATAATCAAAAATCATGCATGTAAACATTATAAAACCACTGTAAAACTTGACTGTCCTGTATTTTGTAATCCCATGTACTTATTGAGTGGCCAATACAGCAATACCTCTGCCCTGGTTTTTGTCAAAATTGGACCCAATTTGAATATATTCAAAAATATTATTAGATGTTTCGGCTGAACACTATTTTATGCAGCACACATGAGACTTTAGCAATCAGCTTCTTATCACTTCTCAAATGTCGATTCGGTTAAAACTCTTATTAAACTTATGGTGAATCAATTATCCTGTTATTTTTTTCAGAAATGAATTTAGACTGAAAAAACACAACAATAGAGTCGGTGACAGAAGTAGTGATATGGTGACCATACCAGACTGGTCTTTTTCAGGTAAATTCATTAATAAGAATGATACGAGTTATTAGGGACCGGCGAAATAACCTGCAATGTTCTTACCAGTTTCGGTTCCTATATAGCTCATACAGGAATGTAATAATATAGCAAATAATTTTTTTGTGAAAATTTCATTTAGTGTTTAAAAAATAATTGAAGTTGCAAGGTTTTTACCACTGTATTGAACATATGTTTCAGCTTTGGGGCAGGTTACTATCAATTTCATGGAATTATTTGTAGGATATAATTTATTTCTGGTAATTCAAGTCTTAGTGATGAAATATTTTGTATCTGCAGCTATCAAGTTGAATATTCATTAGTTTCTTTCAGATTTAATGGAATATTTATTTAGATGGAACACCTTCACCTCCTGGACTTTATGCGAACAAAAATATGGAAATACAAAAACAGATATGCGTAAGATATTGGATAGTTTATAGAATAGTACAAAATTTCGTAACACGAAGAGTCGATAAGATTGCCTAACCATATGGCAAACTATGATCTCTCGTCAGTTTACCAGTCTTTGACGAGTATGCAACTGATCAGCAGTGAACTATATTGTCCCAATGTCTGGCCTCATTTTGTGAGACTTCAAAGTGGAAATGCTCAATTCCTATTTTTGAAAGACTATAATAATGCATCAGCTCAATTATGTTTTGTAATAGTAATGTTCAGGTTGAATTTTATCACAATTTCTCCGATAAATTAATTTATTGAGTTCTATTAGGCTGTCCTGCACCACAACACCCACTAGAAATCCACAACCAGCATAGGCTTCTAACACCATTTCACCAACCAACCCTCGTTTTGATTTTAGAAGCGGATCATCATCTTTCTAGATGAAATGAAGAAAGCGGAAGAGGTAGAAAAAGAAGCAGCTGAGGCTAATACATAGAAGTGACATAATCAACTCAAAACACTGTGTCAACATCCAACTCATCTTCTTGTTCCTTGGATGACATCCATCGAGAGAAAACTGTTTCATATATGTTCATTTGTTTCAAGCAGTTTGGTGAACTTGTGTCAATATTTGTTGATGTGATTGAACATATGAGTAAACTTTTTGATACTGATGAAACAAGTCTTCCCAGTCCAGCCATGGAAGTCCATGTTAAATGTCTGCTTGACCGGTCAGAATTCTGTGTGAACGCAAGGAATATAGGCTCAGATATTGAGTTGACAGAGCGTTTGCTAACTCTTCACTGTATTACAGTGTGTTGGGTTAGAATATTGTGAATTTATAATTTTACCAGAAAAATTGTGATTATCCCAATATTATACAAGGTGAATCGAATATCTTTTTGATTCAGAACATGGTAAGAAAGGAGAACTTGGCCTTTGAAAATTCTTAAAACGAGGGCTGCTTTAGATATCCAGATAATATTTTCAAGTCAATGATTTACAAAAGTAATTACCGTTAAATCATCATTTACTTCCTGAATGATAACAGCATAAGCAGCATGAGTATATGATGGTCCATGTTTATATAGAATGTAATCGGTCCCGAATTTCAATCCTTCTTTTGGAACCCAACCTTTTGTTCGAAAATGATGATAAACTGCATAAGTAACAGGAAATCTTTTCTTCTTGGAGCAAAACAAATTCCACTGCCTAAAAATTAAAAAATAAATGGGTAATAATAGTTTTTCAAAGCATTGGTAATATGGAATAAATAAATAAAACAGGCATTTAATTAAAATGGTTTCAATTTGAGTTTGTGCAGTATTGTTAGGCCTTAGTTAATTGTACAAATCAATTGTGTTGACTAATTCGGTCGGCCAACTGCATGGTCATATCTTTGAGAAATTGCTTTTTATTAATTTTCTTTTCTCATTTGTTGAGAAGTATACAATATAGTGACAAATAATAAAACACTTGCTCTGATATATCAATTTCTTTTGATTCATAACTAATGAATAGACAGCCGAGTGCGAATGACAGGAAAAATGCTTCTTCATATGTCATGATAAATTTTTTGGTAGTAGTGTCCTTTGCCGAAGCCCCCTCTATATTCATTGTATCATCATCGGCCCATGTACCAAATGAACCCTTAAAAACATGATAGAATGACTATGTTATTGAGAAACGAGATACCCATGTAATGGTCAGACTTAGTATTGTAAAAACAAAAGCTTAACTGGTCATTGATGTAATCTGCGACTTTCTATGGTACTGATACATGAAGTAAGAGTTTCAACTTCATGTTATATCCACAGTGACTTGGTTGTGGATGAACAATTTAAACACTATTAAGTTACATACACCATACCAATCTTTGTGAAAAGATTATATAGGGGGCCTTCAACACTTCTGACAGTGCCTTTACACAAAAAATGAATGTACCGTAATTAAGTCCTGACATATAATTCTATCGATTTTATTAATCCATCCAGGTATATTTTCTCGAAGAAAAAATAATTTATTCATTAGTTAATTAAATCAAATATTATAGATTCAATGGTGCTTTGAATTCACTAGGTATGTATATGCATATATACAAGACTTTTCATCTGGTCACTGATTTGTGAACCCACCATTTCATGCATTGCATCTGCTTCATCCTTGTCCTTCACAACCACAGTAAGTTGATGTATGTCAGCAGTGTAAAAAGTCCACGAGTTTAGATCCTTCCTTTCAAAAGTAGTTAAAGGAAATGGGTGACTTTGACACCGTTTTTTCTTTTGTATTTTTTTGGGCATTTTGTTCAGAATTCATTTCAATCGCTGCAGAAAACAAACATGATATAGACATAAGTAATTTTTTGTGGGAATTGAAAAAAGTTGATCTTGTATATTTGCTTTCGTAAAATATTTTGAAATGTAATTGATATTTTATTTATATATAAAATTTGTGAACTGTTTATTACTGAATTACAACTTTGAAATTGTTAATTGGTATGGCAAACCTGTTGGCTAAAAATGTAAGTATGAACAACTTCACACTTTTCAGTATTTGTTCCATATTCCGAATCATACCGATATCTATTTTCATTGCCTAACTCAAAATCATTTGGTCTATTCAATATTTTCCAGATAGCGGTCTTTGTCACTAAATTCCATGTGGAAAATGATACCATATATACCGGTACCAGCTGATCTATTGCCCGGCTTCTGGTTCATCTTTTCAACTATTAGCTGGCTATCATTCCTAGAATAAACCTGGATTGCTACGGCACCGGTACCTGGGCGATGCGCTGCTGATTAATCGATTTGCGCTCCTGATATGATTACCAAAATGACTATAACATTATATTATAGCCACTTTGATGATTACTAAATACAAATTTTTATGTGGCGGCCCAATGATGCCAGTGGCATGAGTTTGTTGCCACTAGTTGGTATTGGTAGTGCTCGGCGTCTTGAATATACATAAATAACGAGATATAAAATACCCTGAATCAAATTCACGAGACTTTATAATTGTATGTATGTAAGTATGTTTATTTGCCTCAAAAATGTAACAGTATCTGCATAATAATAAAACGGCATAACAGAGACGGGATAGATGTGCGACATGCACCCGAACAAGTATAACTGCAGTTTTGGACTGCCGCGTTATAGTAGAACAACAGACATGAAATATACAAATAAAACTCTTGCACAATAAACAGGTACGACACAACGACGATATATACAATATTCAGTTTATGGCACGTTCATATTCCATGTTCTGGTGTGAAGGGAAGGGAATGGACCTTTCCCCGAGCATCGACTTCCTTGTTTACTTCGTGACATTGGCCAATCAGCAAGATGCAAAAAGTGACGTAACAATGCCCCCTTTTCGCATCCGCTCAGACACTTTTCTCACTCAGACAGATTTCCAAGCGTGGTTGTAAACATTACCTCGTTTTTTTGAACTCTATTCGTTAGTTTTCAGTTGTGTTTCGGAAACTTAAATATAAATCAGATAATTCAATGATCACTCTGTCTTTCTAGGAGTTTTAATTTAATTGCAGTAATAAAAATTAGTGTAGAAATAGCTGTGATAGATTAGCCTGAAATTCTTTACCGGTACTTTCAAAAAACAGATTGTCGTATGCCATGAATCATAATGATGGTTTGAAACACATGCCCATTTTATAGGCGCAAACTCGCAAAAGCACTCCTAAAATAGCCCCGAAAATTTTCCAATGGTAAAGTATAGGAGGAATTTTTCGGGGGTCAAAGGTCGGGGAAAGGTCCATAGGGTATAAATCTCATTTTTGTGTGTTTTTACGATATATCTTAAGAAAGAAATTTGTTTGAGACAGCATTTGCCAAAAACCAACGTTGGGGGGTAGGACCAGAACACAAAAGAATTAGGTTCTAAAAAACGTATCAATAAATGACATACCGCTATGTAGAAATTCTTTGTCTACACTCGAGTTGTTAATCATAAATTGTATGCGACAAAAGAAATGGCAACAATAGAGTCTAGCATAAAATGCGGGTCAATTTCTCAGGCGCTATTGCGTGGAATTTATTTATAGTAGGTATTCCAAATTACAAAAACCACGCCGGAGTTCGAAATATATCATCCTAACATATGAATGGAATCTTAACTGACCAGTGAGGAGTCCAGCATTCCTCTCGCACATTTCTGTTCTGAGCGGGATTTACAATCCCAGGCAAGACGATGTTGCGATGACGAGCGCGGTCATATATTCCACAAGATGAATACAAATATTTACAAACATGTATATTGAGAGTTGAAGAATAGGAAGGAATTTTAATATTCATAACAGGAAATAGTAGAACTAATTAAATATTTTGTATATTGGCGTAACCGACCGTCCATTTTTTGACATGACTTCACATATTTATCCCGCGGGACAGGAAAGCCGATGGGACGTCTTTGTCATATGGCGAACCACGGCTTCTCATCTGGTAACTTGTCCTTGTCGGGTATCGGATTTGTTAGCTATTTATTTTGTTTCCAGATGCATGGACTTGACTTATTGATTGGGCTTCCTTTTTTTTCTCCGCCGCAATTTCAAATTTTTGTTGTGTAAAGATGAAAAGAGTGATTTTACAAATCAACTGTGATAATAATATGATATATATTTACTGTTTTATTATAATTTATTGAAACACTTTTTCATTTCGCCAAGCGTTACCGCTTCTGTAACGCTTCTCCGCTCTGAGAAATCGTTACTATGCTTCACCGATTTGGACACGGAAAGTCATGTCCATCAGCCTCATTTGATAAAGTTTATCAAATTGAAAGTAGATTAATGTAGTAAAATGTATATATTTAAAAGCACGACTGCTACAATAAAAAAGTAGACAGAAGAAATTTTGCGCTATATTGCAGTCAAATCGAATAACTTCGGATGATTCCTAACCTCGAACGGAAATATCAAGTCGGTGTTTCTTGACTTAAATAGTTTGCCTGTTTTAATTTCTATAGCAAGCAAAAACACTTATAAGCACCAAATTAATGTCTCGCTGAGTAAATTTGAGGTCGGATCGCTTGAATACATGCATTTTAATAAAAAAACACAGTATTTGTCTTTCTTTCCCAAAAATATTGTATATATCATTTTTGAACTTAGAATGTCGAACCAAAGAATTCATGCACTATATAATCATCTGTGACACGAGCACGTTCTGGAGATTTAAACTTATCAGCTCCTACTATAGGGTTTTAGATAGATGGTGGATGGTGGGCGCATTCCCAACGCTGATCACAATCGCAAACCTCCGGGTTAGGATGTTATCAAGATGCAAAAAATATCCGATTTAATAACTGAGAATAATGTAAGATTGTAAGTTCTGTACAAAGGAATTCAGTGTAACACAAGGGAAGGAATATTAATTATAGATAAAATATAATAAAAGTGGCACGAATAAAATGAAACAATGAAAGTCATCCAATATTGTAAACTTACATTTCTGACTTCGCAAGTTGGTGATTATCGCTTTATAAGGTAAATTGGGCTAATAAAGAGTTTCGTATATTACTAATATTATTGATATGTTTTCATAGTCACTTCATTTTTTTCGATTCCGTGTCATCATTTGTCCCTTTAACAAACTCATATCATGTCCTAAACTACGTAACTTATTTTTATAACAATATTAGTAGACGTGCATGTTATATGTTCATTACGCATAGAATGTGGGTTTAAGTTGAAGATGATCATTTGTGGCGTGGTAATCAAATAAGACACAAAATTAAATAGTAGGAATCGCAATTCGTCTTCAAACAGAAGAATACCATAATTTAATATGATTCTTATATCATTGGAAATCTTTATAATTATTCTAATACTGCAACTATTGATACCGGAATCGCACAGTTAGTGGAAGTGGTTTAAACATGTGATGCTAGCGATAAAAAAAAATTTCTGAATCCTGAACCATTGATAATTTCTTTTCTTCACAATATTTTGAGATTATTATATTAAATCAAAGTAGCTTTTTATGTCGTTCCAAATTGTCTTTCCTCAGTAGCGTTTCGCAACCTTGTATGAAAACAATTAATGCGAATTTTGTGACATTAAGTGTATGCGAAGATATTTTATTAAAATTACAGTTTTTGTCTTTCTCACCCAAAAGTATTGTATCATTTTTGAACTTAGAATGTCGAACCTAAGAATTCATGAATTCTATAATTTTCAAATATGTTTGAGACCCATCAGTATTACAATTCATGTGAAAAAAAAACTGAATAGGTCCCTCGGTAATGATTTGATGTTTGACAGATGTTTCACATGTAACACACCTTTTCTATAACTGCACTGACAACATGAAAAGTTTTGTTTATTCATCTGGCTCTGTAAAGTGATGTTCTATTCTTTAACATAAATATAATTTTCAGACCTGAAATTGTTGACTTTCAATTAGTGATTTGAATATTGTAAATTGAGATTCAAATTTTTTTTATTCAAGTTTGACCGGCATTTTCATTTTCATTTGTCTATATTTGGAAGTCAACAGTATGCGTGACCTCATATGTCTCACACTGTGTATTGTATGACGTTGTTCTCTATCTGACACATCTTGACAGAAGAACAACCCTATGCCATGACATGTCTCACGCTCGGTATAACATATTAGCATACAAACGTGTAGTGTCAAGGATGTCATCACTTTTGAATGGGAATACATACGAAGTCATTTGTCACGTTATACCAGCTACACGTTCCCATACTTCAACTAGCGTCTTCAAAGTCTAGTTTGAAACCACAAGTAAAAATCAATATTTATTATTTTTCGACAAAAATTCACGCTTACATACAAAGTTAGGAATGATGTAAACGTTCATGCTCGAGGAATTAGTACAGCGTCTGTTAACTTAGAGTTTAATCGACATTTTTGGAAGCAAATTTCCGGTCTGACTTTCCAAAGTTAAAATGTCAAAATATTTTGTGGAATGTGCTTTTGACTGGGTTCCTGTGGGATCAACAATTCACATTTCTTCTATTCTTTTGCGATGTTTGGCGTATAGGGAGATCCGACGTTGGTCAGCAGACGAAACAATACAGAAATATATTTGCTTCTGTGTTCAGAAAGACTCTTAAATCACTTAGTATTTTATAGGATATGGTAATATTAGCTAGAAATTTCATTTTTTACACGAGTTGAACTGGTTTCAGTTTGCGAAAACATCAACCCGATAGTTTGAATATTGTCAAATATTTATTGAAACTTAGCCAGAAATTACTAGCATTTATTCGTGATAACAAAAAATCTTCAAAACACCCTAAATACCAAGAATTACCGACGAGATAAGTTTTTGGCCAAACTTTTTGGGTAATTTGATAAAAAGAGTATTTGTTTTCATAATACAATAAAATGTAAAAATTGTAATTATGGGTCGAATCCAAGGTTTACTCGTGACGTGACGCAAGGAGTACCACTAGTAAAATAGACACAATGCCTATCACAACTTCAATTCCAACCTTAAACATTTAATATTACAGCCACCTACACAACCAACACACTTTTCGCCGAAATTTAGGGGGAGGGGTGAATGTGAATGTATTGGAGTATTTAATGATTTAAATGTCTTATTTTAATTAATATGATGGAGCATAGAAATAATAACATTTGTATTTGTAAAATTTCATGAAAAGTTGAATCAAATTTTTTCGATGTGTATATACTTCCAAAGCAAAAAAAAAACGAAAATTTGTTTATTATTATTTTTCTTCATTAACTTTGTGAAGTAACTTGCCAGAATTACTCATTGAACTTTTTCAGCAGATGCGTGTGGGGTGACAAAAACGGCAAAGCGAGAGCTAAAATATTTTAAATTTCAATGATATCATCACATTTACAATCAGTTCCTTAGAATCTGAATTTTTTCAATATTCGAAGCGTTTAATTTGTAATGACCCCAAACTCAGACATTTGGTATATTACTGGCAATGGAAGCGAAATGAATGATCCCTAATTTTATTACTAAAAGGGGAATTGAAGTTAAGAATTTGGAAATTTTGGCTTTGTAATAACGATGATGTAAGGTCACGAAATGTTTGTAAATGTGACTAAGTCGGTTTTTTAAACTAGAAATTTCGAATGTCGACATAAATCGTTAACAATATGATGGAATCTGCATTTCCGGTTGGAGTCACTAACCGGACTGACCAATGTCCAAAATAAACTGATTGCCAAATTTAGATTAAAAAACAAGCAACTAATTTCTTATAAATAAAGGACCCTTAGACTGACGGTGGTAAAAACGAAACGCATAACATTCTGTATGAGATTGATATATACTATTTGCGTTAAAGAGTGAACTATGAGTATCTATCTATGTGTTCAGGAATGCGAAACGGACAAAGGTTTGCGAAATATGCATCGAGTGTTCAGAAATAATCAGTATTATTACAAGAAATTACTGAAAAGTTCAATAAAAAGTTTTTGAAGTTCAGTCAACAGAAATAAATGTATAGCTATAACTAGCAAATTATCATTTGTTTATTTTCGTTCGTCTATCTATTGTTGTAACAACGTTGTTGAGAAGTGTGCTCGACTGCTCCACATGTAGAGCGAATTCAGAAACTTGGTACTACTACTATCAGCAATTTAGATTTATGCAGACAGACCCAAGAGCTAATTTTACTGGTCATAAAAAACATGAAAATTTACCTGAGTCAAATGGGGCGCTGTTTTAATATATATATACCGGTATATATAATTCACCTCAATATGACATTCGGTACATTTCTCCGGATGGAATTTTGCTGACATTAGTCATTTGACTTTTGTCTCCGTATACTTGATTATCTTGTTTTTGTTTATTTTTCAAAACATTTCTGAAATGATTATACTATCAAAACATTACTAAAGCGTCCCGGAAATGAAAGATAAAAACAGTAACTGTTCTTGTTGTTCAAGAAGTCCGGCCAGGTTCAAGAATGGTTTGTATAAATCTGTGAGACGCATAGAAACAATAGTTAACAATTACTTCACGCAGGTTAGGCGCATGGGTCTCAAGCATTGTATATATAGTTTGTTTGTGGTTGAAAGCATAAGATAATTAAGATATAAATATTTTTATATTCTAGATATATATAGTTTGTTAGAGCAATGATATATAATATTTTTCATCATGTATTTGAAACGTTTTGTGGTCTAAGAAATCTTTTTAAGCTAAAATTAAATATTAAAAATGCCTTTTATCATCTTTTTAATATGAATACGGAAATTCAATAAAATATACTCACAAGAGGGAGCACAGACATCAAGTAGAAAGAAGTGGATAAAAAGTAAGAAAGCGAGGTTTTATCTTCCAGTAATTCAAACGCGAATTCTTCAAGCTATATATATAAATACCAAAATTACCCACTCAAAAAATACAGTTTACTATGTGATATAAATCACAAATAGATAATTTATAGTAATGGAAACTTATACCGATCCAGGTAAGCCCTGCAGTTTCTTCCATCTGGGACTTTTGCAAACCACAATCGGAAATTTCTCGAAGTGAATTTTGTGATGTGAAAATTATACATTACATTATACAATCCACATGTACTTTCATAAATTCGAATAGAATACGCATAGGAACTTTATGATATGATATAGATAAGAATTAATATTGGAATCACAATGATAATAAGTTAGTAATATCGAATCAAGCATTTTTCCGCTATATTTTATATCAGTTACATGTAAACGAGGATTGTAGGCTACATCACTTGCGTGTCATTTACATATATAAACAATTGCATCATGGCATCTAAACAAAACTGATGCCGAACCAAGCATTAAAAGTGAATGTCGTTTGGCTTCACACAGATCAAGACGGCATTCCGGCAACTATATGCCAAATCTAATCGAATAGCGGAATGTCATATTGAAAAAGACTTTTTAATTACTTTACAAAATTTCCCCGATTCTCCATGCTCTACACAAAGCGATCTCCTCAAAGTAATAACAAACAGGAAATTTGTTTTATCGTCATCCGACATTATTACTTTTTTTGATGGGAAACGGAATAGATTGCTAGCACACACTGTAATGTGTAATAGGAAATGCAATTAATAAGTAAACTGTTTGTGAACAAGTTTGTTCACGAACGCGTTTCTCCCATTTACTATGCCACACAAAAAAAAACGTGAATCTTCTAAAGAGTTCTAAATACATTACAAATACGTTTAATACTTGAAGTAGTGTGGTTTTATGCTCTTCATCTTACCGATATACACAATAGTTATATTTAAAAAGTTCCAATTGTAGCTATGACATCAGAATAGCAGTATTTCGTTCCCATGGACGATCTGACATGATTCCACATTGCATTTTAACCGCAGATGAGACGGCAATTAAATTACCACAAACCACCATTTGTCTTAACTTTCATTTTATTTCTCATAAAGCATGGGCGTTGCTTCCGTCAAATGATTATCATTCTACCGAATGAATCGTTTGCATTCATTGAACTGTCTGCACTTGCTTAACCTTGAATCAAAAAAAGAAATGAAAATGTATTCGTCAAGTGATAAATCCGCTCTTTGGGTATTATGTGGTTATTAAATTAAAAATAGATCTCGCTCAAAAATTTATTGCATTATCAGATTTAGAGGATGTGGAGAAAAATACCACAAAAAACAACACTGGTACAGCCTTGCCTTCTCAAATGAACCGTTCGTCAAATGTTTTAATACAAAAAACAATCGAGTAATTCAACTTTTACTTTATTTATTTTTTGATAAATTGACAAATATCGTCTATATCTAAAGTTACGTGCTGTAACGCTAGGTCTGCAGAATATATAATAATAATATCTTATATTTTAAATTCACATTAATAAGAAGAAAACGCCCTCTGTTGCTCGGTTGATTAAGTGAACATAGAGCGACATGTGTAATACTTTTTTTCGGAAATAAATCAGGCGTGTGCAATTAGGTGTGATGATAAAACTAAAAGTAACTATTCTGTCACAATTTTTATTTACTTGTACATCCCGTCGCTCTGTGCGATCAAAACTTGAAGTAGTCGTTTTACAAGCCGAATATTTTTATCTAATATATTTTCTCCCTTTTTATGCAATTTCTTTATACAGAAGGCAAAGTTTCAATATTCGCCATAAAGCCGAATTCTCCTGTTATTGGGAATTTCCAAACTCCCTTATTAATATTAAATAATGACATTTTAACTTATGATTAAGGTTAAGTGAGTCGAAATTCTCTTTTTTGTATAACGTCGTTTACTAATGATGATAGTAGTGATGTTGCACGTCATTTGGACGTCTTAATATCACGATTGTGAAATCCATCTATAAATCGGACTCTTGTTTCACCAAAAACAACAAAGTATCAAACTGAATATTGTTTTGTTTCATTTTTATAAAAATATTTCTTTGGAACATCTGTTATATAGTTACTCTAATGAGTTGATTCTATTCCAAGTTTCGACTTCTTTTTCTAGATTATTGTACACAGTAAAATATAAGCAGAAATTTAGGGTAATTTTCAAGTTAAATATAATCTAGTTGTCAAAAATATTATGCATATTTTGACATTGTGCAGAATTGAATTATTCTGAAATAGATTTTTTTCTAGACAGATTTTATCCATTATTATTTTTGCGCGTGGGATTTCAAAAGTATTTGATTTCCATACAATTGAAATGACGAAAACTAAATACTTGGACGGCATAACTTTTAATAAGGTCGTCATTTGACATTTCGAAATGTAGAAAAAACGTGAGAAAGAAATTAGACGTAGTTTGTGCACACAAATAAAGTGTAATTTAATTTGGCCGAAAGAACTCAAAATGGGAGTATACGTGACAGAATAGTCCTACAGCAAGTAATACAATTTGTGTTAGAAGAAACTTCATCCGCTTTAAGTTTGTTTCGTAGTCATGTTGAAAATAGCTAATAACGCTATCGCGAGTTCAATTTGAACACTTCTTATTCTTGGCAACTGGCGCAAGATGAAAAAATTGAAGATAAGATTTAAAAGGTTTTATTGGTGCTCATAAGTTATGAACCAACAGCATTACATGTGGTTTAATACGAATGTAAGGACTGGAAATGCGATGCGCAAACGATGTTGTATTTTGTAGCTAGTTATATTTCTTTATAATGGCCCTCATTGATAATATAATTTCATGATCAAGGCCCGTTCGCGCTATAAAATATAGTTAAAAGTTAGTTCGAGAGAATTTTGTACAGAAGAAAAAATACGAAAAAAGATTTTCTCGTTTTCTTTCTATTTAAAAACAATAATATCTCGTTACCGGCATTTCGTGTATATCTATTTCTGCAATTCTTAAAATTTTGGATTGGTACAGACAGGCGTCTGGCACTAGAGCAATGGACAGGACGTGCTTAATTGATATAGTGTGCCGACAGAAAGGCACATGATGCTTGTGATCTATATATTTAGTAGCGAAGAGTATAATTCATTACCTCCTATTTTTTCAGAAATTTTTATATTTTAATACTATTTTATTAGTTTTAAGGTTTTAACAATACGCCTCCTGCTTGGATGTTTATAAATTATGAAGTTTTCATATTTATTTGGAATTACATTGTTTGTAATATGTGGGACGTACACTCAAGAAGGTAACAACATATACTTTATTATTCGTAAATCACAGTAAAAGTATTATTTATATTAATGAGAGATTGAATTTTTATTAATTTATACCGGTTATAAAATATTAAAATTTCGACCAATTTAATATAGGTTCAAGTATGAAGTAAATCGTACTTCAGGGCAAAAAATGTTATGACCGTCTCGATAGACTCGCGCTATAAATATTGTGGGTTACAATATATATATGCGGATTCTGAAGTAAAATATTCTTTCTAGTTATTTTATACATTTTGCCATGTTTAGTGTAAGATATTCTGTCAAAGAGTTTTTGTATCCTTTTTTTTATATATCGTACTATAATGAGACGATAAAAAATATGCGCATGCATATCACATACAATTTCTTAGTCGGCTAATTAGTATTCCAAACTCGTTTTTAATAAACCATAAGTAATCTCATTAGATCAAGATAATTTTCAATATAAATGGCGGCGTTGTGGTGTTGTAACCAAACGTGCTAAGCAACAAACAAATTCCGCCTAAGCGGAAAATTGATCCGACAAAACGTTCATGTGGCGCCCCAAGCTAAATTTAGTAATTACTGATGACGGACCGACATGAAAACATGTAAATGATAGGTCGTTTGTACATGCAGCGGATGTGTATTTTAGACCTATACCAGCTCTGAACTTTGTTTCAAATATTTCGCAAATAATTGATTTTTGCCAATGTTGGAACATAGATTCAAAAGCGAGTTTTAAATCGCACTTGAACCTGCTTGCCATATTTGCATGTTCATATTCATAACCGTCCCAACTAAAATTCAGAACAATATTTTTTTTAGTGTTATTTTTTATTCATAATCATACTAATTAAAATTAAATGGTAATCTTTACATCAAGTTCGCGACACGCTGCTACGAATACAATATATTTGAGAAGCCCCTTGTTTTATATCTACAACGTAATAACAGCTATATTATATCCTTCCTACATTATTTAAATTGCCGAAATTTTATGTCGTCCGTCTATTCTTTCAATTTTCAGCGAATTAAATTTCCTGTTTTCAGCTTTTATTCGCATTTTTCAGATATTTCACGTTTATATTTAACCTTCTGATTAAAAAAAGTATCATTTTTATTTGCTCTTTGATTGTGTTTACAATGCAACAAAATTAAACGTAATTGTCAATAATCGTAATACTCCAATTATAGCCGTGGATTTTTGGAGAGATGAATCGAAAACAGGACTAATGTAAAAATCTTAACCTTAGATATAAGTTCAAAAATTTGCTTATTTGATAATTTCCAAATCTCCGCGATAATAAATTAGGATTCGTCAATAATACACGATTATTTTGTTTATTTGTTGTATCAAATAAATGCTAAATCACTATCTGTGTAGCAAAAAAAAAACGCCATTTTCTAAAAATAAATCATATTTGTAGTTCGATCAGGGACAAATGAAAACTATTAATGTAAAAATGTCTGTCAAATGTTATGTACAAGTATGTAAATTAACCGTACGTAATTCTAATGACACGCTCACGTGTTATGGTGTATAATAAAAAAAACTGCTTGATTTCATTATGCATTTTTGGTTTTATAATAACTTTTCATCAGAACTTAAAATACAATTTAGATTTTACGAATCCAACATGGTGGCTGAAACCTCGTTGAAAAAATTGTGTCGTGAAAATACGTATTTCTGAAGCGTAAATTGAACTTATTATTTTTTTTTACAATGGTCCTGGAAATGGTATCATATAAGTTTATTTCAATCCAAATTATGAAAAATAGTTGGAAAATATTTTTTTTGGTGTATATGTGTTAAGGATGATATTTGACTAAAAAAAGGAGGAATATCTAAACTTTTGAATTATAGAGGATTTTTATTATCATATTTTTGTAATGTGCTTCAAAACATGATTATCAAGTTTTATTGATCTGACTCAGAGTCTTTATAGGATATTGTTTTATGTGTGAAACCGATATTCTCATTATTAGATTTATTCGATCATTGTGTATATACGAGTAATAATTTGTCAGGGCAGAAAACAGGATCCAAACCCGTTTTGCATCTTTCTCTTTTATTTTATCCAGAAAAAAAACTTTTTCTCCCAAAATTTACTCATCAAAATTTTTATTTTTATTTCAAGTGACGTCGCGATGTGAAGGGAAAAACTGTGACGGAAATGCTACAATTGAAGAAGAAGTTACAAATCAAAAATATTATGGAAATCAAGAAGTGAATCATGATAAAAATCTGGATGCGATTGTATTGAATCCCGCGAGCAATGGAAATGCCGCTCAAAGAAATCATTTTCGAAACTATTTTGAGTCGAATCAATACATCGAACAAGGGGACGATAATACTGAAGTTGAGGTAGTGGAATATGAAGGACCTAGACCTCACATTTTGACGAGACTCAAAGCTTTAATGGGAAATGGGTAAAATGAACTTCAATTTTTGTTTTTCAATTTTAGAGCTTCACTGAATCTTTTATATCGGAGCTTTGTTTTTCAAACTGATCATTAACATTAGGATGTGAGTCATTTTAAACCATAATTATCGAACAGTGGTTTGAAAAAGCTAGTTCGTTGTGGAACAATGCTTCAATTGTTTGACAATGAGAATGAAAATGTAAAAAATAACCGCATTAAGCACGGCAATTCATAATAGTCAGTGAAATTGCTTCAGTATTTGATATTCACATCAAAGCAATGGCTGGAGAATAATGACAATCTGCTGAATTAATTATGTATATATATAGTGCACAAAAATATATTTCTTAATCGATAACTTGAATTCAATGTTTTTGTATTCGACACGCTATCATTCATATATCTGATTAGCGTAAAAACAACGACAACCGTCAAAATACAAATGCCAACCTGTCATTAGGCATAAATCGGAACTTATATATATGATTTTGGATTAGAAGTAGGTTCTTTTTCAGTTTATATCACATTTTCTGGATGTACATTCGATAATAATTATCCAATTGATATTCATCTTTGATAAATTTAAAAAATTTTCACATAAATAATATTATTCTGAGAGTTTGGTGCGATATTGATACCCTTTCAATATAATAAATAACCGGCAATTTACAAATTATTCCATACTTTATCTAAAAAACAATAGCACCAGATGCCATGATTCGATTTCGCAAAAGTTTTGACCTTGTTGGAATATTTTGTAAACTTCTAGAATAAAATGTCTGACCCGCCTCCAGGCATTTTAGTTATTTGCAAGGATGTAATCGGTACATTCCACAAAAATGTCAAGTTTTATTTTCTCTACACGTTATTGTATTGATTTTACAAAAAAAACGACCACTTCACAAAATAAACTGAATTTATATATATATATATTAAATTGTGCTTTAGTCATTATTGCTTTAACCCTAGATATAGTTTTTACAAAATTAAATAAGATGACGATTGTATTTTTCTAACCTGTCTTATTAAAATTTATTCAGAGCCGAGTTCGAAAGCGGTGATGAATTAGATGAAGCACAATTTAGTGATGAGAATTTATACGATGGTGGCACGGATTTGGGGTCAACAACAGCCGCCACGCCAGTACCGGATAAAGAGCCACAACCTAAAGACGAAAAAGTCGAGGTTGACGAACCAGAAGACCTTGAAAAACAGAAGATGGAAAGTGGAGAAACCTTTGCTAAGATTTTAAAATACAATCAAGGTTAGATATCAAACACCAACGATGAATCTGGTTACGCTCTAACTCTTCTTTTTCATGGAAGAAGTATTTGATCTAATCAATAACATTTTTGTTACAGAACAACATGTAGAAGGTGTATTGGAAGGCGACATGAAATTTTCACGAGTAAGTCATTTTCAATTTCATTGCTTTTCGTAATATTTGATAATTTTCGACACGCTAGGTTTTGGTATTTCATCACTTATTATGCAAGGCTAGATGAAACGACTTTTTGGACATTTTATTACTATTTTCCTTGTGCAAAAACAAATAAACGTTCACAACAAATAGGTCATGATAATCTTCTCACTTCCCCTCACGAAGGAAAGATGACGCAAACTGTATTTATTGTTTCAACCAGCGCAATTTTGCCATAATAAATTATATTTTTATTTATGACGTTTTCCTAGGTTCATAGTGGAGGAAAATAGTCTTCATTAAAAAAAAAAATATATCTTCCCCAAATATATTTTGAATTAAATTTTATTTTTCATTGCAGTTATATAACTCTGCTACCGATATCGACATATGGCCCAAAACTACTTACGGAACAATGGCAGGAAAAGTTTTAATTCCTTACAAGATTGCAGCCAAATACAGTAAGTTTTGTTTTTTGATGATGTTGATTTTTGATATATATTTCAACTTCAACAATTTTTTTGATCATACCTTTATATCTTATGTTTTAGACCGCACAGAAGTTGCCATTATAAAAAGTGGAATGGAATTATACACGAAGCACACATGCATTCGTTTTGTACCCAAAAAATCAGAGATTGCCTATATATTTATCACAGACGCCAAAGGGTATGTACAGAGCCTAATTGATTAGATTTACTCCTCTTAAAAATCGACCGGAGTATCGGTTTACAACCATTAATTGCGCAATCAAAACAATTTCATAAAAATTGTAATTAAGTGTGTAAAACGTAAGAGAAAATTCAATACATCAGACAATATATTTCAAATGGGAAGCACATCTTCTTGAACTTACACTCGTTTTATGAACTTAAATTTATGCTATGTGATTTATTTATAATTTATTTGTAATTTTATTTCTTATATTTTGATGTTAGATGCTGGGCATATGTAGGCAAAACCGGTTATTCGTCTCAGACAGTCTCACTTGGGCGACCAGGTTGTGTCGCGAAAGGAATTACAGCCCATGAACTTATGCATGTTGTCGGATTCCAACACGAACATTCACGTACCGATCGTGACAAATATGTGACTATTTTGGAGCATAACATTCAAAAAGGTAATTGAATTTGATTAAAAGTGTTTTCGTCTAAAAATGCAACGATTGCAAATTTTGATGCTCAATTTTACAATTTAACAAAAATTTAGCTGTAAATCAAATTGAGAACGATTCATATTTTATATTTTGGACATGTACACAAGAATATATGTTATTACTATTAAGTTTTGCTTATGTTTCCTGTATTTAGTTATTTAAAAATTACTTTTTCCTAATAGACATGAGGCAGAATTTTGACGTCCACAAAAGCACAAAAAATCTTGTGATATATGATTACAACAGCGTCATGCATTACAGCAAAACTGCATTTTCCAAATTTCAATATCTTCCAGCAATTCAAGTAAGTAAACATTGCAATTAGGACAACAATCAATATACAAACAGATAAATTATAAATATATACATTATATCTAGATTTATCCCAAACGAAAACCGGAACCGGAAATAGGACAACGAGACCGAATGAGTCCGTATGATATAGAAGAAATCAAATATCTTTATGACTGCAGTGAGTTGTTATTAATATCAATTCCACTGATTATCGTTATGTGTGTTTTGGTAAATTAATGAACTAAGCTTCCACATATAATGTCGTGTCAAAGAAACGTGAAAACTTCTCAGATTTCTTCGTTAATCAATATAAAACTAGCATTACACAGAATTTAATGTAGGCATTCTTTTCATTTTCTAAGCAACTATAAAATGAAATACGAATATATATTCCAACTAACAAATTTATAAATTGACCATAAAAAGATAACGATCAAGAACGATTCGATATTCTATTTAGAAGGATAGGAATCAGATTTCCTTTAAATTGAACGATCTTGACAGTAATCTGTAATAGTAAAACTTGCAAACTTAATGGTGGCTAAACTATACGGTTCGCTTCTCGGTTCTAGTTGTTCACGATTTACTAAGAAACAGTATGGTAGCAAGCACTTGCTAATCATTTGTCATATATGTGTAATTTTTTTTATACAGGTTCTGATAGTTACACAAGATGTGGAAAGGACTTTATTAATGAAAGGACAGATTCGTTTGCTAGCCCGAGACATCCTCTTAGTTATCCTTCTGAAGCGCATTGTACATGGAAAATCGTTGTTCCTAAAGGACGTTACGTTTCCGTAACTTTTACAAAGATTGATATTGAAAGTGAGAAAGTTTAAATAATTTTTACCAAGATATGATTTGCTAGTTCTTGTTGTTAAAACGACATCTGTTTTAAAACTAATGAAGAATACTATGAGCATTGTACATAAAACTAATCATTATAACTGATTATTTCATGATTATGATTGGACACAATTACAGAGTCAAGTTACTTTTTTACCATACAAACAGTAATTTTTTCTACTTTTCCAAAGGTTCGAACTTGTGCCAAAGAGATGCAATCTTAGTACATGATGGCCCAAATGCTGCAGCACCTCGTTTGAAAGTAATTTGTGGAACTAAATCATCAGCTGTTACAGTGAGTAATCATTTTCAATAAAAGTAATTTTTTATATACATGGTTTCATCTGTTTGATGAGAATATTATTTTATAAAACTAGGAAAAAAATTTTATTTTTATTTTTTTTAGGTTGTCAGCACCGATAACGAGATGTTCATCATGTTTACATCCGATCCTAATAAAAATAGTTTCACCGGATTTCAAGCAACTTTCAGACAAAGTAAGTTGTGTTGTTGGAGTGGGTAAACACGGGGTGTGGTTTTCAGCAATCTGTTTGGCTTAACTAAGATTCTTTTTCAACTACTTCCGCGTAAAATTACATGACAATTTCTGGCCAATTTTTGGCACTTACTTCCAGGGCAAAAATTTCATTTCATGGAATAAGCAATTTATATGAAAACTGGAAAAAAATATTTTGACACTGGAGTAAATTTGCTTAAAATTTCACGATATTGACATTTCATGACTTATCTTTTCTTTTGACACTTGGCAGAACTAACAAGACCAAATGCAAAACTAGACAAGCTAGACTGTTTAATTTTTTTGTTTGTTAATTTGAACCCGAATGACACAAGTTAAAAAATTGGTTTAGTAAAAAACGTAATAATTTTCTAAACTAGCCTTGAAGAACAGCGTTTGCTGGGAGGTTGAATATTAAAAATTGTTTACATATTTCCAGTACGTTAAAGCTACAATTGGCTACTTTAGGTTTAATAAACATGGCAGCCATGTTCTTTGTTTATTTTTTTTTATAAAACTAATGCATACGAATCGAAACTTTAAACATTGAATTAAATATACTTATCGTATAAGTTGCATTTTGAAAGCAAAAGATTTTCGAGTTTAAACCTGGCTTATCCCGACAGGAGTATTTAAAAACCATGCATTACTTGTAATACCATAGGTTTGTTCGTAATTATGTCCAAAATGACCTCTACAAATATGTTTCACCCTTCCATAGAAATGAGCTTGTCGTTTTTAATCGCCCCTCCGTGAAACTGTCGCATTTTTGTATAGATTTTGTTAAAAATGCAGGTATTATATATATTAAATATTTATTTTTAATAATAATATTTCATTAAGAACAAAGTTTATGAAAACCCTGTGTGATTTATTTAAACTGAAATAAAATTTGATGCGCTTGATTTTGTTAGGTATTTTTTTTATGAATTTTTGTTGATAGATTTCTTTTATTAACTTTCTTTATCTTTCAAATAAAATTCAATATTATTTATAGCTTACTCCAAAGGAGTTCGGCCACTACCGTATACCGTACCTGCACTTGGAAGGATTGGCTACACAGAAAAAACATTCAAATGTGACTTCGATGACGGAGTTTGCGGAATGCAACAAGATACTTTAGACGAATTAGATTGGATAAGATACCGTGGAGCTACACCAAGTCAAGGCACTGGACCCAGCAACGACCACACCACAGGAAGCGGTAAGAGAATTTTTAAAATTTTAGTAGTGTAGTCGTATTGCAGAATTGATATGCATTCAACACGCATTTTGTAGCAAATTTAGTTTTTTCATAAAATTTAACTTATTTATTCTAAATTTTAACATGATAAATCTACCGTGATGATAGAAAAAAAATTTGTCGATAAAGGGCATATTCCTATTTTTTTCAATATTTCGTCCAATGCTAATTTGCTTCAAGATAAATAAAACTATTTGTAGTGTAATGTTTGATTTTCCGGTATTTACGGTCGATGAAGGTTAATAAAAGGTAAAATACATTTGGAGTTCATAAAATACCAGTCAGTGTCATCGCCGATAATCGTGTCAACATTCATGTCCAAAAGGCAAGAAATGTCTGTCGGGCGTGTCGGTCAGCAAGAAATTAATAACCTACTTTCAAATTCTTTACATGATCAAATGATAACGTATTCGTCTTTTTATACAAGCATTACGGTTGTATGTAGAAAAGTTGTTCGACATTTATCTTTGTAGCAAGATAGCTTGGTAGCACTTTAATCGTTTGCTAGCTTCACACGTTTCCCATCCAAAGACATGAAATTAAACCTTAGTTTAACGTTCACGTTGCAATATTTAATATTGTTTTTATTAGTTTGTTTACGAATTTATCCTAGCATAAATCAGGTTTTGATTTTTTCATGTAATGTTATCTAAAATCTAATGCATCCTGATTTTATGTATAATTTTTATGTAGTTTTTTGCAAATGCTGTTATAATGTGAATGAGTAGTTTTATATGTAAATTAGTAGTTGAAGTTCTATGCATGCTTTTTTTTTTGGCTGGAAAAATCATGTGCGATTATATTAAACTGTAATACTCTTTGGTACAGGCCATTACATGTATGTCGAATCGTCTTTACCATCAAAAAGTGGAGATACCGCAATTTTACGAACACCATGGTTAACCAAAGAGAAATACAAACCCCATTGCGTTCAGTTTAGTTATCACATGCATGGATCTTACATGGGAACACTGAGATTATACGCGTACGAAAAAAGGTAATATTTTTTTCTCCATATAGGAATAACACGAATTAATCACTTTTCTGATATTTTCTTTTGTATTTGGTAAACTTGCCTCGAAACTAAGTGTAACAACATTGCGATATGTGCACTTCTCACTGTAATTAAAGACAAATTCAAGTAATAAATGCCGGTAATAATGATAAACTACCGGTGAAAAGTTTGACCAATGCAGGAAACTTAGAGTTTTTTCATCGAACTATAGGAGCGGATTTAATAGAAGTGTTATAAAGCAGGGATATATTCTTATTTTAATTAGATATTAATTTATTATCGTCTCATAACCTTGTATTTAAAAAGGATTAATTTTTATATCGTTAATGTAATTGAACCCCTTAGCATCCTCGCTCGTACGTCGGTTGTGTTTTATTAATTCTATAAATGTTTTAAAACGAAACCGATAAAGTAGCGTTAACTTAATTGAAGAAAATTACTTTTTCTTTCATTATAAGACAAAACTCATGGATGGAAAAGTAAATAGAAATAATATTTTGTTTTGAATAACTTTCAGAAAAAATGACAACTATGGACATGAAGTTTTGTTATGGGAAAAACACAGTAACCAAGGCAACAGATGGTTTACAGATGCAGTGACGTACAGACCAAAATCTGACGTTGATGTAAGCAACATGTTGCTTGATCTTAATTAGAAAAAATATCTGGTTTTTTACTTGGTCTGGAACTCCAAACAGCTTTAAAATGATTTTTTTTATTCCAACAGAAAGTACAATTTTTCTGGCAAGCCTACGTTTTCTTCTACCAATCTGATTTCGGACTTGACGACATTGATATCACCAACGCCGCTTGTAGCATGGCTGCTTCCAAACCAGCTACAACCAGAAGAGTGGTTCTCATCAGCCCAACTACGCAACCAATCGTGCGGAAACCAACTACAACTACCACCACAACAACGAAACCAACTACGACACCAACCACGATACCAATACAGACTTCTCCAATAGACGGTAAGATTTATAATCTTTGTTATGAATCAAATACCGACAATTTTTACAGAGTTGAATTGGCTATATTCGCATGTACACAGAATAAACTTGTTTAGCCTGCAATTTGTAACAAACAGCAGATAAATATGATAAACCCTCAATAACTGAAATATATTGATTTGGATATTATAATCGGAAATACTTTTATCTCTTTAAAGGTAAACTGGCAAAATTGGGGTAACTGGATACTGTATTAGACATCCGGTCTAGGCAAAAAATGCCGAGTTTGATTTTGCACTGGTATTATCTTATCATCTAGTTTAGTGTCTTCGCTTTAACAAAAATAAAAACATAAAAGATTTAACGAAACAAGAAAATAACCACCCGAATTAACCGAAGCCATGCCCCGGGCTATTGTATGTTAAGTTCAAGAACAATTTGGCCATAGTTAGGTCTCAAGATTTTCCGATTCTATACGATAAAATTTGACAATTTGTCGCGTTAAAATTCTGAGATTTGATGATATCAAACCATTGACTATTCATTATATATCTAAAATAAGGTTAGGTAATAAACTCGGCGCACGATTTCTAAAAGAAAACCATTTTTGAAAGAAAATATAGCTTTTGGAAATTTTGGAAGGAAAGTCCACTTTCATTGTCATTTAATAGTATATTTATTTTAGTTGTAAGATAAATTATCAAATTTTAAAAACTAAATACATAATGGTACATTTTTGTGAAAATACGATAAAATAGAATAAAATAGAAATTCATCAAAATGAAATTTGAAATTACATACTATTTTAAAATATTACATCAATGTGAATATACAATTTGGAAAATATCTGTTTCGACCAAAATTATGGATAATAATACGACGATATAATCTCCGTTCAGAAAAAAAAAATAGAATTTTTTTTTCTTAAAATGAGTCATAACATACAATGTTCAAAAATGCCAATAAATTGGCTTAAAATGGTTATATAGGAAGTTGCCAAACTATGATCTTTCTATATTCACACATACAGATAGGCAGTCAAGTCAATGCAAGGTTTGGTATATGGCTGTTTCTTCGCCCATTTTCGTGTTTATATACAGAAAAGAATTATGGTGTGGTGTCAATCGTAATTTCTATATTTTCGTTTCTAAGATGTCAATTAAGCGTATTGTGGCAACCCGAGGGCGCGAGAATCGCATTTCAACGTTAAATGACATTTTTCAATTTATGGAAAAATACAACACAAACGTAAATAATTTTGATAAGTTATATTCATTTATAGCACCAATGTTTAATAAATGTCGTTTTTCCACTCTTTTAGTGCTATATATTTGACTTCCATTGAATGCATGGATTAAATTTAATACCGGTTACCTCTATAAATGCTGGCGGTCAAAATCCAATTTGATTTAGTGCGTCATTTAAACCGGCGAATACTTGTATATATTTATCTGATTTGATCCTGCCCTTTGGCAATGCCTCTTGCACAATTTACGTCAAACTGTATTTCATTCATCAATTTATGATAAATTTAAAAATAGAAAATTAGATCAGTTTTTGTTTTTTACAAAGTGATAGAATACACAAAAATTAGGTAGTTACTCAGCACCAGAATGACAAAATACGTCACTACCTAATTAAATATAGAACATTACCTAGAAAACGATTTTTATGACTTTTAGTAAAAGCTAAATGAAACGCTACATAAGAAATATACCGAGCAATACGATAGTTGAAAACAATACAAAAGCTTTATTTTGTAAACAAAAACAAAATAAAAAAAAATTACAGCCTTGATACACGAAAAATATGAATAAATAAACAAAATAGGTTCAAAATACGTCGTCGTTTCATCATCGTCACTAAACAGTCTATTTTTAACTATTAATTAATTTTAATAAAAAAAGACGTTTCGATTTGCTTGACGAAATTAAATTCCGTTTCGGGCAGAATTTTATCAAGCACATAAAAAATCGAGCGTGAGTAATTGATTAATCGCTTCGAACAAGCTATTGCCATATTTGTCCAAACAAAATTTTTGACATGATGAGAAGGAGAGCTCGCGTCTTGACGGCGTATTTTATGTAATATTTATGGTTTCGTTAAAGAAAAGGAATGATTCCTAACAGAATGGAAATCCCCTATTGTCTTGCGTGTTTTCTTGCACGCTACCGGAAGCACAAATGTCCAAATATTTTTTGGCGATTTCTTTTTACAGATTCCTGAGAATATAATAATTTTATACACTACTTCATCACATTTTTTGTAAACAATCAATCTTAACCTTGGGTATTGATTGGCAAAGTCATTTTGTTGATTTATAAATTTTGTTTCCGCGTGAACGGTGGTTTGTAGCCGAGAAAACAAACATGCTATGAAAATTGACCAAAAACGGTGTTAGGAAATTCAAGATTTTATTTTTAAATACTGTTTCCGACTACAAACATAAAATTTATATATTAACTGGTTCTCCCTATAAATATGCGTTAGACATGATACTGGAAATTTTTCTGTAACGTGAGCTGAACTTGTTTTGCTGTTAATAATCAATAATATTTTATTGATAAAGTGCTTAAACGTTATGGATTAGTAACTGACGCGTGGTGAATATGGATATGCGAAGGTCGTTGAGTTTGAATATCGGTTATGACGCGTTCTACACACGTGCATGACACATAAATTCTAAAGCTGGGCTTAGTGACATTTTAAGGTTCTCGGTACACCTAGTTTACGTGATTTCTTGTTCCAGAAATTTAGGAATTATTTCTAGGATTGGCAATACCTCAAGTTCAATATCAAGCCAAAATTAACAATATTAGTTTTAGCTAGAAGTAATAAACCTATGAAATGCTCTCAAATACTGTAATACCACTCATCAAATACTCTCATATACGAGTACTTTCCATAATCTTTAAACATTTTTTACGATTTGTTTGATTCTAGAAACATCATGCGATTTCGACTCCGGATTATGTGGTTGGACTCAGGTCACCACCGATGATTTTGACTGGGAACGAGCAAAAGATGGTACTCCTAGTCACAATACCGGGCCTACTGGCGACCATACATCCAAGCAAGGTAAAACACAAGACGCATCATAATACGTACTACTTGAAAAGCCTATTTTATGAAAACGTATTTTTTTATCATCAACACAGGTCACTTTTTGTTCATCGAAGCTTCAAGTCCACGTATAGCAGGTGACGTCGCTCGGCTTCTTTCTCCAAAATTGACAACAAAACCGCATTGCTTGCAAGTGTGGTACCATATGTATGGTTCTCAAATTGGTGCAATATTGGTAAGTGAAATGATCATTTTCAGCTTAAGTAAACTGTGTAAAAATTGCTGATTTTAGCAATTTTTAGAAATTAGCGTAGATATTTATCAAAATAAGACATTGAGTTTCCCCAGTCGGTAGTCAGGATCAAGTTACACCAAAATTGAACGTTTTCCCTCCACCCACACGAATTATTATACTGTGTAATTGCGCTATTTTTTCATTTTTATTGCAAAAAATATTCATATATTACAGATAAAGCAAATTACGAATGGAGTGGAGCAAAAATTGATTGAAAAGGTAGGCAACAAGGGAGACAAATGGTTGTACGCAGAAGTTGACGTTATAACTCCAGCAGTAAAGACGGTGCGTGGTCCCATATACGGAAAATGGAAAGATGAAGCATACACACAAGTCGCCATTGATGGTGTACGAGGAGGAGGTTACCCTGGTGATCTTGCCATTGATGACGTCAAGATTACGTCATCACCATGTGGTAAGCGTCCCATTTTCCTTTATTACTGGTATTACCCATCAGCATTATTAGCAATAATTTAATAAACCAGACGGTTTTGATTGCTATATATTAACAATTTACAGACAATCCATAAATAAAAAATAAATGTAAATTACCTGAATTTATCTGACATAAAACCAATGGCCATATTTAGATATTTTAAACTCCAGACACCCGATAATGATTTCTATTGGCACACCCTACTCATAATAAAAAGTTTAATGAAGCAAAATTACTATTTTGCGTCCGGTCATATATTTCCAGATGACATAAGTTTAATCCATGTTTTGCAAAAGCTTTTCTGTCAATTAATCACACCCGAAAGGCTTCGTTTAATTTCTGGTCCATATTAGAAAAGGGTTGAAAATTTGCAAGTCGCAGCAAAAGGAAATGTAAAATTAGTTAAGTAATAAATATAATAAGCTTTAGATTTCTTTCATTTAATAATAAACCAACGTGACCTCGTTTAACACGACTTTCGCTTGGTTCCCGGTTCCGAGACCATCGAAAATTATCCATGGCGCAGATTCAAAACCAATACAGTTTAACATTTACTTTTAAATTTCTATCTAAAAAAAAAAAAATTGAAAAAAAAAATAACCCTAGAGAATATAGACAATATTTTAGATCTGTGTTCTTTTCAAATATTTTAGATAGCTCTTTATAAAACAAACAAAAACTGAAGCCAAAAGATGAAATTCGACCTCCTGGCATATTGCAGATCGATGTCGGTCGTAATAATAAAACATAATAGCTTCGACATATGTTTGATTTAGGATAGATCATGCAAAATTATGTTTTATTTTGTATAAGTTTGAATTCTTGCTAACAATGCGGTCCTTTCGAGAATTTTTATGGCGAGTTTTCTTCACACATTTTGCCACAAACTCGACTTACTACTTATATGCTTTGTAAACTACCACCAATGACTAGTATAAATAAATAGTTCTCGATAGTGATATCCCATTTAAATGTAATCACGAGTAACTGTTTATTGTCAGGCGTTAAGACGATTATCCACAACACGAGTGCGTGTGAAAAAAGTGTGATCAACTCAATCATTGATCTTTGTTTAATAATTCCAAGTACAACATGAATGTTTATTTAGAAGATATTCACACACGATTTCATCTGTTCAAAATAGTGTGCGAATTAGTAAATAAATCCGATCTCAAATTTGGATTCATTTCAATAAAAAACATCTGTTAAATTGAGTTAAAAACAGCTGAATCCCGTAAAAATTATCATCATAAACCCTTAATTTTATTTAATTATGTAGTGTTGATAATTGCTGGCTAAAAAGGAAATTCTGGTTTGTAATTTGGACTAATTTAGTTAAATTTTATTGAGCTTAACTGCCGACAATGATTAGACCTAATTTATTTTAAAATTTGACTTTTATAATAATTCAAGTTTGTGTGATAGATAAAAATGTACATTCATTTACGTAACAAGCTTGAAATTATTCAATTTAAAAATAGGTTACTGTATTTAATACCTCAAAGAATCGAGTTTTATTAACAATCGACCTTTTGAGGATTTTAAAAAATCTTCCAAGAACATATACCACATTCCGACATCATAATTATTATTCGGCTGTGATTGTGGCTTATTTAACGGTCGATTATTTCTCATTTAGCCTTAAATATACGTCACAAATTATTAGGGAAAAAAGATAAAAAATAAGCTCCCATGCAGTTTTGATTTAGAGTTTTTATTCAAATACTGATCCGTTAGGCCAAAGTCAAAGTAAAAAAAATGATATCTTTCACTAGCCTACTGTTGGGAAACAAGAATTCGATATTACATTGTAACTCTATACGAAATGCTTATTAGCTGTGACGGGAGAAACTCACCACTCGTATGACACTTTAGAAATACCGATATAAATATATTATTGATAATTGTGGTGGGTCTTTACAAAGTGGGTATCACGATGTAATAAAATTATAATGATGTCATATCTTTCATGTAAAGATGCAATATTTATCCTCTCAAATCAAAAACACCGCGATTGTGGACAACAAAAATACTATTACGTAATTTAATGACAAGTAGTAATTATATGACTGACAAAAACGATTCTCCCAAATAAAAAAAAATCGGAAATAGGTCATATTTAACTTTATATTCTAACATGGTTTGAAACTCCCAAAAAAAAAAAATAAAAAAAAAACGGAAACAGGTCATATTTAAATTTTTTTTCTAACATAGTTGTTACGTGATGCTTGAACCTTGATTAGGCAGTTTGTTTTCCTTTGCGAACTAAGATTTTTTTGCCATTTTCTTGATTTTTTTTGCTAAAAATCTTTAATTATTTTTTTGAACATAAGTTAAAATGGGCTAGGTGTGACTCTGACGCATCCATGTTCACATTTACTAAAATTTTGAATTACGATCCTTATATGGAAAATACGGGAATGATATAAAAATCGCTCTGTCATTAGTATTCACATGTGGTTTAATATTCATATGAATGTAGGTGTTGCGTGGTATATGATATTTGGAAATACAATATGATACGCGGTACACTTCAAACATTTGTACCAATTTGCGTCATTTGTTTTATGCGTCACCATGTTATACGTTAATTACGTTGGTATGACGCAGCAATAAAATGTTTTCTAATGACTACTGAACCAACGAGAAACATGAAGATCAATTTGCATAAAATGTCTAGAAGAAACTAGAAATTGACGTATACGCAGGGTACACTTGTTAAGGCCAAAGGTGAAAATAATTTTCTTGAAAGTGAAAAACAAAATGATTTCTTATCAAATCACTACAGTGAATAGACATAGTGCAAGATTAAGATTCGCAATCACATCCATTGAGAAGAAATTTAAATATACGGACGTAACAAGTTGAACAACAACTAATTATCTTTTACCCACAAAATTCACCAACCATATCACAGACGTCATCAATCTCATGTTGAAATAATATACAACCACGTCAATAGAGAAATTATTGATTGTCATTTCAAGTAGAAATAATTCTACTTGTACTTGTCCAAAAATCTAATACTAAAACGAATCCCGCATATCAAACTGTTACAAAGTAATGATTTGATTTTCTTTGGCTTTAATTAAACGATTTTCAATGACCACATCCTATGAAACGACAGATTTCACTTCCAGGCATTTAATTCAATCATTATTACTTACTTCATTTAATCAAAGTTAAGATGAAGGGTATATTAAATAAATACAGGTAAAAATAAGTAAAATTTGAATGTCTGTTGTGGACCATTTAAATTTTTTTTTAATTTTTCGGCGAGTTTGACATTTATGTTCTATTATAACCAAAATGGATTTACAATTTTTAATGTTTATAAATCGCGCCACAAAATATAGCCAGAGGATAATTTTGTTCAGTTATGTAAAAAAAATTGAAACTCGTGAAAATAAATAAAAAATATATTTTTCAGCGTCAACCCCTGTCAGAAAGCCGAAAGTTGAATCTCAAGTTCGAGAGTTGTCTTGCAATTTTGATAAAAAAGATAATTTATGTGGATTTGTTAATACCGATGCTGATAACTTTGACTGGGTACAACATAGCGGAAAAACTCAGAGTGGAAGTACCGGACCCGAGTTCGATCATACTATGGTACGTTGAAAACGAATATTTTACCTTTATTCAGTTTAGTTTATTTCCCCACCCCCAGCTCGTTTTACAGAACACATTATTCTATTGTGAATAAGATACAATTTCTGAATACCATTTTATATTTCACAAACGTATTTACGAAAACCTGTTCTGCAGTAACAGATACTCGCCACAATGTTGCACGATTCTCTTTTGCTCTTATTGCGGATTTTATAAATTATTGCTACAAACTTATGCCTTTACTTTATTCTGGGCTTCCATAATATTCATTTGGGCCAAATTCTGGTTGAAAATGTTTTGAAGGATGACATTTTAATGTACTTAGTACTTGGAGCTTTTGTCACTTTGACATTTCCAAAAATTATCAAAAAATTAAATTTATTCAATTTCTAATCGAAATCACTTTCAAATTTGCATAACAGCATGAAGAAGACAATGACAAATAGCTCACAATTTTAAATTTTCTGGTTTTTCTCCAATTATGTTTGTATTATACACTTGGTTATTATGTATTTTATCTTGTTTGAATCCGAATTCTTGGGAAAAACCCACGATTAGCATTCATTTATCAACGCATAGTTTCGTTGGTACAGGGTAAAATAGGTAAACAGAAACTTTTGAGCCACCCTTTGTATATGTTATACTTCGAATCATGTCGCTATCTTTGTCACCCGTCTTTTATTACATTTATAAATCTTCAGTTTGACAAATCTATTTCAATATTTGCGAGTAAAATAATTCTTGACTGGCTTGGGTCAAAAATCTATCGCACATTTTCGAATAGTTAGCTGACTTGTAATTTTTACGTTCTATATTTTTTTCAATTTATTTTGTAAGGATATTTTACAATAAAATGTAAAAAACGTCTATCTAAAGGATGCTATGGCTTTTTTAAACCATTCATTCGAACAATCGATTCATTTTAATTTTCTCTTCAGGGAGATGAAACCGGACTTTATCTTTACACTGAGGCGTCTTCTCCAAGACAGAAAGGAGACAATGCTACCCTGGTTTCACCAAAACTAGCTTCTGGAAAATATTGCGCCCGTTTCTACGTTCATATGTGGGGATCCGGTATGGGTGATATAAGGGTAAGTGATTGTGATTTACAACAGCCTGGATGAATATCGGGTAGGCACCAGCGTAACGTAGATCGCCAACATATATATGAGTAACAAAACTCAAATGAGACGACGATAGTAAGCGCCTAGGAATCGCACAGATACGAACCAAATGATTCGATGTATAAATAAGACAAGAATACATTTTCACAAGTTACCCAGTTCAAGGCAATTGAATACATAATTAGAGAATTTGTTATGTTCAATATGGGATATATTATGGGGATTTCATGTTAACAACATGATAATAACATTGGCAATACCAAATAAGATGGCCAGACCGGGACTATTAGCTTGATATATGTTTTCCGGCGACTGTCCTATGCCAATGGATATTTAATCGTTTTTTAACATCCAATTTGATATTTACTAAACGCAAAAAGTTTGGCTGTTTAATTTGTAAACAAATTACGCAATACAAGTTTTACATTATACACAGCAAGATAGAATACACAGCAAGATAGAGAAAGCAACGGCATTTAACCGAGAGCTGAATTATGATTGAAATATAATTATCTTATGTTCAATTTTTCATAGTGTGAGGTTTTAGAATTAGATCATTTATAAAATACAATAAAACTTTTGAATACTAAAATAGACTAGAAAATTTTTTCTACTTTCTGAATCGCAATTCATATATTATTAATCTCATGAAATATGGAAACTTGCCAGTTGTGTTCCAGCTCGATTGCTGTCACGAATTGTGACAGTTTAAGCACAATTGGCGCCTTACCCAGACGAGGACATTTTTTTCGAGTTTCATTCGGATGTCTAGCTTCATAAAAACTAAATGTTCAATGATCGATATTCCCGCTGTGCCATTTAGATTATTTATTAATTCATCTGCAGAATTTTGTTAGAATATATTAGATTTGAGTTTGAAAAATATCCATGACAAAGATTTATTTCTTTGTATTTCCAAGCATGACATAACCGGAAATAATATGCAAAATGTTGTAAAAAATAACAAATGTGGGCCCAACTTACTCTGGAAGCCGATATTCGTACTGAAAATCGGATGTTTGCACACTACAAAATTGGTTTCGTTTTATCACGCGTTTTCTATTTCCGAATATGACATAATTTGAAGCAACATGCAATTTTAAATTTGTGTCTGAATGTTTTCTTGTCAGAACGAATCCAAAAGTTAACACAATGAAACTTGGCATTGTATTTACACTCTTCCTGTTTACGAGTACACAAATGGGAAATTGCCTAAAAACTATTTACCAAATATGGTTTTAATTTTAGCTCTATTAGAAATTTTGAACATGTGACAAGAATTATTTCAAACTTCAAAAGCTAGAAACGTTTCTCTTTTTCTATTTAAAATGTCAATTTAGGACGGAGTGTGAAAATATACGTTACTTTGATATACGAGTAGCTTTTTATTTGGGACGTTCAACTCAATTGAAACAAAGAAAAGATAACGCTTGGTTAATTTCAATGCACGAATAAACAGGAATTACAAACAAAATTAAAAAACAAATGTCACCAGCAAAAAATGTGTAAATTCAAACCCTGAGGCTACCACAAAACGAAAAAAAATGTTTTAATGCTTAGTTTTCTCATTTGGAAGAGATAAAATAGACAATTTAATCATTAAATTTTAAGCTTTTGAAATAAATTTATTGATGAAGAGACTCGTTTTTGAGATAACCTGAGCTTGTCAAAATGAAATGCATATCACGTTTTATTAACATGCGTGAAATTTTGGTGAAGGGTTTGATAAGACAAATTGCAAATAAACATTACGAAGTATGATAACATCAAACGACTATTATTTCGAAAGTTATTTCAGTTTTCTTCAAGTCATTTCCAACCAATACTCTCTTTCAATACATAGTTTTGCATAAAATTTGTTTGATCGTGGTACTAACAGCTTCGTGATCATTCATATTGAAGAAGTCTTTTTTTTCTAAATCTGGCCTCTATTTTCTTCTAGTAACTCATGGTAAATGTTGTTGATTTGATGTACTTTAAATATGCTTGGAATTTTCAAAATTGCCACATGTGCTCATTGTACCAATTACAATAAAAAATTATTAGAAAACAAAACGTAATTCATATATATAATGCTTCCAATTATATATCAAATCAAGAGCATACATTTCAGGTGATATTTCCCAATATTGGTACCAATACAGTTAACTATTGATTAAAAAAGAGAAATATCGTCGAAATAACACATGCCAATAACATATAATCAATACAAAAATTATCAAATAATAGAATTAAACAAACGAATAAAGAGCACGAGGGCAATTGATTTCATTTCGAAACTTTCCCAAAACTAATTGTTATCATTGAAGATACATTCCATTCTAGAACAACAATTTAATTAAGGAAAATGACTTTGTTCGATTTGGAATGTGAAAACAAGCATGACAATTCAAAACTTGGGAAAATTCTGTAAACTCATACATTATGTTTGTAGAAATATTTATAATTTTGTCTCCTTTTCTTATAAAAGTCCAAGCACGGTATTTAAATTATTGGAAACGCTGTATCCTATTTCATTTTATCGGGTATCTACATATAGCTTGTCTAATAGAATATCCTAGAAATTATAGTCGACATTGTTTGTGTATTTCAATAATTTCTCTTTTAACATTAATATAATGAGTGGCAAATTGATATAATTCCAGGTTTATACAGCTGAATATAAGAATGGCAGGACCGAAAACCGACAGAAACAGTGGGGAATGTCCGGAACTCAAGGAAACTCATGGTTGAAAGGCGAATTTGAGTTTGAAACTTCTATTAACATCGAATACGTTCAATTAGAATTTGTAGGTACAATTGGACACACTTTCACTAGTGACGCGGCTCTTGATGACATCTCAGTTGTGCCAGGAAAATGTACCGATGCCAATATAGGTAAATACTTATAAGAACTTATTATAACATTAGCTTATGGTCTCAAAAGCAGAAACTGGCCGAGCAAAATTTCGTTTATTTTTTCCTCAATTTAGTCGTATTAATGTTATTGACTGCCGATATCGTATTAGCTATTGATTTATGACATTTCGTTTGCTTTCATTTAGCCACTACAGTGACTACTTCAGCACCAACGACCACCAAAACAACAACGACTACAAAACCGACGACAACAAAGCGAAAACCCACAACAACGACACGAAAACCTACAACAACGACACGAATATCTACTACAACGACACGGAAACCTACGACAACGACACGGAAACCTACGACAACGACACAAAAACCTACCACAACGACAACTACCACGCCTAAACCAACTACCCAAAGAACGACTACCACCACAAGAACAACCACTACCAAAACACAAACTACAACTACCACAACAACTAAAGCGCCAACAACACCCACTAGGAGAACCACCACGACCAAACGCACGACAACTACTCGAAAGCCTACCACTACAACTAAGCAGATAAAAACCACACTAAAACCAACTACTAGAAAAACTACTACACAGGCACCAACTAGGCAAAGAACACTCAAGCCAGACGGTAAGAACAGACCACGCACACGACCACCAACTACTGGACCAATATTAGGCGTAGCTAGAATAAGACCGTACCCTAGAAGACCACAGCCTCGAATCCTAACAAACCGAAAAACAACCACTGCTTCACCAAGAACAACTACACAAAAATCCAGGATAACAATTGCAAAACCGAGGGGTAAGACAAAATATCACACTCAAATTCGTTTTTTTATGTGTAAGTTTATTTGTTGAATGAAATAATATGATCATTTACGGAAGAAAAAATAAATAAAAAAACATCACGGCAATAATGATAAACCAGCGAGAAATTATAGATACGGTACTCTATATTACAATTACGGCCGTACAAATATTTCATCGTTTATTACTACATCAGCCATTTTCTATTAGCTCGTTCTAATGGTCGATTTGAGGTAGTAAATTTGTTCGAATACTAAGTATTACAACCTTATAGTTTGCCGATTTAACGTTTTCACTAATTGGCTAAAATCAGGTTAATGACGTCACTAATCGTGACCCGAGGAGTCGGAAAATAGTGTTATTAGGTAAACAAAAATAAACAGATTGGACCACAACGCGATGTCGCAAAATCAGATAGGTCATATTTTATAAGTAGATTTTATTATTAATCTATTATTTGTCAAAAATGGTTCAAATAGTTCAAGTATATGCAACAAACAAATAAATATATGCTTGAAAGAAAATATATAAAACGGAAATCTGAAATGCTTATACAACCTAAATGTTAATTATTAAAGTGATCGTTGAATAAAAAATCACTACTGAGCTTATGAACTTGACTTGAAATGTTTCTAAAAGTGATTAAACTGCGCAGTAACCAATTTTGTCAAGTACAGTATTGTAAGGATAATACTTTGAGAATCATGAATGTATTTTTCAATGCTTGACTCAGTAATATATAATGTAATAATTTTTTTTAGATTTTAATTGCAATTTCGAGTCCAGAATCGAACCATACTGTGGAATGCAACAATACACCACTGACAAGTTTGATTGGATAAGACATTCTGGAAACACACCTAGTTCCGGAACAGGACCAATTAACGACCACACTCTTGGATCAACCAAAAATGGTAAATAAATGTGCAAAATTTTATACTTATTTTAATATCATGTTGAACGAAAAGATACAGGGCTGTTCAAATTAACTATACTCACGCCACGGGATAGATTGGTAAGATAAAATAATGTTTCTTGTTCGCAGGAAACTATCTGTTTATTGAGGGAAGTAAGCCACGAACACCAAACGACAATGCAATTATTACCACACCGGCTCTATCCGCAATACCTGAAGAAAGATGTGTCGTGTTCTGGTACCATATGTATGGAAACGGAATAGGCAAACTTCGTGTTTATTCGGAATTGTCAAGAACCGGAAGGTACGAGAATGTAGTTTTATTGGAAAGCTTTAGAATTAACTTTCAATTTCGGAAAGATTGGAAATTTTTGATTTTTGAATAGCTCATAAATCGTTGGCGAATATTTTTCCAAAATAGTCAAATCTAATGTGTTAAAATAATTTTGTAAATTAAAAAGATTCGTCAAAATTTGATAAAAACGTTTACAGACAATTGAAGTTTACTTTTTGTAACAGTTGGGTATGAAATATAGAAAAAAATACAAACAAATAAAATATATTTCCACGGTTTTGTGCAAATAAAATCAAAATCTCGATAAATCTGTCATGTTATTGGATTTCCGTACTTTCTGTTTTGATCTTTTATTTGTTTATTATTTTTAGCATGAAAATATATCAAATTAGAATCCTTTAATAATTAGGATCAATCAAACATGGAGCGTATGTAAAGCTAGCAAACAATGCAAAGTTTTTTCGCGTTTTATACTCGATTATGTTTGATTGGAGGTACAAATGAAATTATCGTTACTCGAAACTTTTGAATATATAAACTGCAAATTTGGACTGCATGAATATATAATTATATTTCAAGTCATTATGCAATTGAAAAGCAATTCAATTTCACGCTCGTGCGCCAAAAATAGACGCACGATATTGCCGTTTATATGTACGCAAAATATACGCACGAAAATTAATATCACTTCCCAATTCCGGTTGACGTCCCGTCTCACGTCAAGAAATTTGGTAGCAAAATTATAATGTTTAAAACAACAAAAAATAACAAGATTGAAACAGATATGATTCACGTCATTGTTTATATACATATTTTTTAATTTTCGATAATAATATGCATTTGATAGAAATTAAAATTAATAAATTCTATATGATAAATTGTATTCTGCAAAGTAAAACACACAATACTCGAGAAATTTTTTTTATTTTATGACTTGATATTTTGAAAAAAAAATGAACAATATTGGCATCAAAATATTACGAACGATTAATTTTCATTTGTCGAAACTGCAATTTTAAACTCAAACTTTTCTTTCAACTTGAGTTTTTTTTCATAATTAGAAACCACAAAACAAAGAAAGTTTACAATATCAGTCACTCAAGAACAAACAAAAACGAATCTTCTGTATTAATACCGCAAAGATGTCAAGTTTAAATCTGACATTTGTTTATTTTTCTATCAATATTCATAATGCCTCTTTCGCAGTTTTTATGCAAAAAATAGCAGTTGAACAATGGCAATTTTTACGCGAGTTGTAACATGTTAAAATTATGGATGGTGATTCATATGAGATTTTCGAAGTTTTGTTTGCGCGATCAAATTGAAGTTGACGTATATATTGAATAGGTTGCGTTTTCGATAAGACGGTTCCATGTTTATGTATTTACATAGATAAGAACGTGTCACGACAATTCGAACTACATTTTAAAAAATTTCAGGAATAAACATGTCAAAATCAGAGAAGCCAAACTTCAGAAAATTTGATATCCCACATTTTGTTAATCTTAAACCTCAATCTCGATTTATTCTAGCGAAAATGTTGTTTTTTGATGTTATCTGAATACCAATTGCAATTATAACATAGAAATAGAGTATTACATGAAATACCTATAATACAAAATTAACACGTCATGGACCATAAAAAAGTACAAAAAAACAGTTATGGCGTTCAGTTGTTGGATAAAATTGATATCGCTTATATGAAATAGTGTTTTAACAGAAGTCCTAAATATAATTAGTGCCATAAATGAAAATACCGAATATAGTTGAAATTTTTTATGAATAAATATTTACAATTGTATCACAGTTTCAAGAAATTCAGCAAAGCTCCATCAAAAATAACCGTGACAAGTCACGTCGAGTTTGAGCTTAGTGGAGAAAAGGGCAACGCATGGAGAATGGCAAAAATAAATGTTAAACGAAGTGTTCAAAATCCATCTGCAAGTCTAAGATTTCATTTTGAAGGAGTGAGAGGACCAAAATTCCGAAGCGATTTGGCTATTGATGATATTTGCATCGCTGCAGGACCATGTGGTATGTTGAAAGATCCATTGGTTATTCGATATAGGCCTGTCATTGAGCAACATCACATAACTAAGTGTTTGCTTTCAAAAGGACCAACGTCTCCATGTTTGAAAAAAGGACCTCGATCAAAACCCACAAGACTAACAAGAAGGCCCGGCAGAGCAAGAAAACCTCATCGTACAACGAAACCACCACAAACGACTCCAAGGCCAAAACCAAGATTGTTGACAGAAACTACAACAAAACCAGTCAAAACAGAAACCGATTTGCCAGTTCAGATGCCATGTAAGTGTCTGTTTTGTCTGATATTTCTCATTGAATGAACGATTTCGTTACGTAAACCAAGACCGTCAAAGCTAACGCAACGGCCAGCCTGGTTTACCTCTAAGCTAACAGTATATAATTAGCATTGAATATTATTATATCGTTCTTACTATATGTTACTACATAATACAAACAAACAACAGTCGGCGCGTTTTATAAGAATGTATCGACAAATGCACTTACTCAAACACGAATAATCAAAATACTATTGCAATGCCATGCAAACATTTCTTATGTACTTGTACAAAATAGTTCTTATGTTTTACTAAGAAATAAAACAGTATACATTTACCAGACATCTATTATCGCTAATATAATCCATTAATAGTATAAATTTAGTTTTTAATTTGACCGAAGTGAAGATAAAACCTAATTAAATAGTCCAAACTATCCATATAAAATTTAGCGGAACAAGTTAGAGATATGTTGATGTTTTCCTTTTCCTGTTCGTTGTTACTATAATTGGCAGTAGTATTTTTTTTACTTTCATAAAGTATTTGATGGAAACGTGGTAACTCCAACAAGGTTTTCGCATTATAAGCTAAGATACAAATCGGATAAGACCTGTTTTCAACCCAAAACTTTCTCCTATGAAAAATAGATTAGCCACGCAGCGGTATTGTGACAAGTATTTTATTCGGGAAGGCAAGTTAGCTATTGGTTTGGAAATTAGAGATTAAATCGCGTTTACTGCTTTGTTTTTCGGATTATGCTGTATGACAAAAATAACCTAAACGAAATGCGCGTAAATTCAAGAATGAAATATGTGAAAGTATCTCGATTTGAAGTGAAGACTTGGTAATAATACCATTTTATAACGAATAAAATTTTCACGTGCACCTACTGCATTGTATTGAGTATCACTACTCCTAACTGTAGACAGTATTTTGCCTCTACCAATAGAACAGAATTCTGAAAACTAGAATTTCGGCAGTTAAAATATTTTACTGATTTGCGACTTTCTAATTTCAGTCTGTTCGTTCGATTCGGTCATAAAGAAGTCAAAACTTAAGGCAAATTTGAACAATGCAAATGACGTGATGTGCGGGTGGGAACAAGAGCAAAACGACGATTTCGATTGGACGAGACATACAGGACAAACTCCTAGTGCGTCAACTGGTCCAGATGGAGATCACACGTCCGGAAAAGGTGACTTGAGTTACAAATATTAGATTTTTTTTCATACGATTAAATAAGCAACATATTTGAGGTATTCTCTATTTGTTTTTAGGTCACTATCTTTTTATTGAATCATCAGCTCCGCGATCTGCAAACGATGTAGCTGTCTTGAAATCGAAACAATTGTATCCAACGCCATATTGTGTCAAACTATATTACAATATGAACGGGGTAAGTCTACCTTGTACCTTTAGTAATGTCAAAAGTTTTGCTTAGCCGATGACTATACTCTTTTCGATTTATATTCAACGCTATGTCATCTTTACCGAAATTTACTCAAAAATTTTTATTTACAGGTTGGTACCGGTGCATTGGTGGTTCGAGCACAACAAGAAATGACAAACAGACCAATGACTTTGAATAATTTGAAAATATTGAAGGGACCAAAAGGCACGGCATGGGGCAAGTTGGAAGTCTATTACAGACCAAGAGGAAGCGTAAAGGTAACTGAATGTTCAGTGAGACTAAATTACTAAAACTATACAGTACTGCATCGATCTCATACTAATAGCTAATCAACAATATTCAAATATTAAAATACATATAACAAAGAACAAATCCTTCGATATTTCCTATTTTTTGACCCATTTTTTTTATCATCGTGTATATACCATTGAAGATGTACACTACGCTTTATGTTTCCTTTATTGCGATTTCGAGACGGTTTAAGAGGTAGCGATAATAAATTACTTAAAGGAAACTATTTATTTCGAGATAATGTACTCAATGATTCATTTAATATTTGTCTGTTCAGAATGTCCAATTCAGAATCGAAGCAGTACGAGGGGAAGATTACATGTCTGATTTAGCCATTGACGATTTGAACGTTACACCAGGGAAATGTGGTAAGTTCTATAATATTGTATCGATAAAAAATTTTCCTACAAGTTTAATTTTATAAAACTAAAACGGGGATTGATTACTAATTACGAATTCTAATATCTTTTTTTCTTATTCTCAGATTCCTGTTCAAGACCGAATAGAAAATTCAAAGACAACTTGGGGAAACATCAGACATTTTACACCGGCTGCATCAACAGCAAATTGTTTTATGTAAAGTGTTGCAGTCTAGCTGGAGAAAAGATCGTTTACAAAAACGTACCTAAATGTTCATTGAACTCTTTCACACCGGAGAAATTAAATTGGATGTGCCAGTACGAGTGATACTAAATGTGAACTGTGCAACTCCGACGCCATATTATGTCCAACACTAGTGTTCGCATGGCCTACAAGCACCGCGACATGGGCACTTTAGTTTGGGACTACATAATCGTGTGTTAAGAATGATGTAGCGTAAATATTTGTCACAGATTGCCGCGTTTATTGAAATTATTGTCACTAGGCAAAAAAAATTATATACGTTTAACCTATTGTGACGTCACTGCAGGTGACTTGAACGCCTTGCGGTTGAATTTTATTTTTTATCATATTTTTAATTGACAAAATATTTCTATTTTTAAACAAAATTGATGAGTCAGCCTACATAAACGTAGTGCTATATCACGGAAAGTCTGTATGAGGATGATCGATATGCATCCCGTTGCAGGAGAGTTCATTTACATGATTAAATATGTACAATAAATTGAAGAATATAGTCGAGTACATTTTTTTTATTGCTAAGAATACATATTATGCGCGCGGGGCGCGTGTACTCGCTATTTAACATCATTAACGTCATTGTATTGAAACTTCACCATGTTCCATTTTTAATACTTACAAATCAATATCTATAAAGGTATCAAAAGTGATCTTGAGGTCATACTCGGCCATGTATTTTTCACAGAAATAGTGCGCTTTTTAGCACTTTCTGTGCTTGGTACGTATTCAAGCCGAGGATGACTGTCTTGTAAATATATTGTCCGTTTCGCATTTTCAAAATATCTCTCAATGCTTTTACAATTTCTTTCCGTCTCATTTGTTCAGCGAATTATTCTTATTCTGCGTTGAGCGCAAAATAAATTGTGTTTCCATTCGAAAAATATCCAACTCAATTTCAAGCCTGGCCAAAACTAGTCATAGGTGGAAATCCATTCGAAAATGAATATACGCTTTGAATTTCAAGTATTACAGTTTTTATGTTTGGTTTGTTAGAGTGTGTATAAGTGTTTTGCTAGTTGTTCACCATATTATTTCATATGATCTTAGCGATAAGAATGGTTTGTTTCGCCCTTTTCCAAATCTTCCTGGGACTAATTCAAACTTGCTTGCAAGTTTTCTTATGTGTACTTTCTTTGATATATATACCTATAAATTTTGTTATAGAATGACTTTTGTGCATAACTTTGAGAATAAAAATCCAGATACGAGATTTGCAGTTGTCTGATATTATATTTTACAGTATCACATATAAACCCGATATTCGAATCTGATTCTGAATTGGATGTAGGTGGTGAATGGGAAAAATAACATGTACAGGTAACAGCGCCAAATTAAAACCAATTGGACTTCTTGTGGAAGTTTTAAATGACGCCTTCTTAGCAACCCTCGACGTTTCAAAACATGAATTGAGAAGTATATCAGGCACTTCACACAAAAATCGTCCCATTGATTAATGGGTTAATTTCATACTCCTCTAGCTAGACTACCGGTATAAATGAAATGTTCGCTGCAGATGACCTCAGAATATTTCTGAGGAGTATCAGTAGTACAGCCTCCTCGGTCTTCACAAAATCGGGTCCGACGTGTTCAACCTTACATTTATCGGATCTTCGCTCTAGAAGACCGTTATTCCCAATTTTCCTGTATGTCTGTTTGTTCAGCTGTAGCGTCCAAAGGGCTGGACAGATCTGGATGCAATTTTTGACGTGGGTTCTCCTGTAGCCCTGGGATTGATGTTTCCACAATTTCTCAAACTAAGTTAAATATTAAAATTCCGAGAATGCTACCCCCCGAACGAACCGTTTTTTCATCTCGATAATCCACGAATTGGGGAAGCATCAGGAATTTAAGTGAACATGTTTTAACTATTACCTACACTACAGCCTATCGTTTGCGCAAGAATACCTACGAGGCACACATCGTTTAAAATTATCTGGCAGTTCCTTTACCCGTTAGTAACCCTGAAATGATTTGAAATTATTTAACCCTGAAGCATTGATATTGTCAGTTCAGACCTATCATTTCAATTTGAATGCGACAATTTACCCTAATAAGGGGGTTGATCTATGCCAGTAGTTTTCAACCTTTTTGATGGAGCAAAACCCAAATGAAGCATTTCGGAGTTTCGAGAAATTGTGTATGTTATACTTGCTAATTGTACCTTGCAAAAACACGTCATTTTATCATTAAAATTACATTAAAATACTATTTTTAGATTTTTTCATTTAATATTTCTGCCCCAACCCACGTTTAACTAGTTTTTTTTGTGATTTTGCGGGCACATGATATTCCTAATGTTTCAAACTTTTGAAACGGTTTGCTCGCTCTTTAGAATTCGCCATTTTGATTAGTGTATATTATGGAGTTTTCAAAATAAAATATCTTTTTGAAAGTATTAACCACGGCATTTTTGAGATTCCCATACGCTCACCAGATCGTATAGCCATAGTGCATGATCTCGACCAAGGTATAATATCTTTAAGGTGTAGCTAGCAAGTTTAATAATAATGGCAAATCTAAGAAGCATTTAATTATATTATTTAAATATTATAGTTAATAATACGGATTCGAATGTGAACTTGCGGAACACCTGGATTGTAATGGCGGAAATCTGGGCAGCCACGAAACCCTGGTTAAAGAACGGTCAACAATTCTCTGGTCAATTTTCGTATACAGTGCATAAACTTTATTGGTAAAAGTTGAGACGCCTAAATTGAATCTTCCGAGTCTTAACGTTTTTAGCCTTTGTTTACAATTGTGTACATACGTTCAGCAGTGGGCTGGTTCCGATGTAACTGGCGAATGTTCACGTCACTGATTCGCTAATTAGCGTTATTATGTGTGTAATAATACATTTAACAGATACAACTTTGGCACTATTGTTTCGTTTGTCATTCCTAAAAAGCTATTATTTTAGTAGCTTGAATGCCACATGCAAATTTTCGCAAAATCTTTCAAGCCTTATGATGTTGGATTACATATGTAGTTTTGTGTTATTTTGCAATGTATCGAAGTTTCTCTACATGGGTACAGTATTACAAGTGCAGTACAGTATTAGAGTAGGTACTGCATTACAAATTCAAACACTACGTATTTTGATATGCTGCCCCGAATGACGAACGTGTCCATGTTACATTCATTGGATTTCAGTTTGTAAACAGTGAGCCATCTTTTTATTTTGTTTAAGACATTAAGATCTTAAATAAGTTTACCAGGTAGCTGCATTATGTTTGCCCGTTTTTTATTGTTATGTTAATTTGTTAATGCCAACGATCTAAAATAAAACTGATTGAACTATGTTCGCTCCATACTACTCTAGCTAGACTACCGGTAAAAATGGAAGTTTTTCTCACCCTCGATGGTCCGAGACAGATGACTTCAGAATATTCCTCTTCGCTACATGGAATGGTGGTAGAGCAGAGAAGATATCAAGAGAATATTACTGTTGAAATTTTCATAAAACGGCAGTCTGATACATCACGAACAGCACAGACCCAAACGAGCGCTTGTAGCGCATCTGCTGTCCGGTGCTAGACGGAGCGAAGAACACAACAAGAACGCGATGAGGTTGCGTCAGTTACACTAGCCTAAATTAGGAACTGGGTGATGTAGGTGATATTAAAAATCAATAATTTCCAATTTGGTGCCGTTAGATACCCTATGCAAGCCAAATTTTTAAGCATAATATAAGGGTCCGTCGTACAAAAACGGATTCACTCCGGCATATTTTTAATCTGCATTTAGCACAAAGGGCGCGAAGAAAGATTGTAAAAAGTTAAAATGTCGAAGAAATTGTTAATGATTGCTATGAATAGAAATTGATATTTATACCGTGACCAGGCGAGACCCGGGGATCCTTCATTTGATTAACTGTGTTTTTCAAACGTCACGTACAGATTTAAGGTCTTACGATTTGTAATGGAATATTCACGATATTCAATCATAAATATGCCTACCGACGTCAACGTAAGATTCTTAATGAAATCAGAAACAAAGTTAGTTTCCAATTTTAACTATACAGTCTTTGTTTTATTGTACAGTAATATGATACGAATTTCATATGAATCATTCAACTGCAGGCGGTTATCTATTGCTTTTATTTTTTAGACCTACTTGTTTGCCTATAGCAAAATATGCAATAACATTGCAGTAAACGTGATAATGAACTTAACAGTCAACAAGCTAGACGCTAGACCGACAGTTAACGAATATACCACTACTCCGCCCTAGTTAGTCCACTTTAGGCCGACGATGACGCGATATCGAACGACAACTTCACGTTCCACAGATCGCCATGGCGTCCACGTCCAAAAAGTTCATTAGTGACTGTTTTTGAGTACCGACATGGTTCATGTAAAAACACATTTTCAGGTGTCTGAGATTTGCAGTTGGTGTTATTATTCTTATTCTCGTTTTAATTTACATTGATGGTTGTACAAAGAAATATAAGCCTCAGACCATCGTGCGGCTCCAGGATTCGAAAATCTCTACTGACATCCTGCCGCGGCGATTCATGTCTCGATATTCCAACCGTGAAAATCGCGTATTATAATAACAGTTTATTTGAGTATGGCGAGAGGTGAAGATTCATCATTTGTTTAAGTTGCGGTATGGGCATTTATTCTCCGATTGATCGGGTCGATAAACTAGTATTGGTAATTACCGGACACTCAATTTGGCAAATGCATATGTTTATTTCCGAAACCTGACGGGAATTACGTCATGTCGGTAATCCAATGACGTAATCACCCTATTGTAAGCAAACGCAAATTACTGAGCAAGCGTATATACGGAATGGTTCATTGTCTCTTAATTACAAAAGCATAAAAATCGCGCGCGCTCCATTGATTATCCAAACCCGTATGCCTTACTAGAATCCGAGAGAAAGACATTATCCTTTTATCATCTATTGTACAAATAAACGAGGGGTCGACAAACTACGGCTCGCGGGCCGTAACAAAACAGCTATATTGAAGACTATATTCTTTACGTGACAGAATTTGTTTTGAGACACTAAATTATATTATAACCTAACAAGTATATAATTCACAATCACTCGTTTAATGAGCCTATAATTGATTATATTTAGACAAATGGCAACAAAACATAAAAAAGTTATTGCTGAGTGCAAATGGTTTAATGACGCAGAAAATATTTATATGATCAGTCCTCGCCCAGTGCTTAAAATTTAACTGAAATCTGTGTGAAAAAATGTGATTCATTGGCCATCTCCTCTGTTTTTAACTTTCTAAAAATATCTGCGGCGTGCCAATGACTTGCAACCTTTAATTTTGGCCCGCGAACGACAAAAGTTTGCCGACCCCTGAAATAAACATTTTTTCGTGCGAAGTGTTGATCGATTATGCAGAGCACGCCGTGTTGCGCCGCTTCAAAATCCGGATGTGGAGCGCACGTTTGTAGCAGGCTTTGAACTATCTAGACAACGTTGCGCACGAAATAGGGGACGTCCCTACGAAAACGGCAACCCAATGCAGAGAAGCACTTTGAACTTCGTGGAACTCATTCAATCCTTCTGCGCCTTGGCTGCGTGATTAATTATCTGACTGAAAATTCAGATCAGTCTTTAATCGACCGCAACTACCTTCTAAATTAATAGAAGTTTGATGCCAAGTTGCCTCAAATATGAACAAATACCCTGTCACGAAAAGCAATAAAAAGTTATTTGTATAAACAAAATATTTATGGATATTTTTAAGCATTAAACGAAACAATTTTAAAACAGTTACAAACTAATCACACCTAGTAGTCAGAAAGCTGCATTATTAACAGTTTACTGTGTTATGTCAGAGTAATATCCATTCTTAAATTTGAGTTAGAATACTTCCATATGTCACTTTTAAAAAATAAAGTTGATCAACTTGAATTGTGCGACTGATCAGAGACAAATAAATCCAAAAACTTAATCATAGACCAAGAAAACAAGTTTACTCAAAATAAATTTGCAGTCAACACATTAACAATTTTTTTAACAGCATCAATTGATTATATTTAATTCCTGAATGCTTATAATAATGCTTCAACGCAACAGGAACCGTTTACATGAAAAAATAATTAAATTTGAAAAAAAAAGTCAAAATTGAAATTAAAATTTATAAATAAAACCAATTCACAACAAAACTAAACAAAGAATTCGACGCATAAACCTAAGTTCTAACTTTAAACTTGAAATCCCCAGAAAATGATAAAAATATGTAAAATATACATAAAACTTAACATAGTGGAAAGTGTCTTTGACTACATACATACTAACTTTGATACTCAAAATTTAACATGTAAAATCTGACATGCATCGCAGATAATCAATTGGAAGGAGTAAAAATGTATTGTGATACCAAACCAGCAAGGCCATTCAATCACATCAAAGTTCAATTAGTTCATTTTAAACTGAATGTGTTAACTAATATTTTAAAGGTTGTAGAGCTGTGCTCTTTGAAAAAATCGTTAAATTGTGATCAGACAAATAATATGAACGAATCATACAAGTAACCAAATAATAATTTTTATGTGGCAAAACCAATTTGGAAAATGGAGTTAATTAATAAGTCATCAGCAATCAGCGTAATGTTAATTGCACTGTAACAAAGATCAGCTTGCATTAGTTGCTCATTTTGTGCAGAATATTATTATCTGAAGCAATAACTTTCTGGAGAATAATTTTGAAATCAGATACTTCATAAATTGTTACTTTTTGTCATCTCTAAATATAAACCAGAAGCAGTTTTGGCAAGTGAATTTAAAAAAGTTTAGTATCATGTGAATGAATGCAGTCAATATGCTATTATATATATGGATGTCCCAAGTCCATTAATAAAATACAGACCTCAAAAAGTTTCCATGTCATGAAATTGATTTGCTGACAACTTTGGTTTTGAAGTTCGAGACAAGGCATGTAACTGATAGAGATTTTTTTAGCAAATTATACTCTTCATGCAAGTCATCCAATAAATGAATTTAACAGTGTGCCTCTTATATATGCATACACCAATTAGAAAAAAATAGCTGGCATGAAAAGCAGGTGAAATGCATCAGTAAGGCAGTAAATAGAGGTGTGCAAATGTTTTCCATCTGCTTCATTTTAAAAATTGAAGTCGAAATTGATAAACTTGCTGATATAAAATTCAGCAACAAACAAAAATGAATTCTGAAATCAATCCTGGAGTTGAGGAAGTATTATTCTTGAGTGTAACCCACAGAAACAGCGCACCTTAACGGGTAAATCTGTACGTCCTATTACCAATCAATAAAGCCATTTAAAATTTAAGGCACAGTTCAAGCAAGCCTAATGGTAAACCAGGCACTTAACGAATGAGAGCATGAAGTTTAGAATCCAAATCAAACCTTAGACATCTTCTTCCATTCAATTAAAATAGAATTCCCTTTACCAACTGCATTTGCCAAATATAAAAGATGACACTACATCAGTTACCATTCTGAACCAAATTTAGTCTCATTATATATTCAAACCAGAGAGATTCTATTTCAACCAGAAATCAAAATTAAGACCTGAGAAAATGTGTGGTACAAACTTAAAAAAGGTTGAATTTGTTATACATCACATACACACCAAAATATGTGCCAATTTAAAACTATTCAAAATGAATATTAGAATATGTAGATAGGGATATTCCTATCATCAATGGCCATGTGTTAAGCAAATACTTGACAATATATTACATTGCCAACCCCCAACAGTATGATTGTGCTTTTTAGAATTTTAGAAGGGTCGTATCAAATTTAACCAGTATCCACTTGCTTATGTACATATAGTTCCTTGAGTGTTTTTAACTCATCAATTAGCTGTTTGTTCTGATGTTCCAGTACTGCTACTCTCGTCTCCAGACATTTTACATATTCTTTCTTTCGCCTGCGACATTCCTTTGCAGCGTCTCGATTTTTCATCAACCTCATTTCACGCTTGCGAGAAGCATCTTCTGCCATTTGCTGCGGAGATTGGATGTTGTTTTGCATGAGATTTCTAGATGTTTGCATCATGCCAGCTCCTGGAGATGATGCATTATCTTGAATTTGAAATGCCTGCATACCTCCACCAACTGTTTGTACAACAACGTGACTTCCAGGCAGCCACATTGAACCAGGCTGGTTGTTATCAGCAAGCATTGGTGACTGATTTGCCATTGTGAAGCCTTGAATGCCTGGTATTGTAACAGTATTTTGCAATGTCGCAGCTGTGTTTTGTAAAGATCCAATTGAATTTGAAATTGTGTTAATATCAGCAGCAGGTACATGGATCATCTGTGGCGAATTGGCATCATTATCGTCAGTGTTATCGAACAAGGCACTATTATCATCAGAAAGAAGATTTTGAGATGGCTTAACTTCACTAACAATTGGCATTTTTAGGCCCGCGTTTTCGCTATCAACTTTAACAATTTGTTGTTCAATGTTTTCAGTCTGTTGTATAACGTCAGTAGAAGACAAGTCGTTTAAAATTCTCCTGTACGATGGACGCCTGGACAAGACTTCTCTTCGTTTTGCACCTTCAGCAGGATTAAGAGAAGCTTTTCCTTCCTGTTCGTTTTCTGCTAAAGATGGGTTTGCAGTGATTACACTATGAACTTTAGATGAAGGCTCAGATTTATTCTCAGGCTGTGAGAAAGAAACCATTTGCGATCTAGCCTCCGTCACAGACGCTTGAAGTTGAACTTGTTCAGCAGCAGATTGTTGAATTTTATTGCCTTCAAAAAGTTTTTGATTTGATTCAGGACCATGCAAAACCGCTTCCATTATTTGACATCTCGTAGCTAGGCAAAGCTAATTTATATAACTAAACATTATTTACATAACAGTTAAATGACAATTATGAAAATACATTCTGTACATCAATGATACTACTTTTGATATACTAAAATTCACACATTTCTCAAAGCTTGCTTGAGCTTTATTGATAGGGAGATATTGATTTGATGAATAATCGCATTCAGGGAATTTAAAACATTCCTAAACTATGAATTAGAGACAGTCTGCACAAATTATGCCATTCCCAACCACACAATCATTCCATCCAATTCGATCTTGATACTATCTTCTGTACAGTACATCTTTATGCATTGTGAAAACAATAATTTGTTCAGTTCTACAAAATGGGTTTTGAAAAGAATTGATAAGTCTCAAAATCATGTCTGCGATACATGAGTCAAAACAAAAACATTTTACTGCTTCCAATTAAAGTTTTTTTTTTCCGTATTTCACAATATTTCATACTTGATTTTACAAAAAACTGATGCGAATATGTCGTTGACTACTGAAAATACCAGACACTCCATCATATTGATTAAGTTATTTATCAGCCTTCTTTCCTCTGTGAGCTTGTAACACGTATAAGTAAACTGGCATTCTATGTAATTGCTTATTTGATTGGGGTTGCAATCCTACTTCTACATACGGCACTATTATTTTCGTACTTTAGCTTTTTTTGACATTCTGCTAATATGAAATCATACTTAAAAATCATAGTAGAAATAATACAAAAACATGTTGTCATTACCAGAGTTGACCAAAACCAAATAACGTTCATTCCAAATTTATCTGGGAATAGTATTTTCGAATGTAGACTTTGTTCTAAAATTGGATCATTCTCAATGAAGCAAACACACAAACCACTGGTAGAATTGATTTGGTTATGCAGAAAAGTGAATTTCAATTTGGTAGGTTTCCTATTTTCCTACAGCTTTTAACAATCAGAAAAAGACTTTTAGTCACTTAGAATTTTGCTCAAAATGCCAAGACCAGAAGAAGCTTTTCAACAATATCCCCAAAAATCAAAAATTTTATATCGAATGGGATTTTTGTTAAAGTTATCCCAGGGAGAATAGAAAATGATAATTAATCACATTGGCCAACCACAGCGCACATCTAGTTGATATTCAGTGACCTGCAGACCTGCGCTAACTAATAAATTAATATAATCTGAGAGGTCGTTCAGATTAAAAACACGAATGTATTATTGTATGCAGCTATGAAGATGTAAAAAACAACTAAACAATAAAAGTATTCAATCCCAAGGTGTTCGGGTGCTTTGTTATTTGTTTAAAATATGAAGCATCAACAAAATCCAGAAGTTCAATAAATTTTTTTTCAATTGTTCCATTAGTTTATCAAATTTCAAACCCAGATTCATATTATGTTCTGCAGTGTAGATACATACCTACATAGTTCTGTCGCTATGTCAGCATGCAATTATTTGCTACTGTACTAACGCTGTTTTCGAGGCTTTTATCTTAGTATTTGCAATTTAATTCAGTATTTCCTAAATTTCACATCGATATGATTGAAACTGGATTCTGGGATTTATCTTCAAATTAGCTTAATTACCTTGTTAAGACTACTCCTGTACTTGCAGATTTGCCGACCTAGACCTGGAACCCACAACAGAATTGTCGGTCAAAAATGAAACCATACAACGCAAAATCTAAATAGTGATGCAAATACTATATAGTACTTAAATCCTATTATTGGATTAAAATTATGTTTAATTCATCTGACTTACGGCTTACAACGTTCGCCGGCACCGCTAATGTTTTCTCTCAATGACAACAAAGGTGACGTCAAAATGACGAGCCTTGCCCAGCGAAGCCTGCAGAGAACGGGATAATCGCAGACGAAAAGGAAGAGAATGGGCGGATGACGTCAGCAACAATGACGACATCATGTGACCAAATATTTTAAAACTTCTAGCAAATTCTAAATTTTACATCGTGTATTTATAAAAAATATACATCGGTTTCGATTTACTTGAGGCATGGTGACGAAGAAAAATAAAATAGAGTTAAGAGCGAGAGGTTGCGAGTTTGTATCGATGACAAGATGTGCGTGTGCACGTTAAATTTATTCACTGTTTCGTATAGTTTTCAGACAACTTTCCCTCAATATCGAACATATTGGTGAATTTTGCGTTTATTTCTCTTAAAACGTAACAGCCTTTGCACAGTAAAAATAACTAAACATACAAGCAGGATACATGGCCATAACATTGTTGGCCTAAGGTACATCTGTCCTCTGTGAAAAAAATATACATTCAATGGATGCATCAAATGCCTGCCCTATCTATTAGGGGTGGTGAAAATTTGTTTAAATCTGTTTAACTGATTGATAACTAAACGAGAGGTAGCGGGCCACCTAAGATAGCATTGTTGGCGCGTCTGTCCGTCGAAATAAGTAAGAGTATATCTTTTCCTTGGCCAAAGACGTTTAGGGGCTATGCGTTTATAACAGACCGATACAATAATACATTTGTGTTTTTAATCTGAACGACCTCTCAGATTATCTTAATTTATTAGTTAGCGCAGATCACTGAATATCAACTAGATGTGCGCTGTGGTTGGCCAATGTGATTGCCTATCATTTTCTACTCTCCCTGGGATAACTTTAATAAAAATTCCCTTCAATATAAAATTCTTGATTTTTGGACATAATGTTGAAAAGCTTCTTCTGGTCTTGGCATTTTGAGCAAAAATAAAATAAAGAGAGAGAGGTTGCGAGTTTGCACGATGACAAGACGTGCGTGTGCACGTTAAATTTATTCACAGTTTCGTATAGTTTTCAGACAACTTTCCTTCAATATCGAACATATTGGTGAATTTTGCGTTTATTCCTCTTAAAACGTAATAGTCTTTGCACAATAAAAAAACATACAAGCAGGATACATGGCCATAACATTGTTGGCCTAGGATACATCTGTCCATGTGAAAAAAATATAAATTCAATGGATGCACCAAATGCCTGCCCTATCTATTAGGGGTGGTAAAAAGTTGTTTAACTGCTTGATAACTAAACGAGAGGTAGCGGGCCACCTAAGATAGTATTGTTGGCGCGTCTGTCCGTCGAAATAAGTAAGAGTATATTATTTCCCTGGTCAAAGATGTTTAGAGGCCATGCGTTTATAACAGACCTCACCAGGACGCCAGAGACTTCACTAAAACGGTATTTGCAACAGTTTAACAAATGCGCTTAACTCATTTAGCGAGTTGATATGGGTGGATGCCCTGATATCCAGACAAACTATTAACTCTTATCCTGACACGAAAATTATGGCAAAAGCATCCGGTGTTCATTTTCGTAATGCTTTAAAAACAGTCTAACATTTGATTTTTCATGGTTTCAGTTACATGTTGAAGATATAATGATGGCGAAAGCATCAGAGGCACATTTTCTTAATGCTTTAAAAACAGTCTAACATTTAATTTTTGAGGTTTCAGTTACATGGTGAAGATATCCTAATAAGAAGCAAAAAATATGGTACTCGCTGAGAAATTTGCAGGCCCAGTATCAAGTTATATTGAACACAATGAAAAATAAATAAACTCGAACCCAAGAACTTAGAATTGACAAAATCTACTTTTCATGTTTGAAGTCGATTGTGCAAAGATTCTCAACCTCGTCAGTTTAAAAATGTTCTGAGTGAATAATAAGTAGAAAAAAATTCAGAATGGTGATTTGCATTTATGTGCAAAATTCAAATATCTATTGTGATATGAAGATTAGCGATACTGATAAATATGCCGATATATTACGAGTCTCACATACTTTGTTAGATGTCAGATTCAGCAAGAATATTGGAGACATGTAAACATATTGACATTTGTAATGCAGATGTGATTATTCCAAAAGCTCACGAACAGGGGTTTTGACTTTTAGCTTCATTAATGGGAGACAGATATTTGACAAGAAAATGATTGAAAATCGCTGGATTATCCCTATTGTAATATTGACATAAAAGTTGAAAAGCAAAACATTACAGTGACAAGGCACACATAGAATATCTCGGAAAAGATGACATAGTCCATAAAAGTCATTTCCGAGAAAAGTTCTGAGCAACAATAATATAAAAAACCATCGCAAAATTTATGTCATAAGTGGTCATTATTAAGGCACTAAAACATAAATAGAAGAATAGCAGAATGACGCTGTGCTCAAAGAAGTGCGAAGTTAAAAAATCTGAGAGACTTTCGAACTCATACTGCTTTGTTATAATTCATTATGCTTAGAAATAGAAACGTCGTTATCGAATATTTGTAATAAATCTTTACTACTTTTATATAATTGATGATAAAAACTGTCTTTATCTCCTTGTTCTTCTTCAGATTTTGAAAGTTGTTTATATTCCTCCTGCAAAAAAAAAGAACAGATATTTCATCATATCATGAGAATTGTGAATGTTCCTATATGAACATAATTGTTGAAGTTGAGTCGTAAAACATTTAACTTGCTCAGCTATCTTCCAATCGAGTCATGTTTCATATAAATTCCCAAATTACTAGAAATGGTGTATTTCACCTATGCGAACATACAAACCTTGAAAACTTCCAGGGCGCTTTTAGCAGCATCAATATAATTATTTTCATGCTTGCAAACACCATGTACATTTCCCATCACATTCAGTAATACTTCTCTTTCATCATGTAGTGCAGTATTTAACATTGACATGATGTTCTCACAAAATCCCATTTCATTAATAGCAGATGACAGAGAAAATCTGAAAAGAGCAGTCCAGCTTGTTGTATGCTGCATTTAACAGTTTAACCATCATTTACCGGCAGGAATACCTCCCCAGCGAGAAATTTTATAGTTTTCGAGTAGGGAATATTACTTTATATTTAGATAGTTTAACTACTATTGTTCAGTTATTTAGCAATATTTTATACATATTTATGAGCACATTATCAATTATTTAAAAACTAGAGTGTTACTTGCGCGTAATGCAAGATAAGGATCAAATAAAGGTTGAACAAATAACAGAAACAAATTTTATGCATTGTGAGGGCAGATAAGGAAATTCAAAATACGCTAAGGGATGAATTTACTGTAAATGATTGGGAACCACCAGTTTATCGAATACAATTGAAATAAACAAAATCATGTGTAGTTTTTAGTACCATAACGTGTCTCTGCATGTGAAATAAAAATATCTTCAAATTGTTGGTCAATTTAAATAGATAAATGTAATCCCAAACGGAGACGTTGGTTTTGAATTAACCTGATATTACAATTTCCAAATACATTTTAAGAATAAATTTGGTCATCTTTATGGATACTCACAATTTATATTGTCTCATAAGTTCTTCTTTGTTCTTATTGAGTAAATGTTGATCCTTTCTCTCCACAATCAAATCATTAATTAGAGACAGCACTTTTAATCTTAGTTTTTCATCCTGTGAAAAAAAGGCTATTTTTTGTATTTTTGCCATTTGGGATAAAAAAGAATATTTGCTGTGAACAGTAAAACTTTGAGACTAGGTATTTTGACAAAAGAAAAACGAGAATATCGGTCAGAGACCGAAAATTATCATCGAACGTTAGGGGATTCCCCGAAACAGGGCTCTTACTCCATAGTGACACCTTGTGTCCCATCACTAATTAAATAATAACTCGCTAATTATACGACATATTCTTCCAAAATCAATAGGCTTCTGGTCCGACATATGATGAATGCACACGCAAAATCTGGAGCAGATTCAATCTCGCTTTCGTGAGATATCGCGTGCATCTAACAGACAGACAAATACCTATCAACATACTTACCGATTAAAATCTATGAGTAAAAACAGTTTGTATAGGCTGTAGTCATAAATTATGAAATTTTTATACTGTTATTTATAATAAAAATGTTTCCTGAAAATTTTTGAGTTAAATCAATAAAACATATTTTATAATAGATGTTGATCCCGGCACATCCCCCCTTCGTCTTTCACCTGTCTTAGACAGTTATATGACTATACTCATATCACAGATTGAAAAAACATAAATCTTGTTTTTCCATTCTGACAAGTAGTTTCACAATATTTTAATAAAATGGACTCAATTGCTCGACATGTCAAATTAATCATCAATTATCATTACACATTTACCTCATTAAAGCAATTCCTCAAGGCAGTAAAGCCTCCCGCATTCTTAAACATGTACTGAGCAGCAGGAAAATTTCTTATCAAAGAAGACAATGCATATATAGACCTCTTACGAACTGCCACGGGTTGCTTTGTATCTGAGACAATACGAATTAATGCCGGTAGAGCTCCAATCTCCATTGCCTTTAATAAAAAAATGAATAATTGCAACAGAGTATAGTATCAAATCTATGGTTCATTTCAAGATCTATTATTCATCGATGGAATAACACAAGACATTATGAATATTACTGTATTCAGTTCTCAATTTCTTTAAGTTTTTAGAGTGAACTTGGAACTAAAAACAGATTTGAAAAACCAACCATCTGTCTTGTATCACATAGTGATTCCCAATAGGGGCAAACTAGTGCGCCGCGTCGACTTGCTAAGTGCTATACGAAAATTAACAAAAGTGTGGTAAACATAACTAATATATGATTGAATATTTTACGCTGACATAGCATATTATTACAACTCAAAAAATAATTTTAAACATAAAATTTCCCCAAATCACTAATTTCTCTTGTATTGTTACCCAAAATGCCACATACTAATTTGCTACTATGAAATATAGGTAGTTTTTCTTTTATAACCAAACCATTGAAGGATAAAAATAAAAATAAATGGGTGTATATCAGTGGATCTTTTCACCATTATTGAAAAGCTTTTTCATAAATATACCAAATAATACCCATATCATTGGAGTCAAAAAAAGTATAATACAAATGAGTGTATAAATTGAAATCATCTTACCCTAACTTGTACTTTTGGATTATTTTGAACTGCAGATCCTACAACATGAGCAGCCTCTAACCTTATATTTGTGTCTGTATTATTCAATGCACTGATCATTGTTGAAATTCCGTCAAGTTGAATAAAATCAACTGCATTATCAATCTGAAAAATGAGAAAATGTTTTCCTTGTTATTCATGAACTATGCTTTTAGAGAAGAAATACTGATCCGAAAATAAATGAAAATGAATAAATAATGGGGTTAAAGCTTCAAAATTGAAAAAAAATATACATTTCTGGCTTCTGCTCATCCTACCCATTTCATATAAGTCTACATATGCTGGAGAGAAAACATTCCATTTCCTTGTGTAATATTCTGTATTTTGAGAGGTTAAATAATGTATTATTATAAACATTAAGTGCATGTATTGGACAGTCATTCATAAAATTTCTTAATATAAGAACTGAACACATACCTGATGTACATAGTACTCCAAATCTTGCAGTGCAAGAACTTTAACATCATTTGCAGTATTCACATCTTTAAACTTATTCAACAACATTGTCATTACTTGAAAATCTGTCTCTTTACCTAGTTTTAGTTCATCAAATGCAGTTATAATTTCATCCATTGAACGAAATTTCTCTTTTATTTTCTATAATGATAAACGTTTTTGAATTATTGAAGAAAATAAGGCGCTCCAGAAGTGTGTGTACCAATATATGGAGGTAACTAATTTTGTTCGCCTACCTTACATCAAGTTGTGTGAAGGGCCGGAAGCCTATGGCCAGGGGTATATTCACTTGGCTAATACAGACAGTCCCCGAACTTGTGATAGAATTAAAATAAGGAAAACCAGAAAAAATAATTCTTATAAAAGTCACGATTACTCTTTAGGGAGCCATAATTTGAATCCCACGTAGGCCAATTTTTATGTGGGGGCAGGACCCATAGGCTTTGATAATTCACATTTCGGTGGTCCAACATAATATTCCCTACCAAGGGAGCAATACCATCTGGAATTGTACCTTTTCCTGTTCTTCCGTTGTTTCCTCAAACTTTTCCTTCTTCATTTTTTTCAAAGCAGATTTGAGTTCATCAATTTTAAAATGTTGCGATGAGCCCAATCTGCGATCACACAACATAAATACATTTTTATGGTTTTTATCAAAGATATCTCCTAAGCTTTGTACAACTTGCCACTTTGCAGTGAAATCGTGAATTATGTCAAATTTTACAAAACTTAATAATAATTTTTCGAAATTTGTATATTATATTTAAATTATTGATAAGGTTTTGAATTCAAGAACTTACTTAGCAGCATCTGGTGTCTTTTTTATGGGATCATCTTTTATTATTATAGATTTCATATCTGTGTTAGTGTTGCTTTCGCTATCCATTAACTTTGCCCACTTGCCACCTTTTTGTAAATCCATTTTCACATGAAGACCAGGTGGTATCGCTTGACCTAAAACAGAAAAATTTAAATTATGTTAGCACAAATATAAAGCTGAATTTCAATATTATATCAGACCCAAATAATAAATATATTAATTTACAAAATACATCATCATGACTTTTGATCCAGCATACCTGAACAGAGAAAGCAATAAATATTATAGGCTACTTCTGCTATTATCAAAGTAATTTGCTTCACCTCTTGGATGAGCAAATAATAATATACATGTATCTGTGTATAGCTGAACAAAGGCTACCTGGCTTTATTTCTTGCCATTCATGAGTTGGAATAAATTCATCCGAACTTTCCACATCTCTTGTACTGTATATTCCTGGTACACTTAAACAACATAGAAGGCAGAGCAAGGGGAGTCGTTCATATTTCATATCGATTAAACTCATAATTTTCATTTTTCTGTTTTTATCAACCAAATTTCAACTGTAGTCTATTACAATTTTAGATGCACAAAATGACAAAACCAATGTCAAATTTACTGATTTGATATATGTATCCATATGTTGTATTTTTGATAAAATAGATTAGGATTTACATATTTATCAAGTAAAGAAAGAGGGAGAAAGAAAGATGATATAGGCCTATCACTATCAGTAGGCGAGCCACAGCCACTTTGATTCTACTACGCACCATCACAGCGATTAAGGTAGATATCAGCACAACTGTCCATACAGGTACTCTAAAAGCATTCTAAGACAAAAAATAACGTTTCCTTATTTGCCAAACTGAATTCCAGTGTCAATATAGAAATTACTATTTTTGTATTTTTAGTCCATACGGTAGGTATAGAAGTGAATTAAAATTATTTGTACGCCAATTCCAGTTTTGGTTAAAATAAAAATCGGAATACAATTGCATGGTTTAAATTCCGGTTAAGTGAAGAAAAATATTACCCATACAAAATATATGTCGTATTTCACAAAAACTCTGCTCACAAACCGTCCACCTTCTACCAGACTAGTCGTATTGCTATTTTACTACAAGAGACTCGCTCGGACTCCGCGTCACAACAACTCGTTCCGTACTTTCCCGCTTGGGTATTTAACACAATCACAAAAACACGTGTCCAAATCGCAAAAGCGACGTGTCTCGAGCAATTTCTGATGTAACGAAAAGTAAAGCAATGTACTATACGTTTACATTGCTTTGCGCAATGGGTGATGATTAATAGTGTTTATAACTTTTTATTAAACATACCCGCGCAATGAAAATGACCAACCACTGCGGGATGCAAGAAAAGACCTGGTGTAGTAGCCGATAGTAGCCGACTCGGAATTTCGATGCTGGTTTGTTTCAATTACAAGTACAGTAAACAAAACTAGAATAATCTGCGATTAACTCCAGCGGATCAGGCAGTTAATATTTTTCAAATATCCATTTACTCACTCATACATACAATTCTTATTGGGCAATTTGGCATTAGGTGACTCCAACTATAATCAGCTTGACGATATCTTTTGAGGAATACTTTTTATCCACAGTATATAACTCTTGTTGACTAATTCGGTATCCAATTTGGCAATCCTCATAAAATTATTAATTTGGTGTGGCAGAAGAATTTATTCTTTTTTTTATTTGTTTGTATATTTTTCTTTTTACTGAGTAATTTAATTGATTTTATTTTTTAATAATATAATAAGTTATTTAGCCATGCATTTTCATCATAATAAGAATATTAATTTGATTAATGAATCATTCACCAATTCCATGTGTAATTTTTTCATTCAACATGTATTCCATTTGAAGATCCAAGCCATTGGTTGTCATATTCCGACATATTTTTCACATTAATTTAGGTTATTGTATTATTACAGTTAATATATATACATGTAAAAAAACAAGGAATAATTAGATCTGTATATTGTACAATACAATAGTAGATTTAGTCCATTAAAGCCTTTACATCGTTCTTACAGTTTTTGCATAACATTTTCGTACTTAGAGTCATTCCTTTGATTCTCTATATTTTTACGACCAACAATCGACATTTTAACTTTTTCGACAACTCTGTCCAAATTAGGCATTACGTTTTGAAATACAGCTTCATTTCTTTCGAGCCATATTTTATGTCTGGTGATTGACATTACAAGGATTATACACTCCAACTCTTCAGCATTTTGATAAAATGCATATTCATAATTGCATAATGCATAATTAATTTTAAGTCTCGCTTTTTTCACTTCCGACCTTATCATGTCTCGATCGAAGTGACTATAACTATTATAGTCACTTTGGTCTCGATGATTGTGTGTGTGTGTGTGTGCGTGCATGCCTTAATTAGTTTTTTTTACTTTTGGGTGAGCGAACACGTACTACTTCTTTAATCAATACCTTTCCATCTAAAATCTGTACGCTTCAAACCTTACTTGAGGTTTGGTTTGCTTTCCCGATTCTATAATCAGTTTCTTTTATTTTTTGTTTTCATCTATTATTTTATCGTCTATTGCTGATTATGGAGTCGAAATAAACTTATGCTTATACACTCGCGAAAGATGGTATTTTTTTGATTTGGTAATGCCGTTAAATGTGCGACAGAAAGTGTCGTGGAGAAGTAAAATTGCATTTGAGTATGGGATTCTTTACACAAAAAGTAAAACAGCTTGAATATTCTGGTATTTCATACTAAGATCATGAATTCAATTCGAACAACTACAGTACACATAGATTGGTTAACGCGAATCAAGCGTTCACGCGAGAGAATTGGTATTTACGCACTCCCAAGATTCTGAATCAGATTACTACAGTGGAATATGCCTATGCTTTGAAATTTAACAACTCAAATCATTCCAGAGTACATACCGTAGTTGGTTTATCTCAAATTTACATTCTTAGACAAAGACTGGACCTTAACACCTCCTTTTCACTTACTTTCCCTATTACAATTGTCGCCTTACTTGAGCAATATCAATGGAAACGCGACTAAACTATGCCCAATTCACAAAATAAAACCATTATTACTGACAATAATATGTTAAATAAATAAATTTTGGGCCTATCAACATTGAAGTCATAACTAGGGTGCTCGAAGAAATTCGAATGAAATGTCACGGCATTGTTGAGTTCAAATAAACAAATAGACCAGTGGTTCTTAAACTTTTTGAGCCGTGCCCCATTTGACAAATTTTACAAACTTCGCGCCCCCCCCCTTTCTACTATGAAAAAATGCTTTTGTGATGGGCAGGTTGTTTATATTAAGATGGCGCTGTGAGAGTGTTGGTCTCATAGTGTCATGTTCAGATTGTTTAGACATAAAACGCATCGGACTACAACTTCGCCATTCACTGTCGTATGTATAAAGCCATACTCAAATAGTGGTTATCATACATTCTCCCTTTTCCGCTCAGTTTGCAATACCTGGTAAAGTCAAACTAAGTTTTAAGTTAAACTAAACACGCAATAAACGTATGCGTTTTGCGCTTCAATGTATTTTCTGCTTAAACGTTTGCATAAGGCACGTGAAATGTCAATCAATTGTTTACTTCATCACTACTAAGCAATGCAAAAATTATTTACCGTATGTTAAAAATACACAACAATTACAGAATTCTTGGCTTGCCTAACGTCTCCAAAACTCACTACCAATACTTCTGGACAACCACCAGGTACAAAAATACAGTTTACAAAATGGAGAAGTGCAAGTGAATTGATGTAAATTGTTAGCATAAAGAAAGCAGTTCAATTTTTAATATATAGTTATTATGCATGTGGACGTTTCCCCGGCCCTTGACCGCTGAAAAATAAAGACGCTAATGACGTTTGAGATTGCATTTTCAATAAATCTCGATTGTTTTCGTCAGCGCGACATGTTATGCCGTAAAAATCTTTATTTTGGTGTTTATTCTCCATGAATCAGAAATTTTCTTCGACATATTTTTGTGCCGCGAAGGCGATGATAATTACTTTTTTTTTTTTTTATCTCGCATGAAACTATGACACCTGTGAGGAGAGCGAGTTAGTTTTTATTATATAATCATCAGCGACGAGATGATAAATATAAAATAAAGAAGTGAATCCGCAACCAAATTTCTTGATTGAAATAGCGGCATTATGAAATACTGAAAACAAAACGGAAAACACCATGGGTTTTGTTTTGGGGTGGACCGCGACACTTTCTTAGACATTGGAAATCTCATAAATTCCTTGTGCCTGAGACTCCTTTCCTAAAATTAATCGATGGAGCGGAGTAAGAGTTACAGGGGCTCATATTGGTGTAATTTGCAAGAATACGAATTCAAATAAAATGTACGGGCACTTTGCTACACATTTTTAAGTCCGCGGATTGACGTGGTATTTTGGAGTAGTGGTGCTGTTATTTTATCGACGCAATCGCAGATTTAATTTATCACGATTAAATAAATAAAGAAACCATTTTAAATACGTATATCGGTCATGGATTGAATATTTTATTCAGCAGAAAAACCATTACATATCCGTTGAAAAAGTCAGCTCTTTTGAGTGGCGCACCGCGGGGATTTCGAGTCGATGAATATGTATTTTTCATATATATACTAATATAATTAATATGTATTTTCATTGTACTAAATTAAATATACTTCCTGGGATTTCATACGAGATCTTTCTAACCACGATAACGAAATCGCTCGAGCGCAATATATATATATCAAAACTAAATATAATCGGGTAGTTGATCACATATCATTATTTCCGCGGATTGGCGTGGTATTTTAGATCGGTAATGAGTTTATTTTGTCGTGAGTCGCCGCAACCGTGAGTTACCTTGAACACAGATGAATTAAAATAGAGAGACTTTTGAACTCTTGTAGTTGTCATAGATTGAATATTACGAGACAGGAAAATTTATTATAGCGCAAAAAAGCCGGCATTTTTAACGAACGCGGAGACCTTTACAGAAGCCGTTACATGAAAATTCCCGATTCCATCATGTGACCTCTCGCGCCCCCCCCCCCAACCTCCCCCCAGCTAAAGAACCACTGAAATAGACTGTAGAATTTCTGATTTCAAATCTCCCAACTTCAAGTGTTGTAATGTAACTGAAAATTTGCAAAGAATATAGCGCAGTCAAAATTTTCAACCAAGAACTATCGGAAACGGTGTTCTCAGAATTTCGATACATAAAATTTCCGTTTTCTTTAAAATCGCTAATTGGAAGCAAAATGATACGCATTGTTTCGCCTCTTTGCTCGAGCCGAGGCTTCAATTAAACAAGCGGCCACTGGAGAGTTGCCAGAATTTGGATCTAAATTTAACAGGATTGGTGAATAACCTACCGAATTTATTACACCCGTAGGGAGCGCCGTCATAAGATATGAACCTTCAACTGTGGGTGTTCCGACATCAATATGGTCACATTTGAGGCGCTAACGCATCAAGTCAAATGCGCGATAGAAATAGTTAAAATATATTATAAATTGCAAGCAAAAACGTAGAATGCGCGAAAGGGCTGTATTTAGAGTTCCTTCCACAACAAATAGGCATTCGACTTCTTGATTTGACATTTTTTCGCAGGTCCACGAAGTTCATCGAAGTTCTTGACCTCGTGCGTCTGACCTGAATTTCACCTCTGTTTCGTCACAGACAAACAAGTGCAATTCAACCAATTGTCGTACACTATTCATTTGCGATAAATGTTATTTTTACATAACAATCATGTTTAAAATATACAAAGCATGGTTGCTGGGGACGAACAAAGGTCATTATCAGCATCCGTCAGGCTTTGCCCCAACAGCGTTTATCTCGTAAGAATGGCAAATAATGATAAATCATCTCGTGGCTGGAAGAAATTGGGAGGTAAGAGCAATTTATCATTTTTTGTTTCGTGGGTTATGCAAATCCATGCAGCCGATAATTATAAATAATAAATTGAAAAATCTTCTGACCAAATGCTTATGTATCGAACCCATTGCAGTCATTCGACACAGCGTGGATTCTCTTTGAATAGGCTACATTTATAATGTGCTATTATAACTTAATTTATTCGTCTGCACTATTGAATTATGTCCCATCCAGAAATTCGATTTAATCCGATTCCCGCAAAAAAATTTCAATGCCAATCTCTGAGAACATCTGCAGACGATTTTAACGTTACATAAATTTCGTTAACTGGACTTTTCGTTCGTATAGAAAATACAGAATGAAAATACAGTATTATCTTTCTCCATGATTTCTTTATTTTATACCGAACTATCTACTGGCCTACTTGACGTCAACTTATGATCAATAACGTACAACACCAGTAGTAGATAACTTCTTAGTAACTGTATCTCTAGCCATCTTTTAGGTACCGGCAAGCAGTTAACTCTTTTTTTTTTGGGGGGGGGGGGGGGGGCGTCCTTCGTTGCAAAGGGCGTTTTTGTTAAGATTTGGGGATATTCAGATATTGAGCCTACTTTCAACTCCGTGAAACATTGTACAATAAAATTACGATATAAAGGATGGGACAGTACTACCATCGAAGGATCAGTACCTAAAGAACAGAGCTAAAGACTTAACGAATCTAAACATTGTATAGCAAATCTTGTTATTTTCATTGTTGCTGGTTTTTATTATTATGCTTTAAAAATACTTCTCGGTAAACTATACCTCAGTTTTAGTAAACGACATTTGCTCCAATTTGACCAATTAGTCTTTTTGAGTGGAATTTTATTTGGATGTTTTACAGAATGTCAAAAATCGATGAAAACGGTAGAAATAAGAAAACAACAAGATACGGTAAGTGAAGATTTCAATTATAATAACAATAGAAATTCACGAATAAGAATTTAATATATATACTTAATAATTATTGTTTCTTTTTATCAACATCATTGAAGCGGTAAAATGTAATTTGGAATAAATGCTTTGAATCTTTTGCTAATTGTTGGTCTATATATAAACTGCAAAGTATACATTTTATTATTGTTTATGCCTAATATTAGTTTTGTTGAAATATGGGTTAAATACGTTGTTCCTCACGAAGCGATACTGACGAAATATTACCCTAGTTCACCGGATGATACTGTTTTTGTTACTGGGTGTCAATTTTCTCGTAGTTATTAATAAAGTAAAAGTGTCTATTTTTGCAGAAAGAATTTATTGTTTTTTTCTTTTTAGTTTTTCCCTATCATGGAAAAGTTGATAAGCCAAAAAAATGTTTGTGCAACGAAAATGGGCCACGAAAGAAACAAGGTTGAGAACCACTGCCCTAGTTTTAACATTATAATTTTGCTATTTTCTTTGGGAATACGTTTCATTTCCAATTCCAAAAAACAAATTTTGGTTATACCTTTTTTTCATTAATTTATAAACTTTTGTGATATAGGGTGAAAAGAAGAAATACCCCGAAGGCACCTGCTTGCCCGAAGGTAAGTGGGTTGTATGTCTTTTGATATAAGTCAAATTCTAAACGTTACCAGAGACGCCAACATCTGCATACATTAAAATGAAAAAAAAAGGGGTTTTCAATGCTCAATCATCGAATGTTGTATTCAAACTGAAAGAGTATTACTAATATTGTGCCTCATTCGTTAGCGTGGATAAACCTGTCTGTTCAAATCCTGTAACTTTTTATTGAAATACTTGAATGGTTACTGCTTCACAAAGTTTTTTTTATACATGCATGTAATGACTATAATGCAATATTGCAAAATATATTTTCAGATTCTGTTGCAACGACGACACTTTGCGGAGATATTGTAGCAGACAGGTAATACGATAGGCTTGTGTAAACACCAGGCTTTGTGGAGATATCGTTGTAAAGCAATAGTCTGGCAAAACGTTATCAACGATTTGACCGCTGCTGTAATGGAATGAGCGAGTTCAACGTAATTGGTTCCATATGTTATTTAACCAAGAATTTAAACTTCTGACTGGTTACTAAGTCTCTTTGATTAATCAAATAATAATTCATATATGACTAAAATAATTGAAGTTAGGGATTGGTCCACTGTAAAAATATGAATGGCTTTACGGAATTGTTTTTTTAGCTACAACATCGCTACACGGCAAAGCTTTGGTGGAAAAAGAACTGGACATCAATTCCAAGGTATTTAGTGGAAATTCATAAAAGATATTTATGTGAAACAGCTAATGAAGACTCATATTACATATATACATATTATTGTACGTAGGTCAGGAACGAACTGTGGAGGAGAGTAGCGAGAGCGACGAGGAACAGAGTAAAATATCGATTAAACCCGAGGATGACAAAAACTTCGTTCAGCTTGAAAATTGTGATCTCCATAATATTTGTCAGGATCAAACACATAGACATGAAGCTGTCATGACTGCCCACCCGGTAATATTGCAATTTTGTCTCAACAAAAAACGTAGATAATTCTATACTTGCAGATATTACCTCTGGTTCCCGTACATTTGAACCCACGACAATTGCACCTGCATACTATTGCACCTACGGAAAATCGTGATTTTTTTGTTTTGCGCATATTTGAACCCATACAAAACCCTACCCATGGGTTTTAGCACCCGCATTTAGATTTGAACAGGCGGATATACACATGGTTCCAAATGCACGTGAGTTCAAATGTACGGTCATCATTACCTCTGCATTTAGTGCATCTCTGGTTGACATAGTTTTGTTGGTAAAAATAACAGCCGTGAATTATCACTTTATTTAATTTATAACAGAATGATTTTCTTGGAGACGCTGGAACATCTTTCATTGTTCAGAATCAACTATGGACCAGAGAACCGACTTATGGGCAGAAAAATTCCTATGTTGGTAAGTTAATTTGCTAACAGTCAGGCTACCACTTCAAAATTTGGTGGTCTTTTTCCATAACTGGTTCATGAGCGTTGCACACCTAGCAAAGCCTGAAATATCTATTAGCGCTGCAATTAGGCTATTTTGGCAAATGAAATGTTCAAATTGGGATGCTAATATACAACACGCGCTTACCAGCTCATCCGTAGTCTCTCTATTGACGAAAAAGGCGGGAGAGGGATATTCACCGTCAGCACATTTGTGCGCCACAAATTTCAAGACGGGTGTGTTGACAATAACTGTGCAAGCGAGAAGAATCATGAGCGTTGAAGGCGATAAGTCGAATACGAGAATCCAACTAACGATCTTTTATTTCAGGCGTCGAATAACTTATCCAGGTGTGTGAATGTAGCGTTAGAAAAGTATCTTCATGCGATAACATCACAATATGTATTTTAGAACGATATGCGATTCCGAGCCAAGGAAGTCCAACTTACATACAACAACCTGGAATGATGATCGCAAATGCCAAACCAATGCAAGTACACGGAATGAGGCCTCAACAGCACGAGTAAGTCCAATTCTATTTGTCTGAAAAAACTTCCAGCTCGTTCAAATTTGACGGACGTTTGCTAACAGAAAATGTTGAAATCGTTTTTCACGAGTTTGCTGCACGTATTTTTGTACACAACACAATGCCTATACCGGACTTAAATAATATTGCTACAAATACGATAATGTTCCTAGACAAACAACAGTACTTCAAATTCTCTTTTAGCCCAATGCAACAGAATCCAAACAACATGGCGTTGGGAATGGGATACATTCGATGTGTCGATCAGAACACTTATATCAGGCAGATGGTAAGAATATGAATATTTGGTATGGTACGCAGTTTGATCCCTATTTTAATGATTAAGAAATTTACGTTGGTTGAATATGCAAAATTACGTGAACTAAATTCAGAGATTTCGATTTTCTGAATTTTTGTAAAATGGATCTAAAAATGCCGTTTACGTAAATTCAAGACATTGCAGAGAATTGAAAACCATTCAACACTGTCCGCTCCAACTGGCATATAATCTGCAAAACGAGTACGACAATTTAGTAGTTTGAAATTTGAGCAGTTTTGAATAGCAATTCGAAATTTAAACAAAATCATATTTTATAGCCTTCAGGTGGTCTGATTGGTCCGTTTGAAACACACGATGTCAGTGGAATGCAGAACATGCAAGGGTTCAGAATAGCATCATCAGATCAGGGATGTTCTATTCCTCAGGAAGTTAGACCGTTTGAAGCGGCTCACCCGATTATAATTGAAGGTAGAAAAGATTGCTCTGAATATTAGTGAGTGTAACGTTTGAGAGTGTACATCAGTGCTTTAGAAGTATAGTTTTTGATTTAAGTCTAGTCTTTGCATATAATTACAGTAGAGACTCACTAGAGAGCATGTACTCTCCATGGAGAGTTTAAAATTACTAAATAGATGAGAGGAATATATGTTCTTGTTAGCTACGACACGAGCCACAGATAAAAATAAAGGCTTCAATGGTTCAACAGAAAGCGGTTATAGACTGAATCGACTTGCCCTATCGTACCCTTAAAACTCACAGACACTTGCTGAAAAATCGCTAAATCATATATTTGTTGCGGAATAAAATTCTCTTTTCAAGATGGGGAAGAAGGTCTTGATTGTGAGGAGGAGGACGAGGAAGATGAAGGAGAAACTACGAAGAAAAAGAGAAAGCGAACAAAGAAAGTTAAGAAGCCAAAAATAAAGAGACCAATGAATGCTTTCATGGTTTGGGCTAAAAGAAATAGACCAATTTTATCAAAAACATACCCAGGTAAAATCAGATTAGTAAATATAGATAGACCAGGTTCAGAGGTTTTTTGCTCACGGAAATCATTAAAACATTTGTTTCATTGCTATAGGAAGGATTATTAGATGTTTAACGATAGCGAATTTTAGTACAATTACTGATAAGTGACATCATAGTCAGATTCATGACGGGCAATCAGAATAAGCTTGAGTGAAGGTTAGTGCAGAAAAGTGGAAGTTGGATGATTCGGTAGTAAGCCCACTCAAAGCTGTATTTTTAGAAAGACTTATTCGAGGCTGGTTTTGTCTTAAAAGGAAAACAATAAATCTAGGCAGCTTAATTACAAAATGCACTTAAATAACTTACTCTGTGTTTTAATATAGGAATGACAAATGCTGATATAAGTGTGATGCTGGGTGAAAGATGGTCGAGTATGAGACCAGAAGAAAAGCAACCATATTATGATGAAGCAGATAAAATTAAGCATCAACACAAAAAGGACTTCCCAGGTATATTTATGATAAGTTAGCTTCTATGAGCCGCACAAGACCACATAAAGTCATAAAACGTGCGCGAACAGAAAGAGATGTATGGTCATGAATTTGGATCAGTTTATTTTAAAAAATGTGCTTGATAGTTATGCAGTCCCACTTGTTATTCATAAAGGTGAATATTTTACAAAAGATTATTGTAGTCAAACTAATCATGCTGTATGAATGTGATACCAATAATAGGATCGGATTTTCGAAGAGAATTGGGTTAACCAACTAGTAGTGACTAGTTCACTTATGTCGATTCATGTCTGATATAAAATTGGTTAACCCAATTCAACATGACGGAGTAATTCTCGGTGTTAAATCAACCTGGCCACCACCGACACATTATCACAGATTATTTCATCTTCCACAGATTGGGTTTATCAGCCCAAGCCAAAGCGTCGTAGATTCGCAAACGCATCAGACGGAAAATCGTTTTTCTTCGAAGTGACTAAAAACCCACAAGGAACATACGTAACTCGACACATCAACGATCTTGTTCTTCAACAATTGCCTCAACAACAAATGCAAACTTCTACTTCATCGAAACCTGGCCCATCAAAATCAATCCCAGTTATGCAAGGCAGTCCAGGTGCTATTCAGTATGTTAGAGCACCAGCGGCCATGATGCATGGAAATGAAAATGCACCGATAGCTTTCAGCTCAGCAAATATTCTGCAACCAATGGGTAAGTAATCATTACAGGCTTGATTGTACTAAATCCGATAGACCGAATTCAAACAAAAAAATAAAATGTATTTCTGCCGCGATTAACCTCCGGGCTGCAATATCTTCCCCAACGATGAAATTGTTGTTTCACTGTGTTTATTGTACATATATTATGATACAACACTTGTTCCTCCAAGAAAATCATTCATTCCTCGTATTTGGTTGGCTGTGTCTGTTATCCTTAAATCTGTTTACTGTCGTTGCAGAGGACGAAGAATTTTTTTTCCATCAAACTCTAGTTGTGTGGTATTCACTGCCGCTTAGCTATTTTCCTGGCCGTTTTAAACTGTTGCAAGTTTCAACCGGCATTTACCGACGCGTAACACGCTATCATAATCCTACAGTAGTTTCAATATAGGTCCTGCATTCACGTAACATCACTCAACAATGAGTCTTATTTAATACAAGTGCCGCGCTTGTCCTGCTTTAAACAAATTTACTAAAAAATTAAAAGTTATTTTAAACAGTTAAAATTTAAAAAAATATTTTTATATTCCACTAACAACATGATGTAATTTCATTTATTTTGGAGTAGTTCGATTTCCTTCAAATATGATGCAAAGTGGAGTATTGCTTGCACAACCATCATCTGTACAACAATACCAAACACAGGTATCTGTCCCAACATCTTCAATGCATCAACAGCAGCATCAAATGGCGAATTATTCCCACCTTCCAGCCGGAAGCATCGTCATCCCACAACAGGTAAATTATTCGTGAATTTGAAGAATTCAGTATTTCCTAATGTGTTTATTACTTATCGATCTTGAGATCGGTAAGTATGTTGAATGATAGGTATTTGTCTGTTTGTTTGTTTGTCTGTCTGTTAGATACACGCGATATCTCACGAAAGCGAGGATGAATCCGCTCTAAATTTTGCATATGCATTCATCATTCATTCATCAATTAATTAGTGATGGGACACAAGGTGTCACTATGGAGTAAGAGCGCTGTTTTGGGGGATCCCCTAATTTTCGATCGATAAGTCTTCGGTCTCTGACCGATATTCTCGTATCAATATTATCGCGTAGTGCCTTATAAGGAGGCATCCCAATTTAAAGGTGTTAGGTACAAGTGATATGTAAATGTTACAGTACCTAAACAAATACAGTTAGTGCTAGTGTGCAGTCGTTTTCCGTTAAATGCGAGCGATGGCTCCTAAAAGTGTACATGGGGATCAGTTTGTGAAATCGTTATCAGCCTTAGGCTTGTTGTGGCTGTGAAAAACAACGCTTTTCGTGCAATTACTGGACGATTCCATTTCAAATTTCCATTACTTGAAGATAAAAGAAGTCGATAGAAAGCGGATTCCGATATTCTACCCAAAATTTTGCTGTTTTCTTTTAATTCAAGGGAGCACTGTTTTGACATTTGACCCGAGCATTCTTTTTTTGGTAATTATTCGCATGTTTACACGAGTTTTTGTCTACTGTGATCACATAAGCCACGAATTCAATAATATATTTTGCACAGCATTTGGTTACGTCCAGTCAACCGTTTGTTATTGAGACTAAATGTGAGGAACAAGAACAACTGCAGATGCCACAACAACAGAATGTTAATGATGGAAATATGATGAAATTGCCAATGCAAGTCAGGAACGCCAAGTCTATGAAAATGAAAGACGGACTACTAAATCAAAATGCTCCTGGAAATGCAAGACAAAAACAAACTGGGTAAGGCATGTTAAGTAGTTAAAATGTTCTTTTCATATAGTTTGGAAACCATCACTTATACGGGATGATCATTTTGCATAAATCCAAGATAGCAATATAAAATTGATTATATATATTTGGGAAAAGTTTTTTGGAAAATGTATGTACTTGGTTAATAAGGACATCGTTGGCAAAACTGTAACTGCACTTCCTGTTTTAAAAGTTGTCGATTTTTTATTTTGATTGGCGCGTATCATAAAAGGCCGTGTATCAATGAGTCTTTCCGTCGTAGTATGAGCATAGTCTACCTAGAAAGTGGTTAGAAAGTACGCGCTCACCCACCAAACCACAATGATTTTTAAGCGAGAGGGTAGGGCACTTTTCTGTAAGTATAACCTTTGACTTGTTTCCCTAGTTAAAATTTTCACATTCGGGCTGAGACAGTGAGCCTTAATCTTCTACAATCTGTTTTCTTCAGACAATAACTTCCTCCAGACATTTGATTCACAATCAACTCGGTGGGGTTGAAAATTGACTCCGTGCACAGCTCAAATGAAACTCGATATTGGTGTCCCGGTCAGTGAATTACATGCTGATGGTTTGTTTACAATTTGCTTTCGTGTTAAGCTGACTATTTTCGTTATTGATTTGATGTACTTGTGTCGTGATGTACAAAATTGCATTTGTTTTGTTACGCCATGGAATAATTTCATTTTTGATTGTTTTGTGACTTTGTTTCGTTTACTTCGTTTTTATTGGAAATAAATTTCAAATCGTTGAATCGCGTATTTATATTTGATGCAAAATTGATCGAATAACGCACTCATGACCTAAAAAGGTACTGTGGAATCAGATCCCGGATTGAAATCCTTACGATCCAGTCTATTTTAACGTTTGCTAGCTTTTTCAAGCTCGTTCAACAGACCGAGAAATCCAAATGCCACTAACATAACTTCAATATCACCAAAATGTCAAACTGCAATCATTTAAGTTTATGAGTTATGGAGCAAGTTCTTTTTTAATTGGTTTTGATTGATATATTTTTTTTCTGGTGACTATAGTTTATTAATAAGAATCGCTATTTGACTTGGAAAAGTAAAAATGGTTTTTATTACTTTGTGTCCTAAAATGAAACGAAAGATTCTCCGCCGTAGTATAGTTTATTGATAAGAATCGCCATTTGACGCGGAAAAGTAAAAATGGTTTTTATTACGTTGTGTCCTAAAATAAAACGGAAGATTCTCATTTAAACCAAATTTTTACAGCAAAGAGAATATTTTGATAAAGACAAAATATCACATCATCTAAATTTTTTTTTCGTGTAAGAAGAAGAAGCCTGCTTGATGTGAAGTAAAATAGCATTCCCATTTTACTTAGATAATTATATTGGGGAACAATTCTGCACATAATAGGATGCTATTTATATTGCTGCAAAACTACCAGCCAGAAAAATCCAATAATGAAATGAGGCAATGGGATTACGTTTAAATAAATTCGGAAAATAAAATAAATAATTTTAAACGTATTGGCGTGCAGAAAGTAGATTATTATTACATCTTGAAATAGATGTTATAAAAGTATTCATTTTAGTTTTGAAGTCCCCAATGATATAAATACAATATTATTTATATCCTACATTGATTAAAAACCATCATGGATTGGTTTTAGAGATATCAAGTTCTGGGAAAGCATGCATGCATATCTTCCATGTGGCCCAATTGCAAACTCCTTGTCGCCAATCAATGAGATATTGCCCGCAGGCTTGAGAAATCGTAGCTTCATTAAATACAAACATCGGAAGGATGACCGAGATGTATCCTTAGTTTGTATTGATAGCCCACGTGTTTGTAATTATGAAGAATTGTTTACACGGTACTCTTGGTGGGTCTGTTATGAAAAGGGAGGCACCAACGACTAAAATTCTATTTGTAGTGTCAGTCTCATTGATGGGTAATTAGAAGCAAGCCTAAAACCTGCTAGCTTTGATATCATGGTTCAAATTAATTCTATATGGTATATACTGTTCCAGTATAAATACCAATACCCCCATTTGTTCGAAAAGCAGATTACGATATTTGGATTCCTAAATAATCTTCGATACAATAGTTTTTTAGTCGTATATTTGTGGTATATATAGTTTTTTGCAAGAAACGTAGCCCAATCGCTGTGAACCCTGACTGAAGAATAAATAATTGAGTATTTATTGACATTCGTAGAATTAAGAAAAACACGATAAGAACAACAAAAACACCTAAAAGAAGTAGAAATGAACACAAAACTTACAGATAAATTTCCGTTTGCGTCCTGCAAGTAAAATTTGTTTATTTGTTTAAAATATGATAAAGAAATATATATGTCACGTAGTATGTAGGAATAATTTTTTATTTTATTTCAGTGAGTCTGCATTGTTAGAATTTTAGCTTATATATTCGAGAATTGTCTGGAAAAGAGGGACACAATATTATTGATTCAGATATTCCGAGGAGGGGTTCAGGTTGAATGGGATGTATATCGACGCAAATTCTTCAGTTTTTGTCTAAAATACTTATTGAAATCTCAGAAGCTATTATTGCTAAAATAAATTCAATACCGTTACCGTACTTTGCGTTGAAATCCATGGATTGGCTAGTTGTCTAGGCCACCGGTTCTCAATCAGTGGGCCAAGGCTCATTGCCGGGCCACAGAAACATTTTCAGGTGCAAGAGTTATTGATAAATTTAGTTTTATTTGTATCACTATTGTTAAATTTTAATTGCAGTAGCATGATGCTGCTGCAGATTGGTAATTTCTTTCCTTTCAAAGTGAAATTGAAGTGTCTATATTGCGGGGAAAGAATTATTTTCTTTTATTGTAGTTTAGTTTCATTCTGGCATGGAAAAGTTAATGGGCCATGGAATTTTTGTGCAACAGAAATGGGCTACGACAGAAATAGGGTTGAGAACCACGGGTCTAAGCAAAATCTAGAATCACACTGGCGAGCTATCAGCTCAGGTATGTCGGTAACGACTGACTAAAAAGGAGAAAATCTAGTGAAAGATATATAGTTTATTTCATTGATTTGAGTAACATCATATAACTTCAACTTTGTAACCAATTAATATCACTATCAAGTATCATTATTGACGAATTAAACCATTTTGTACCTAAATGTGTGATTCTGTGATAACTAGACTCGCAAGTAGATACACAAAGTCACAGTAACGTAATTGTACGTTTCCGAAGAATGCACTGTCTGCAATGCAAACACAGGCGTAAGATATGGTGTTATTAGTGTATATTCCCAGCAACAGAACAGCAATTTTGGACACGGCAAGGATATTGAGAGGGAATAAAATTGGCATTTTATAAATATAAGATTTTGCAATAAAAATATCAATAAGTTAATATTAACATAGCAGAATTCTGCAATAGGTCAGTGTGCCCGCAACCGGAATAAACGGTTTCGTCGAAATCGCAAGTGACAAAACGATTATGGTGACAATAACAACAGGGTGTACCCAAAACAACAATGCTGAAAGCAATACATACATGGACCAGGGTTGTATATTCTGACAGGGTTGTGTATTCTGGCGGCCTTATAGTCGAGTATAGGTAATGCAATAACAGCCGAGTCGGACTTGACTGAGCAAGTTTAATCCTTATACTTTGGTGTGAAGCATATTTGAGGGTGTTTTGTAATTTCAATCATGATCAGACTGACAAATGCGATGTCAGCGTAAGCACTTTCATACGTCTATTGTTATCGCTCACTGAAATTTAATCCGACAGCTTGCTACTAAGCTTAAAATTAAATATTCCTTACCCTATAGAATTTACACAATGGTAATTTTATGGCCAATCGATCTTTATGAGAAAATCACAACACAAAACGGCGTTAAACGATTGTTCTGATTAGTCGAGATACTCTAAAAACAGGTAAATCAAATCGACATGCTAAGTAACCAAATTGTAAAACATTTATGACATGGGGCCATGTGAGCGTATTCTAATATTAAAAAATCGATTTTGAATCCTCATCAAAGCCTGGTGAATATTGGGCGCCAAAAAGAGGTCAAATTGGAGGGAATTTGATTTATAAACCATATGCGTTGTGTATTTTTGCATTTTTAATATATTTTCTTATCTTTTCGAAGAGTATGCTTAATTTTCCCCCTCATTTTGTCGACTATAATAAACGTGTGAAAATATATCGATCTTGCTGACCGATATCAATATTTTATTGAGTTTCTACCTTCGGTAAATATCGTAAGGCGGTGTCGACGAGAATGAATTATTCACCATCCGTTTTCATTGCGTAGCCGCAAAAAATGATCATAGATTATAAGCGGCCGTGTGATTATTTTACCAGAAGATCTATTCATGTAACTTAATTTCTTCTACTTTATTAGTTGATCAAGTTTGATTTTCATGTAATCTTTCGAAGTGACACAATTTATAATGCATCTAAAAGCTACCTCGACGGATCGGGCTGTTGTGAAAAGCTCGCATGCTGTCATTAGCCAGACATTATTAATTGCTATACCAGCGCCATACATAATACATACAGTCGTTGGATGTGGCCTATAGACGCTATTTTCTGGCATGGCAGTTTACTAATGGTTTTACATGATATAATGTATTAGTTTCGTGTTGAATGTGTGATGGAGGAAGAAGTCAATTAATCGTTTTTGAATGATTAGACACATTTAGTTAATTTTGGATTTCGCCGATGTTAGACTGAGATACCAAAGAAGGTATTATAAAAGCCAAATTCAAGGATTTTGTAGTCATAAAAAAGTGATTAAATAATCCTATTTAAGATGCCACAGTAGCAAAATCAGACAGGTTCGTATGGGCAGGTTTTTAATCGAGCGTATGTTTTGTAGACTAATCTTGAAATTAATAGTGCTTAAATTATAGTGTTTGTCGATACTCGCTCAAAGATTCCTTAATGCCTAGTTATAATACTATTAGATAAACTCGACATTTCTCAGTCTCTTTTAGTTTGCAATGGTGTTAGTGTATTACTGGGTGAGTGATGAATATTCGAAAAAAAAAAGATCCAGTAGGAAAACGACATGCTATCTAAGACTCTTCTGATCTGAAAGACAACAATGTTAGCAGTTTATCGACTAATGTCGAATATAGAAATGTAGTATTAAAATATCATAATAACCAACTTGTGACAATAGTCACGCTCCCAGTATTTACGCTTATTTGAGAAAAATAAGGAAACCCGTATTCGTAATTCAGAATTAGCACAGAAAAACACACCTATTTTTGTTATTCAAACTCTATGGCGAAGCAGATTAGCTTTCAGATATTCAGATAAGCAAAAAGTTGAAATGATTGCAAATTTATGCTGACGTAACAGAGAAAAAAGTCAATTGGTTTCAAAACTAGAAAGCAAAATATAAAACGTGCACATGAGCGCAACAAATAGATACTTTGGGCTTGAAACACGTTCTGGTAGTTGTGGAGTTGTGATGCGACTATACAGTTTCACATGATTTAGTGAAAAGCAACAGCGAGTGTGACTTTCATGAATTATGTAGTGTAGTATTACAAAGTAAATTCAATTCAACTGGTAGGAACCATGGATAATTTTTTAGTTCAAGTTAAATGCAGTGCTATTCCTATAGTCATTAAGAAAATGATTTCTGAACTTCTGTAAAAAAAACTTTTAAATGGTACTACTTAGGTTAATTTTAAGATGCTTAGTCAATGTCAAGTTCATATTAATTTCAAGGACGTGATGAAAGTTACCATTTAATTTGAATCACTATCGAGTTACTTCACTCGACGTGGGAATTGGGCTATTTAAAAGTAACATTGAAATCGACGTCAATTTATAGTTATTATATTTTGTACAGTTAAAGCTGAATATTGGGTAGCCAGCGTTTCTAAAGACTTTCTAATCATATTTGACAAAATACTAACCCGTCTTAAAGGTTTGATTCAACCTTCCACCAATATTAATTAAAAACGAAACGAAGTACAAAAAAAGTTTTTAACAGTGATCTGCGAATTCTGTGTTGTCTCAGATGAATGAGATAAAAGGGATTTTATTCCAGAAGGCGCAAAGCCCAAAGGACTCATATTTCATTGATGTCAGAAACCTATCTAAACGCTTGAGTCATATTGGTTGAAATGTTTTAAAAAGAAAAAGAACATTAATTCAGATATTTTTAACGTGTGAAAAAAATTGAAAACATATCTTGTGGAATTTTTTGTCAATTCTTATAAATTCTGTTGAAACTCAATATTTCCTCAAGTAAAAAGTGCTTGATTTTGAATAATAAAATGTTATTTTATTTCGTCGGATAAGAATTCCAAATTTGTTGGTTGGAGAAAAAAAGCTAGTATATTTTTTATGCAAAACAGAAACGGTTTGTTTCGTTTGAGTATTTATCAGGGTGAAAGGAAGTTTGCTAAACAAAAAAACATTCATCAAGGGTCAAAAGTTTTCGTTAACAACATGGGTGGTAACAATATGACCACATATAAATTCTTCTGCATTGCCAAATGAAAACAATAAATATTAATTTGAACGATATTTGTATACTCCCGCCTGTTGATTGAGTTCAAGTCGTGCTGGTCTCAGTTTGAATCCAATTTGCTTGCCTTTGGTGGTCTAGCTTCAACTTTTTTTCTGACGGCAAAGCATGCGTGCTGTACGGTCACTTACATCTTCTTTGTGAAATACACGTTAAATGTCATGGCAAGTCTGTCATGCGTCGGATGTCGTTGAAAAGTATCCCAATGATACGTGAACCATGTCATCCAAATAATAACAAATTCCTCGGATCAAATTGGGCAACAAATTTGTTACTTGGCACGTACTTGACACTAAATTTCAATAAGCGCATCATAATATTACGCTATGACAGCGACTTGATGACTTGATTCTGTCAGAAAATTGTTTTATTCTCACTCAAATTTTAGTTAAAAGGCCATGCAAACTTACAGACTTCGTTCGAAAACAGGATAGATGAGAATGGTAACAACAATAATATTATGAAAGTCTAGATAACTGAGGCTGTGACAAATACAAAACTGTTTTTATTTACGTATAAGATGCGATTGCAAGTATACTCTATTATACTGTAGTCAATAATTAAATTGACAACCTTCGCGTAGTTTGGCAGGAACACAAAAATTTCAATGAATCAGTGCCAGTCCAAACACCCTTCAATATATTTTATTGGAATATCTATGTTGAACCTGGTTTGAACCAAGTCTTGTGTAATTAACAACGTTGTTGCTAGATCAGTTTAGTATTGAACAGAATCGATGAAATATATAATTTATATAAGCGCAATAAATCATGTTGATTGTACAAGATTAGCGTATACTTTCAATGCAGTATTCCAGTCAACAATAAAAACAATGTGGGGCAATGTTTCATCAGAAAAGCAGGTGGAGATTTGTAAAATCTAAAATTCTTAAAGTACTAGGAGAGAATTGCAGCCAAGTTTTTGAGTTCTAGCAAATCAATCCCGAAAACATTCACCGAATCTACTACCTTCGATATTACTTGATCCTGAGTTTTTTCTAGCCATCCTCATTGAGTTGGCGTGTACGTTTTTGTAAATAATCTCTTCCCCACGCTTATGATCAATGCATGTAACAGCTAAGACCATGCATCTGTAACGTGTAACTAATGACTCATTTTCCGAGCTGACATGATTCGTAATTGTAACCATGTACGCCACATCATCCAGTGGCTTTCTTATTGGACACGTAGTGGACATAACGATCGTTTCAATATTATGTTGTTGTTGTTCTTGTTCTTGTTCTTTGACACGTTTTTGAAAAGTCGCTTTTCTCTTCGAATACTGGACCAATTGCTTTGAAATTTTCAGTGGTTAAAGATAAAAATTTTCTCCAGAAGGCTATTACTTTTTTTTTCGCTATGACGTCATCAAAATTATGTGACTCTACGTGTCCATATATTTGAGCATAGCTCTCTTGTCTATCCTACCCTTCATTCGAAAATAAGCAATCTTATTTTTTTTGTTCTGATGAAGTTGTGACAATTCTAATTGATTAGATAATTATTTGCTGGTACACGTTACTGTGTCTAAGACTTCTGCTTATAATTTTACAAATTAGTGAAACCCAACGGAGACTTGTTTTATGTAGCTCAGATTAACTTTTTTTAACGGGCCGAAATCAGTTAGCAATACTGTATCGTTAAAATAAAATATACATTGCTATTTCATGAATTAAAATATCAAAATAATATGTAATGATATTATTTTTTAATCATCACAGTATTTACAAATTTATACAACCTAACTAAAAATAATAAAAAAAACAACGTGCGTACTGATAACATGACATGAGTAATCTACGAGAATGTTACAGCAGGGATGCCAGATTTTGTGCAAAATGTTTCAATAATAATGACCAGAATGACGTGTTTCAATCTGAGAACGAGACGGACTGGCCAAAAATGAGGGAGCGGTTTTCATCCTTAGGAATAACAAACTACATCTCAAATCGACACGGTACAGCAATAGACAGAGATATAATAGGAGGAGAAAACCAAACAATGAGGGTTTTGGGATTACGCACTCCGCCAGAAAATGGAGACTCAGATCCGTATCCGACAGAGAACTTATGTGTATGCCCACTTGCAAAGTATACTCCAGAGGAGTGGGACACAGTTCCACAGGAAGAGCCGCCTGAAAGATTTGACAGTATATTGATACACGGAAATAGAGCAAATGCTGGCGACTTGGATGAAAAAGGCACGTTTTCTATTTGTTTTGGATAATACGCCATCAATATCTGAATTGTATACATTCTGATTGAATGCATTTAATACACCACGTGATATTAACACGCAATAAAGCTTTCATACACGTAGCCTATATATATTTAATCGTCAAGAAGCGAGATGATATAAAAATGTATTACAGATTACGATATTTGCTGTCAAACTTTTATATTTTCCCAAAGACAGTCGCTTTTCGACGCATCTTCATCAAGTACAAGTTACCGGCACGGGGTTCAATAATTTTTTTTCTGTGCAATAATATTTCCTAAATATTTCTCAAACAGAGATGCAATGTAACTCTCCGCAGGCCGAAATTTTAGAAGAAAATTCCTCTCGACAGTCCACCAGCAAAAGGAAAAACAACGAGCATCAACTATCCGCTGATGTATCTCTGTGGGACTTGAGAAAATCATTTGAAAGCACATCCGTCTCCTGTTCAGATCCTGCAAGCTTAGACGACGATTCTACTCCTCGTGTATCATCACCAGAAACAATCCGGAAACGAGATAACAAGTGTGAGACACAGAATACAAAGAAAGGTATTTTATTGAAATTCTGTACAGCTTCGAATTAAAGCCATATCTCGATTGTATGAGAGTTTCAAAAATTTCTTGCTTTTTCACTATAAAAATACTCATTCGTTCACAATACTCTCATCAGATATAAGGCCTTGAACGGTAGGCTATTTAAACATAGGGCATATAGGTCTGAATGACCTCGCCTTAACACCAGGGGTCTCCAATTCGAGTATATATGCACAATATTCACTATCCTGTGCTTCTTTAAACCCATTTTGTGTTTTCAGGATAAACACAGTGTCACAAGATTGCTTTAATTAACAACGACAATTTAGTCATCCAAATTCTAAGTCATTCATTTTGCTGAAAGGATATTTTGAGTCACAGCATTGTTTTCATGCCCGATTGGCTGATTTTTCAGAACATTAGATCTTGTTATTCTATTATGTTATTGTGTCCCGCCGTGAACGTCTTTCTAATGTCAAAAATGTAGGCAAACACAAAATTAATTTGCACTCTCTACTTATCGATCAATAACCATTACGCCTTGAAAGGATTTTCAATGTCCTTGACGCATCTCCTGTGATAACAGGTCACGTGGGATTGATAGATAATTGGATTATTTGTAGAATTTTCAATTTTGATGTATAAATTGGTGTTTGATAAAAGAATTTTAAGCAGATATTGAAAAATGAATAAATGGACAATCTTGATTCGAAAATGTTCATTAAACAGACAATAAAAATTGCACAAATTTCTTAGTTTTACAGAATAATGAATTCAAAATCTGCGAAAAATATTTTTTTTATATTACAAAATCGACGCTGTTCAGACTGTCCAGAAGCGCATATATATCATACTTAGGCTCCCCTAACACTCGTAATAATTTAGACAGGTGAACATTATAAATTAGACACGGCGCCAAATATAAACAATAACTTCTGTTGTAGTAGATTTTTAGGTTTCTGATCATTTTGACTTCTAATTAATTACAATTTTAAATTTCTATATTCATTGATCATCACTACTAATTGCTTTTATTCTAAGAAATGCGTAGTTTATTTGCTGTACCTGCCAACAATTTCAAGATAAGGTAATTGAAAGAGGCACTTAGGTCGAGGAAATGACACTGGCGTAAAGCCATTGGATCCATTACTTTCCGATGCAGCAAAGATAATGCGACCTGAACTCAAATACAAGCCATATAGATCCTATACATTAACACAGTACAAAAACTGTTGTAGTATTTCAGGTGCATAACTTGTGATTTTACCACGACAAAAAATTCTATCATTTTCAAGGAAAATCGAACCATTTGCCGATAGTTTGCAGTAAAATAATTTAGGAGTTTTGCGTTAATATGACTGATAATGTTTGTATTTTCGATCCTGGGACAAATACTAACTAGTACATACGCCTTGATAGTGAGCGTAGTTAAATGTCCAGTTTCTTATTAAAATCATCGCGCTAGATGTGTGAAGGGTAATAATAATAATGTGATTTTCTTTTCAATTTCGATTTTTGCTCCTAAAATGATCCTATTTAATTTAAGAAGTCTTAACATACATTACGAATTATTTTAGGTCCGTGCAGCCCTGAATCTTTACAATCAATCTGCTGTAAAAACCCTTCTAGGGCATTTCATAAAATCTAAAAGAACATACAGAACATAGAACACAATTCTCATTTTATGCATCCTTGATCAATCAAGTGATCCGTAAAAGTCAATAACAACAATATTGGATTTAATAAGGTTGGCCAAAGCCAAAGCAAAATCAAAATCGCTCATCCGGAAGCGACGAAAGAGTGAAGTCGCGATGAAATGCTAATAAATACAATTTATTAAAGATGACTTAGGTCGTGGCGCAATAAACGCTATCAAATACCAATCAGATTGAGTGTGTTTAAATATACATTTTAAGCTCGAAAGTCATTATGGTTATATCTTAATTGTTTAGGAACTATGTATACTGGATATCAATATAATAATAAAATAAAGTATTAAAATAAGAGAGAGCAATGCTCAAATATATGGACACGAATGACGATACGAATTAGTACGAGTATTAATTATTTTACATTACCAGTACCGTGGTCTTCCCGATTTCGACCCATTATCAGATCGCTACGATCGCGAATGCGAAACCGCCACACGGTGCGCAATTTTAAATTTTGATGGCGTCACCACACAAAACATCGGAGTAAAAAACGAATCCCATAGAGCCCACAGAAATTTTTGAAATCTATCGACAACAACCGTCTTTAACCTCGAATTAGACATGCTAGGCCTTAGCGACATATGGCCAGTTCAGCGGCCTGTTTTCGTCCGACACCGACCTAATGAATCGTCTTATGTTACGTTCTCAATACGATTCATTCATCTGTTTTGATATCTCTATGCTACATTTTCAACTAAATTTCTCCTTTTTCAGAATCAATTGTGAACCAAGCGACGTCTGAGGAATGCGACAATGAAATTATTGTTCTCAATGATTCCAGTAACCAAAATGTAAGTACAGTAAGAATGTTGGATGACCACTACAATCCAGTTGCTTTGGTTTAGTGTTGAACCTGCAGAAAATAATGTAACGTTTTGACAATATTCAATTGATTGACATTACCAATAATCTGATTGTGCCTTGAGCGTATGCGACACAGTCATCAATGGGTCATGTTGTCTATGACGATGAACTAGATATCTTGAAAAAACGGACTTTTTTATGTGATTTATTCATGTCTTAATTTGAAATATGCTCCAGACAAGCAGCTACAATTACCATAATCGTTTGGATTGAGTGTGCAGCCTACCCAATTTTTACATCCTGTCTTGGGTAAAGTAATGGGCAAGGGGTTTGCACTAGAAATCTCCAACTTGAGATCAGCATATTTAGGCCAAATATTATACATCACCAAGTCCATAGTGGTTTCCAACCTTTGTATCTCGGCGGACCGGTAACATCAAATAAAGTGACTGAAATAACTGACACGAATCAAAAAATTAAAATAGGGAAAACATACGAGGGTTTATTTTAATAAGGGCCTTTTTTGCTTGTTTTGTTGTTTTGACTGAGTGAAACACTTCGAAAATATAAAATAGGATAATATAATAGCAAATTGTTAAATACAGTTTTCGACAAAAGGTTGAATTCGTCTCTAAAAGCAGTACAGGGGCCTCAAGTTTTTTATACAATAAATCATCCATTTTGAAAGAAGTTTGTAAAATCATGAGATTATCAAATATCAAATAACAGAACATATAAGTATGCTTTGCGACGTACTCGAAATGAAAATTCATAAAAGTTTCGAAAGTTGTACGCTTCCATACCTACCGATTTTTTACGCTTTACCGAAGCATGCAAAGTGACCAAACCAATCCTTTCTAGGCTTTGTGAATCGCTCGGCTTTTATTTGAATAATGGGACATTCTTATATTTCAAGTCATGGCCTTGCTGTTTTGTTATATTTAAAAAATGCATCTTTATATAGCATTTTCTATGTAATATGGTATCATGCGTCACCACTTGAATTAAATTAGTCTTTGCTCGCATTTGAATGTAAATTCGAGTTTACTTGCTTACTCAGTCGGGCATTTCGAGTTTGATAATGTGTTCAAATGCGAATGTAAAACTTAATCAATCTAATGGTAAAATAAATTTTGAAAGAAGTATTCTGGTCTGAAGTAATTCGATACAAAAGGCTTAATATTTTTGTAGAAATAAACGTTTATTTTATTGTCCAAGTACTATAATACTGTGTATTGTGGACTAAAACGCAATTGCAGATTTAACAAAGCCCTTCCGAGACAATTAGGAACATGAAAAGCGAAACGACGATGACGACGAAGAGAAATAGCCTGTTATGCCACCGCAACTTTGTCTTTTTGGTAATTAATAAGCAACAACAAAGCAACGAAATTTCTCACGAAACGTCAAAAAATCTTCGCGGACGAAGTTGGGAACCACCGACTTAGCCTAGCAATCATGAAAAATGCATGTAAATATATAAAAAAATTACTAAATCAACATTGGTTGATAAATTTATGTTTTATCAACTTTTGCAACAGCGAATACTGATTGTTTTTAGACACCAACTCGCCGAGCTAATCACAAAGTCTCTCACACTCCAAGGAAAAGTATACACACACTTCGTGACGTCAGGAAAAAATGTAAATGGTTTTCAAAAACTTGTTACGATTCTCCTGTCGATGACGACATCGAGCTTCAGCCACGTAATCTTAATCTGTCGCGAACGACAGCGATCGTTGAAAATTGTAGCAGAGATGGATCTGATAGAAGCAAAGATGGTAAAACACAAATGAAATTGTTAAGTCCAACACGGGATCAGACCATAAGTTCAGGTTAGTTGTTGTAAACGCAGATTCGGACCTTATACCCATCCCCATAGCAATGGAAGTAAATGGAAAAGACGTATATTATACATTAATAAAATTATACAAAAATGGGTTTCAACGAAAACACTAATTTAATTTGTCGATGACACTTCCGCGTCAACCGACTTTTCCTGGTACGTAATGCAGTTCATAGGTCGCCAGTTGTTTGTTTGCTTTGACAAAAGTCTCCTTTACTTTCGAAGTTGGAGTTGCTTTGAGCAAATTATCTCACAAAATCCCACTTTTAACAGTTAATGAATGGAAGTGTCAGTTTTACAGAACCACAATACTTTCTTTAGTTTAAACAAGAAAGCCTATAAGTAAACAAATTCTGTCGAATAAAACATTACTATTCTTCTCCAGGTATACCAATACCAGGTGAATCATCATCTTGTTCCATTACACCCGATTCAATATCATCGGAATCAGCTTCTAAACAGACGACAAATTCATTTCCACAAGATGATACTACATCTAATGAAAGTTCCGAAGCAAGCAGCAAATCGCCTAAATCGGATAGCATACAAAATTTAACACGAATCTTTCGTCGATCTCATTTCAAGCATCGAGTGCCTTCGCCGTCTTTCTGTGGATATTCTCTGGAAAGAGACTACTGGTAAGTTTATAGCGGTATTGACGTTATTGAGTTAGTTGAGTGTCAGGCTAAAATGCAATTAAGTTCACTTGAATATCTGTAACTCCTATATTATATAACAAGTTTTGTATGCGTGTAGTGTGGGGCAAATGTGTCATATTGTTCAAAAGTACCACTGCAAGTCGAATCACACAGGTAGCAATTATAATGTGTTCCTTATCGATATTTGGTAAAGTAGGCCTGCTTTGTGAATATTACAATTCTCACCGACAATGAGAATTAAAAGGTTGTCGGCACTACACTTTTACATTTGTAGTTTTTACATTATTTTATCGCAACAAAAGGAATATGAATATTGTTTTGTATAATAATATACCGGAGTGGACAAAAATCCTTAAATTTAATATTGGGCATTTCAAATTCTTTTCATTTCGGCATTATAGATTAATTGTAAAATAGAAGTACCATATTCTCAGCCTTTGACATTCGCCTGAACAGCTTCATGAAGAAATTTGTCATATGTTTTTGCAACTGTATACGCCAGTTCTTTTAACCTCTAACAAATATACACTCGAATTACCAGCGTGGACGTCCAAACAGATCGAATTTTTAAAGAATTCTTGAAGCCTGATCCGAGCATGACAAGTGACAGAACAAGTTGCTTCAGAAGACCACCATCGTGTAGAAGTAAAACTGCAACACAGTTACGTCGCCAAGTAATGAGGAAACAATATAGTGATTCAGTTGCAGTTTATTATGGGCAACGTATGCGTAGATGGAGAGTCAAAAAACAGGTATAATTTTCATTATTTATATATCAGCAGGAAACTTGAGATTCTCAAATTGTCGATTTCACATTACCATAAGCATAGAACAATAACGTTAAAAGATTTTTGGAATGGCATTGTTTTAACATATTGAACAGACCGGCAAAATTGTTCTTGTTCGTTGTAAGAGATGATTGAAAAATTTCCATTAATTGTTAATTAAACATAGTATACTGTTTATTAATTATATGAATAATTAAATTAGTAATAATAATAATTCATTTAAGTAGATAAGTATTTGAAAAAATTTATTGCATAAAATCTTTAGCTGCTAAAAATTTGAAAACCATTTGCCTTGGTATTAAATAGAAAATATTCTTGTCACAGTAACAACAATATGAACAGCAACTCAGAAAAACGAAATATACTTTGTTTAAAAATGATACCTTCTTCCGGACTTGGCACGTTCTGGCAACCTTCATTATATTTTCAAATTTTGTTAAGCAACATTAACTGCATTTTGAAATATTCATATGCTCATGTTGTATTGGTTGATAGAATTTCGAGGACTAGAATTATTTATGAAACCAACATTATTGAAAGTAGTTTTTGGAAGTACCCATTTCAATCGCTTTGTAAAACGACCTGCAGCAAACACCTATTGAAAGAGATAACTGGAGATTTTATTTAATCAAATTTATAGTTTTTAAATTGAAAAGTTTCCATTAAAAAGTAGTTCCAGATTATTATATTCTAATGGGCTCATTTGGATAAATATTGGTTAACTAGCTATAATATTTTCTGGCCTGATTTTGGAATTAGTTTGAAACATTTTGTAAATACCATTTTAAGCAACTGGGTTTTGTAGTTAAGTCAATGAAACAAGCCAATGGAATATCACCAAATTAATTAACGTTATTTAATTTATTGGGTTATTTTATCATTCGACCCCCTTTTATTCCTGTTCAGGTATGTATCACGCCAAACTCAGTCCTGTTTTTGTTTTTTGAATTCGTGGAAGCTTTTAATACTGTTTCTCAAATTAAAATTCGTCAACAGAACATTTCTAGGCTTGATGAAAAAGGTTCATTAAAATTTAATTTTCTTATTCAGTTGCGTCTCGGTCGATATTACAACATGTGATAACAGGAATTTTATTTCCTCATGTGGTTAAATACATGAATATTGACACAGTGCATGAAATTTAAAAGCTTTTACATCCAAAATAGGCAGAAAATATGTGGGTTTGAGTGTATCAGTTCCCAATGCAAATATAAAGCGACAGAGGGAAAATATGGATATCTGATACCTTGTTATTCCATAACTTCTGCATAAACACTCTGCATAAATTCAATATAAGCTGTATGTGGTATTAAAATAACTGTGATCTTATATCACTGAAATCTTTTTTATTATTTAAAGCAAATCTCATGAAATCTATGAAAAGAATAAATTCATTTGGTTTTCTGGGCCACTGAGGCAAAAATCGCAAATTTTGATAAATTCAGATTGAGATCTCGATGACTGAATGCTATAGGCGCCCGTTAATATAAAATTTTCATATTCATTTTGACTTCGCGGGGATCTAATCTGACGCAACTGCGAATATGAGGAATATTTTTTCAAAATAGATAAATTTATGGACCAGTTGTTTATTGTTAGCGGTAAACAATTCTGCTCCTCGAATAAACTTCAGATTACACATTTTACTTCCCGCTATTTCACCCAATCATTAGTATGAGGCAAACCTTTTAGCTATTGCATGCCATCCGTGACTGGGTCATATCACTTATCTAAATCCGGTCAAGTTAAATATTCGCAATTCTGAATCATACCCGAGTCCGGTAGCCTTAAATCTAATTATTATCCATTTAGCGAAAATGGCTGAATATTTCAAAAAAAAAATATATTTTAATTAAGGTTTGAACTACAGTGTGAAATATCATGCATCGAACACATGAGGAAGATTAACTATTCATTTTGTCAGTTATGTTCTGGACGCTGTGTTATGCTTTGAAACACAAACGAATTCGATTGATTACTTTGGTGCTCATCGTTGATAGCGCCTATTTCGCTGATTTCAAACAGAACATGAAATTATGAGATCGATGCCAACACGTATCAACATTATTTGATCTCTGATGTGGGCTCAAAAGTTAAGAACAAAATCAAACAAATAGTGCCATGCCTTTTATTACGAAGGCTCTGCTTTTATTTGGTCAATCGAGAAGACGACCGGACTAACAGCACGAGTACTAAGAGCAATAAAATGATCATACGCGTTTTGGTCTTACAAATATAAAGAAAACGTTTATATATATTCAATCTTCTTACCATGGTCCTTCCACACATTTGATTATGAAACCTTTTTATTAAATGCGTACGACGACCATGTTCTGCATCTCTTCTAATTATCTTATACTCACTTTTGTATTTATTTCAGAGAAGCGATAGCGTGAACTGCCCCGTTGATCGAGCTGTTCTCAGAAGACAGGAGCAAATTGACGAGGAATATTATCCTAATGATTTGGAAGAAATATCGAACACTTCACGTGACAGCCGAATTTTACCGGAACAAAATGAACATACACGGAGCCGGAAGTTTAGATACCGCTCGCAATCAACTGATGTTGACCCTTGAACTTGTTTTCAATCTTTCTTACCTTCTGGTGCTTTTCCGTTCACTCAACTGGGCTTTTAGGTACGGGTATGCTATGCAAGGATGTGTCCTGCAAAAGTTTATTCCTCATGATACGATTTCTTAAGCAGAAAGTAAATTTATTTGTCCAGCTTTAAATATGAATGGTCTGTACTCTGTACCTCGTTGTGTTTCAACAAATCTCGTTTTGGAGCTTACTCTATTTCTAGCAAAATATGATTCACATGAAAAGTCATCGAACATAATATGTTTCTATCTTTTTATTATGTGTCTTATTCTATTTTTATGTTGTTGGTGTTGCGTGGAAAACATTGAAAACTACAAAGATATGCTGGAAATTGATTAAAAAAATTAAGATGAGTTTCATATGAGTTCAATCGATTTTAGTTTTTAGCAGAACATAATGTATGTCGCCATACCGCAACTGGTAATGGACGCATTCTTGTTTTTGTTACTTTTACGTATGTTACTTTGTATAATTATCCGCGCAGGACAAGTTTACAAGACCTTAACCAGAAAAGGGGAAAATTTCATTTGAAAGTTCAGTTTCAGGCAACCATAGCATGTGAAGTGATGAGAAAATTTCATCAAGTGTTCGCCAAGAAAGACGTCGAACAGCAGACTAATTCAGCACATCGTCTTGCTAATAAATGACGACGAGGTCGCTCTTGTCAACCAAAGGTTATCTATAAAATTTCTGTTACCTTCAAGATTCTTTTTGTATATATATATATATATATAATTTCTAGCGCACCTTTCTAACAGTCTAAACAAAACCGCCAAAATTTAGTTTTGTAGAACTTTTGTTCAGCTGTTTTATTTTCATTTTGTTCATATGGACTAAAATTGCACCAAGTGTCGCAACAACCGACATTTACTGTCACATTCATTAGTTATTATATTTCCAGTGATTTACTCTTTTAACTTTGCGAAGAGGTTATCTACTTTTGACTGAGTGTGAGTAATATTGCGTTGAAAAAATATTCATATGCTAGATGAGATCAATGCTTAAATATATGGACATAAAAGCCAAACGACAGTACAGAACAGTAGTACAATAGCGATCATCATCCTTCATAGAAATCTCTTATTTGATCATTTCAATTTCAAGACGAGAGATTATTTTTAAACATCCATACACATCCCAACATCATTGGCACGTTTCATGGAGGAAAAACCATTAACTCCTTGCTACTACAATAAATACACACTAGGATAATTAATATATTGGATAAAGTATTTTTAATCAAACAACTGTTTCTTTTCGTGATGTATCATGTCAACTACTAATCATTTAATATAGCGTGATCAGCAGATGACTTGAATGGACAAATAGAGAAGAATACCTATTAATATAGCCAAACAAGCAGCAACACAAGATAATTCGTGGTCCATTTTACTAAAAACCATTGGGGCAATATGTCTCTCTCGTACCGCAGCCCCTTTGTTAGAATGAGGAAACGGTACATCAGGAATATCTTTTTCTAAAAACTTACAGAGTGGTTCCCAGCCGTCGGAAAACTTAAAAATAAGTAGTTTGTCTTTCGGGATCTCCTGAAAGACGTATAAAAATGTTATGTTATTACACTGTATTTTAAATTTTATTCTCTCATTATGAAAACTGATATATATGGCCGCGAAATAAAGTTCCACAATCGGGAAAGTATCGGAATCTTTATATAGAATTGTTATTCGCTTCAACGCCATCTGTTTTGTACTCGTTACATTTAATATATATATTAAATCCAAAGTATAAAATAAATATGTAGTAGATAATCAAATGTCCGAGTTTTAGGATGGCCTGGTCATGGTTGACAGAAACACCAAACACTCGACCGAATATATTTTCAACGCAATGTCACTCAAACCGTAATATATAACAAACAAACAGACAAATACGTTTTTATACACCAATACAAACCACTGACCGGAATGCACATACCTGTTTTACTGCACTATTGTGCATTCTGTATTCCCGTTTCAATGCTTCCGCATCCTGAATAAAATACATTGACTTTGGCATTCTTGAAAAGGCCGATTCACCTTCAAATAAAGAACTATAGACATCAGTAAATAAATTATAAATGGCAAACAATAGCATGAATTTTATTCAGAAAAACAAATTTCTTCTGGTTGGTAAAATAGATAAAGTATCGTATCAAACCTATGCTGCAACTTAAAATCAGTGTAATCAATTTGGCAGACTACACCAAACTGGTGAGATTACTATGCTTAAAAAAATATATATATATATTAGAACCGTACCGGAAGGTTTCTTGTGATTCAGATCTGAACTTTGGTTTAGATCAAATGTGTGAAACGCATTAGAATAAATAAAGTTCGTATTCAATTGTTTGAAATAAGCGTCTCCTCTTGGAAATGAAGTAAAATTCTAAACCGTCTAATTTATGTCCGGTGACCATGTAATATAGGACATAACAATTCGAACGAATAAAACGAAACAAACGTCTTTGAAAGCTGTGAATAGTCAATAATGGAGTTACTATTAGAAGCAATTTACAAATACCGTTACCAGATTTTTTCATAAATTGTAGGAATTTTCGTCCTGTCGGAGTGAAATGAAAATTTGCGAATGACATTTTAGATTTGTGAATCGCATCGACTTGAGCTAGCCATGACTGTAACCACTCTTCTTCGTTTCTTCTAGTGGTGAGAACAATCTTGGAATGAAAATTAGAAAAGGAAAACGTTTCAGTGGATGACACCTACTTGTTCGCTTTTTGTATTCCATAAAGTCGCTACGGCAGTATAAAACAAAAAAGTTTAAAAACGTTATCAGAAAAGATATGTCAACTGAATTTGACTCTTTAGATCTCATGCTTAGAGGTATTGGAATTTGATAATTTGGGAGAAATGGAATTTGAAATAAGACAAGAGGGCAATGCTCAAATATATGGACACGAAGATCATCAAAATCTGAACGAGGAATTGGAACTGTGGAACAGCTATCGTTCCGAAACTTGCCCGTTCCGGAATCCGGACTGTCCCATGTCCTCTGACGATACTGATTCGTGCGTCCATTGTCAACGTGAATCGAAATGTCAAATGATCCGACTCATAACTGTAGTATCAAGTCATTTACAGTACCGCGGGAGTCCTCTACGCCTACGGCACTCGCTGACCACAAGATCGCTTGAATGCGAGTGCGGAACCGCCACACAGTGTGCAATTTTCAATTTGGATGATACCATCACACAGAACTTCGGAATGGAGAACGAATTTCATGTAGCTCAAAATTTTTTCAAATAAATAAATAAAAATGTGTATTTTGATCTAATGGTCTAGATTTTTACCAATCAGTGAATATCTTAAAAACAAATAAACAAATCGTGCTCAACTTGAATACAAAGATATTTCACCAATGTTGCAAAAAGCACCCATGTCTTCAGTCTCAAATAACAATGCCTTACGTTCAACCAAAACACACACTGAACTTGAAAGGAACCTAATAGCTTTTTCATATACGTGTCTAGTCAATTCTCACCTTTGCCTCTGGAAAAGCTTTATGTAATGTTCTCCAGAATGTACTGGCGGGAATATCACTAACGGCATCGACTCTTTCATACATTTCTTTAAACATCCGAACAGAAGGTCCATTTTTAAAAACTTTCGCCCATTCTTCTCCAAGGAAAGTAAAGTTCTCATCAAAATCGTACACAATGTAACCCAAAATTCTCAGACAATCGCGTAAAGTCTTTGTCCCACATTTTGGAAAACTTGCAACAATTATTTTCATCGTGATAGGCTGTACAAACTGACATGAGAAAGTACGATAATTGCAAGTACTCCAAAAAACAAATTGTAGAATGAAGGTTACCTATCTTGATGTTACCCTCGCCGCAAAGGTGGCCTACTTCACTGTTTGTCGAGTGCTCGTTCTCGTGAACGCGTCGATGACATTAAATAAACATGTGCATTAACTGGTGCTCTTGATTCGGAATCTTATGAAACATGTATTTCGACGAAGACAAAAAAGCTACGCTTGAATTTACGGACAAGTGAAACGTCATGCCGCTCGCAGAGCACGAGCTCAACGGAATAGATCTGCGGAAAAGTGCATGAGGCCGCAATTTTTTTTTAAAGATGTATATCTAACAATCAATAATATATCACTCTAATATTCTATTCGTTTGAGATTGCCTAAAATGTCTTTGAAATAACATTTGTTCGTTTAGATCTTAACTCGACGAATTTAGACTTATTCGCTACATCTATCACAATACATTTTTTTTTTTTTAATTTTTAACACAAATCTTTTCACGAGATTCCGCATTCGACCAATTTTTCCATGCATTCGTCTTCTTCTATCAATTTGATCGCATTATCAAGTTTACGCCACGTCGATAATTTGAACGTATGGTAGCAATGACTGCCATCTGCTATAATCAAATTGATTAGATAGATTAGTTTAGTCATTGATCTTTTCTGTAAATTACAATGATTATTTGGTACAATTCATTGTTTTTCAATTTTTTTTTTACTTCTCTAAGCACTTATAGTGTTATTTTTTTTAAATTAAGATGTGTATATTCATAGTCTCCGGCATTACCCTTGCAAAATTTGACCGAATAATCTTTCAAATTGTGGGAAATCTTTCTTAAAAGCAAAATCGACATAAAACTCAAAATATTATTGTGTAGCGAAAACAACAATAATTTTGCTTCCAATCACAAATGATAAGTAGATATCGAATTATCAGAAAGTTGTTGAGAAATTTCGTCTTTCGGTAATTCCTGATTTGTCCCCGCAATTGGCGTACCTAAATATACATTAACAGTATTTCAGTAACTTCAAACTTTCTAAAGTTATTGTTTTGTTGCAGCATATTTCTCATATTCATATAGTCATTTAATCAATTGATTTTTATCTTTTTAGGAATCTTAGGAAGGAGGTTGGCCCCACATATAATGACGAGCGGACTTTCACCATACTGTCATGCAGAACCGGATCACACAAATTTCATTTACATATATGTACGTAAAATACGAAACTCAAAATTGGCCACAAATATTTGATATATATATATCTGGGTCATTGGCGCAGTTTACAGTTGTTATGCCGGAATATTTTCCACCAGAAGTTAAAACATACGACGTGTCTTGGAGAAATATTTTATATCCCGCTTTAACGTAAACATAAAAACTGGGTATAGTTTCACAAATATTTAGTATTTATACCCACAAAGCAGTAGTAGTACATTGTACCTGAAGCAGTAGTAGGCTACGGCCGAGCCATGACTGCGTCGCGTGGGTATTGCGGCATAATGCATCACACGCGCAATCACTAGGCCTAACTCGCGCATTACGTTTAACGAGAACAGTCTAACATTCTCCATTTGAAATGAAAAAATGTTCATCAGTAAAATTGTATTTTTTTTCAAAAATATATTTCATGAACATGCAAAAAATATATTGAATTAATATAATTAAATATACGGATCTGAACTAGGAAGTAAACAAGAAGAAAAGCTTGTGGTTCAGTATAACATTCCCTTATCCTAAGTTGGGCAATTTAATGGTTGTGGTACAGACATTTGATATGCTTGGCACTTACGGTACGGTATCAGAATGAAATCTGGAAGCTTTCCTTATCAACATAAAACTTGCGACTTACCGTACCTCGATGAGCAGTTACGGTATCAGAACTAGGTGGCGACATAGAAACAATTATCCCTTTTCTGTACAATGGAGCACATTGGTTTACAGTGCTGCCACATATTGTCTTTTCTTATGTAAATATTCTGATGTATGTGTCCCCATACACTGGTATTTACATATTATTTTACCCATTTAAAACTATGTTGGGCATAGGCTTATATAGGCTTTGATATCTCTTATTCGATTGAGATAATAATTTGTAGTTGCGATCTAGTTGTATTTCTTAACTAGACATTTGTGCATATTATGGTAACCTTTTGTGACAGTCACCTTGTTCTCCAGGATTTGATGAAAGAGACATCGTTTTTTGTGTTGTAGATTTGGTGTTAACTTATAGGAAACGTAGGATTGTCTTTCATGCAGAGCTGGGTTAGGATAGGTCATTGGGTTTGTACTTCAAAGTACATTTAGTTATATATGTATCAGATTAAATAGGGTTTAAAAGCGTAATCCAAACTATTTTAAATCACATGACCTCGCACGATTGGCCACAATATCATGTTGAGTGGAGTGAATAAAGCAAGTTCATTTCGATGACCACCACATGGCTAAATACCGGACGGCCGAACCGCCACAGTGTGCGCAATTTTGATGACGATTGACCAATCAAAAATTTCAAGTAAATTAGTTCTGCAGTTGAAAACGAAATATAACAAAAAAAAAATATTAATAAGAATTTACCAAAACGATTCGTAGCTCGAGTTAAAAAAAAGCACCCGCGCCATGTTTTCTTTCTAGGGGTGACCGTCATCTACTTTAGACCAAGCGTGGTTATCATTGCGTCAAGCAAATACTAATATAGAAATGGTCATATATATTAATATAGAAACGATCATATATATGACCACGAAGGATCCTATCATCCTATTTAGAAATATGCTTTTTGGTCATTCAAAATCGAATGATTTTTTTCACAACAATATCCCGAAGCATCCTAGTACACCTTTCGTTAAATACAGCAAGTAAAACATTTTTATTAGACCAACTCTGTTTCGGGTTCTTTTCTTGATATATATATCATATCAACTACTAATAATTTAATACAGTGTGATTATACCATTCAGATGACTTGAATAAACAAATAGAGCAGAATACTTAATAATATTGACAAACATGCAACAACACAGTATAACTCGTAGTTCATTCTACTAAAAACCATTGGGGCAATATGCCTGTCTAGTACCGGAGCCCCCTTATTAGAATGAGGAAATGGTACACCAGGGACGTCTTTTCCGAGAAATTCACAAATTGGTTCCCAGCCGTCGGATAAATTGAACATAAGTAGTTTGTCTCTCGGTATCTCCTGAGATGTATGTAAAACGGAAATAGTTGTATTATTAAACTGCATTTTTTATGCTCTTTTTTTTATAAAAACTGATATGGCCGTTATTTGTGTTATACTCTTTTACTAGATTATCATCCAAAGTTTATAATAATGGTAGTAGATAACCAAATTTCCAAGCATCGACATAGGCTAACCTTGGTTACATACTGATTCAAATGCGCATACCTGTTTCACTGCAATATTGTGCATTCTGTATGCCTGTTTCAATGCCTCCGCATCGTGATCAAAATACTTTGACTTTGGCATGCTTGAAAAAGCTAATTCACCTTTAAATATAGAATTACAGACATCAGTAAATCAATTACAAATGGAAAACAATAGTGTGAAATGTTTTCATTCTTCAAAGAAAAACAATAGCCTTGTGTTTGTCGAAACAAGTCAGTTACCGTATCAAACCTGTGCTGCAACTTCAAGTCGGTGTAATAAATTTGGCAGACTACACCAAACTGGTGAGATTACAATGCCTTAAAACATATATATATATGCATATTAGAAACGTAACGAAAGGTTTCTTGTAATTTAAATCCAGACTTATGTTCAGATCAAATGTATCAGAACAAGAGAGCAATGCTCAAATATATGGACACGCTGAACAATTCCCAAAAATCAAATGCGGTGCCTCATAGTACCTGTATAAACAAAGCACCACATCACAGCAATCAAACAGACAAAAAAACGGTGGTCGCAAATTGGTTGACAAAGATATTATCGACATATTGGAAATGCGCACCTCCCTATTCCCCCCTCCTTCAAATGTTAAACCGCGAAACCTTCAAAGATGGCTAAAAGAAACACAACTCTACCCACCTGCCAAGTTTCATTTTTTTATTTCTTATATTTGTATGGATTTTCAAGCTTTTGACAGCTACGAGTTAGTTCAGTGTCACCGCGCTGTGTTACGGTACCAGAACTTCTCTATCTTTAAAAACATTGGGCTTCTAATTGCATTTCTGATCGTCATATATTTTAAGAACACGGTTATTTCGAACAAAACTCGTCAAATTATATTCAAAGCACCACCACAGTACAGTGAAGTACGGTTTGCCGTACCTCCAGACACCAAGCGAAGCAGTACAGTACGGTATACCGTGATCAAAAAGAGGAGTGCCTGCATATGCGTTTGCAGAACGTTCAGTGACGTCATAACAAACAAAATCAAATCTCACAGAGCTAACAGAAATATTCGAAATAAATTAAAATAATAGCCTTCCGGAGAAAAATATCATCTTTCACCACTAAAAATTTCAAAGCAATTGGTCCAGTGATCAAAGAGAAAAGCGGTTTTTTAATATTTCCACTAGGTGTCCAAAAAGTGTCAAAGAACAACATAACAACACAAGAGAGCTACGCACAAATATATGGACACGTTAGACCAGAGCGAATCAGTCCTTACCGGTACCTTTGACGCTACCGGTACCCTCAAAAAAGTTCTGAATTTCCAGTAGCAAGAATTTTGCAGAATCAAACCAGTCATGACACTGACTAAAATCCGTGTTCCCATGGATAAAAAATAACACAGCAAAATTTTAGACGAAATATCAAATTTCATAGAATTCACGCAAAATTTTTAAATAAATAAAAGTAATAGCCTTCTAGCGAAAAAATTAATCTTTAACCACTGAAAATTTCAAAGCAATTGGTCCAGTATTCGAAGAAAAAAGCGTCTTTTTAAAAACGTGTCAAAGAACAAGAACAAGAACAACATAATATTGAAACGATCGTTATGTCCACTTCGTGTCCAAAAACGATCGTTATGTTCACTAAACTTGTCCAACAAGAACAACATAACAACAAAACGATCGTTATTTCCACTAAACGTGTCCAATAATGAAGCGCTCATTCAATTGTTCGAAATATACGTCTATCCTTGTGGAAGAAGTGAAATTCTAATTTGTACATTTCGTTACCGTGACTACGCAGTATGAACCAAAAAACGTAAGATCATAACGAGCCAAAGGTTTTGATGTATAGTTTCCAGGTTTAAAAAACGCAAATTACAGTTACCAGATTTTTTCTCAAATTGTAGAAATTTTAGTCCTGTTGGAGTGAAGTATAGATTTGCGAAGTTCATCTTGGATTTGTGAATCGCATCGACATGAGCTAGCCATGATTGTAACCAATCTTCTTCGTTTTTTCTAGTTGTGAGGATAATCTAGAAATAAAAAAAATGTTTGTTGCACGTTTTGGCTATTCAAATTTTTGTAAGCCATAATGGAACGGGATCTCATTCTGGGATTAAAAGCAGCCGAGTGTCTCCGTTAAAAGTTGACCACGAATTCATAATTGTAAGAGTTGCTACTTTAATATATAACCTAACCTAAACTATCCGCGGCTTACCTTTCGAACGTTGGTCAGAAGAAAAGACACAATGCTTAGGTACGGTAACCAACATGCCTTTAAGATGTGTGTGACATGTTTTCTATTCCTGGTCAAGATATGTTAATTACTTTTGACTTTTTAGATCTCATGCTTAGAGCTGATGACATTTGGTAAATAGCAAAAAATATCATTTTGAGGTAGGATAAACTCACTCGAGACTGATACAAAAGGTATTTTATCAACGCTGGAGAAGCACCCACGTCCTTAGCTTCAGATATCAATGCCTTACTCCCTGGTAAAACTGTGTAGCCTAATATTTTTATTTCATCTATTTCTCGTTAATGTTCACCTTTGCCTCTGGGAAAGATTCATGTAACGACCTCCAGCATGCACTCGCTGGAATATCACTAACGGCATCGACATCTCCATACATTTCTTTGAAAATCCGAACAGAAGGGCCGTTTTCAAAAACTTTAGTCCATTCTTCACCGAGATACGTAAAATTCTCATCGAAATCGTACACAACGTAACCCAAAATTCTCAGACAATCGCGTAAAGTCTTTGTCCCACATTTCGGGAAACTTGCAACAATTATTTTCATCGTGATACGCTGCACAAACTGACAAAAGAAACTACAATGATTGCGAGTACTCAAAACAAATTATAGAATGGAGGTAACCTATTTTAAAGTTTACCTCGACGCATAGGTGGCCTACTTTACTCTTCGTCAAGTGCGCGTTCTCATCAAGGCGCCGATGACACTAAATAAACACATGCACATGGTGCCTTTCATTCGGATTCCCATACAACATGTATTTCGACGATGATACGAGAGAAACGCGCATTCACCGCCAAGCGGAACGTTATCTTCAATCGGTAGGCTATGTTAGTTATTCTTGTTGCCTTCAACATACCGAGATTTTAGTTCATTTGACAGACTATGAAAAGTTAAAGTTTGATTAACGTAAATAGGATTATAGGTTTCGTGCAAAATCGAGATGTATTTCAACAGTCGATAACCTAACCCACTAATATTCTGTTCTTCTGAAATTGCTCGAAGGGTCTTTATAATAGCATTTGTCGTCCGGAAATTAACTCGACCAATTTAGCCCTATTTGTTCATCTACAACACAAACATCACAATTCTATTGTTATTTATTTATTGACACAAATCTATTCACAAGATTCTGGCAACACCGACCATTCTTCGATGCATTCGTGTTCCTCTATCGATTTGATCGCTTCATCGAGTTCACGCCACGTTGATAACTTGAACGTATTGTAGCAATGATTACCATCTGCTAAAGCCTATAATCAAATTGGTTAGATAGAGGAAGTTTAGTCATTGATTTTTTTCTTGAAAATTGCAATGATCTTTTGATACAATTCACTATTTTTCAATTGTTTTTACTACTATAAGCACTCTAGTGTTATTTTTTGGATTTAGATGTGTATATGCATAGTCTCCGGCATCACCCTCATGGAAATTTGCCCGAATAATCTTTCAGATTGTAATAAATCTTTTTTAAAGCAAAGTCGACATAAAATTCAAGATACGATTGTGTAGTTAAAACAACAAATTTCGCTAACCGACAAATTTTCGATACATTCATTATTGCTTCCAATAACAAAGGAGAAAATTGATATATGATTATCAGAAAGTTGTTGATAAATTTCGTTCAGTTTTTCGGTAACTCCTGATTTGTCCCCGCAATTGGCGCACCTGAAAATACATTAACAGCATTTCAGATACTTCAAACTTTTAAAAGTTTTTGTTCTTCCGCAGCATATTTTTCATATTCGTATATATGCGAGTCCTTTGATCTTTGAGGAATCTTAGGTAAGTTAGGAAGGAGGTTGGGCTCACATATACCAACCAGAGTACTCCCGTAGTATGTGTACCGGCTTAGGGTTAGGTCATAATTTTGTTCCGATTTTCCTTATTTTTGATCTATTACGAGTTCGGGACTGACTGTGTTAGCCAAGTGAATATACTCCTTCCTCCCCTGAAGGGTTCCAATGCCTTCACACAACTTGATGTAAAATGGGCGAACAAAATTTGTTACCTCCATATAGATACACATACTTTCACTATATATATTGCCGAAGAAGATCGAACGCATTTCATATACATAAACGGACATAACAATGTTGCGTTTGGCTATCAAATGTGGAAGAGGAAGACAAGTTGGATAAAATTTATGATTATAGAAAATGAAACGATGTTTCAACAACCACCAAGGAAAAGTCGCATACAAAAGCTACTTATATTCCAACAATGAGAAATAAGCTGAGAAATATCTTCTATACACTTCCTTTATCGTTTATCAGGTGGCACATGAGTGAATCTATCTATGAATAGACATAATTTGGAACACAACAAATACCAGGCAATCTAGAATCAAAATGACACCATATATAAACAGAAAGTTTAGTTTTGAAGTATCGTGAAAAAATATTTCTTTAAATTACCCGTCAGTAATCAAAATTACAAGCCGTTCTACTCCTATCGACGGTGGTCTCGATCCTGCTGCAGCGGTAAACATCTTTGTATCTGCATAATCTAGAGCACTGATCAGACATGTGGCCCCGTGAGTAGTTTCATTATATCTGTGAAAATGTTTTTATAGTTTATTATTGGACAAGTAGACTTCTGAAATGCCTTGCTAAATTGTTGTTGTTGGAAAAAACTTTTCTCGCAAAAAATGGATCGATTTGAAGTTATAATTACAGTAGAAAATGGAAGATGATTTCAAATTATTTCCAAAATCTCGGAGTCTTATATTATAACATTGGTTTCCAACTTTTTTTTAAACGACCCAGATTTAAAAAAAATTAATATATATTGTGAAATTTCGCGATCTGAATGGCATATATAGTTGCGTGACTCTACATAAGCAAAATAGATGTTGCCAAGTTTTCACGCTTTTATATTTTTACCTATTTTATATTTTTCGCTTTTATATTTTTACGCCCTTGTATTTCTCGCATATACAACTGAGCAACAATTCAATACAAATTGAACAATAAAATTCACTGGGTAATCGGAAATATACTGAATAACTTTTAATTCTTTGTTTGAAATAAAGTGACTCAGCATTGGGTCGCAACATATAAGTTGGGAAATACTGCTATATGGGATCAGATATTTCAGACAAAATTTTATTTTATCTCAAAGTGAAAACTTATTTGACGTATGGAAATATGAAGTTTGTTTGGCTTTTCAGTATTTTGAGTGTTTAGATAATACGTACCATTGCACCGAGTTTCGTGTTCATATATTTGAACATTACGTATTTGCTTCAATTACAAAAAGTAATAATTGCAATGGTTAGACCGATGAGACAAAGCTCGATATTTACGGAAATAAGATTAATTTTTTAACTTCTGCACCCCATAATACTAAATACTACATATAAACGTGGCAAAATCCAGTAATCCTGCATATCATCATTCCAGTTGGATTAGAAATCGCAAACTAACGAGTAATTAGGTGTACGGTGATGAACGCCTTCGTAAATTTATCTTTTTTTGGCATAAATCGAACCAAATAGATATTTATATATACTTACTGGATTCGCGACATCTCGTCTAAAAGTGAGCTTCTTTCAAAGTGTTGATCAAATGTTATGTGCAAGTGATTTTCTTTATCGAACGACATCAAAGCAACTCGTGTTTTATCTTTTCCAACGGTTATATCCTGACATAACTCTGTTAGTATAATAAAAATATTTTATATATATAATATATGTAGCACTTCAGATTTATCTATTGACGCAATTAAAAAAATAGGACAGTTAGAATACCGACGCGTTGCTGATTATCAATTTTGCAATTATAATCAATCCAATAAAGTATGGCAGCAAGTATTCCAAAATGTTTGCGACCGCACACTGATCCCGCACAGCACTTGTTTACATGAGGCATATAAATTAGATGACTGTATAGTTGCTATTGGTTACAAGTTTTTCGTGGTTGGCATTTGGGTCTTTGCCGCATTTCCTATTTGAAAAAAGCAATTTAGAAAGTTTGCATTGGTTTGATACGTAATAAATATAAGTTTTTTCATTTTCACTTCATGGAATTACCGAAACATATAATATAATAAAGTGACCACCAAATCAGAAACCAGGTTATTTGGAACATATATATATATATATATATACTAGGGAGGAAATAACTTTTGCGCAAATAGTCCTAAGTTTATTTAATTTTTGGTTACAATTACACAAAAACAAAAATTCAAGCGTTAGACAAATTTTTCTTCATTTTCGTAGAATGAAAAAAAGGTGGGTTTTGTTTTATTGCCGTCACCCTGGATATTACGCTCTGTTGCGTGTGCTATGTACCCTTCACCACATTTCGTACAATAATTGTAGCCAAACAACACAAACATAATACTTGAATATATATATGCGATATATGTGATATAAAACATGATGCTTACTAGTAATTAATGTCGAAGCCAGTTGCACTTCCTTCTCAAAAAATTTTCTTTGAATGCTCGCGCTCTCATCGATAACAAAGATAACGTCACGGTATCGTAATCCATCGTCTTCGTACTAGTAAAAAATATGAATAGTTAATTTGAAGGTCACTTTGTAACTTTCTTCCGCAGCAAGTTTGCATATTCTTTTATAAAAGTAGGCAGAATATTAATAATGTGTGTAAAATTCGTTGTTAAGTAGAGTCTCGAGTGCGCACTTTGTTAAATAGGCCTGCGTATAAAAGGTGATAACTCTCCTGTACGTAAAGTAGATATTCAAACTTTGCTTGTTTTCCTACAATCCCCAAGTTTACAACATACGTCATGGAATGCCTGTGCTACACGTTTTCAAACTTGCTTGAACGTACACTCAAACACAGAGCATAGTTCAAATACTATTTAGTATTTAACTATTTATGTATACATAGAAGTACCTTGTTTTATCGCTAACATGACAGAGCTATGACTACCTCGCGTGTCATGGAGGAATTTAGCGATATACACCACACGAACGAGCACAAATAAGTCATTACCTCGTAATCGATTTCTTCAGTTACTTCATCTATTACTTCTGCTTCATATTCATATTTTTCTTGAAATTCTTCGGATATCTGTCGTTTCTTTCTACCCGATGAATCACATTTTCTGCCGATCATTCTTATGCTTCCTTTGCTATCTCGATAAGGAGTGGAGCACAAGGGAGTATTTGGTTTTCGAGATCTCTTCTGTGTATGGAAAATATACACTGTGCCAATTTGTACGTATTATGTTATTCCAGGTAGAAAATATTCTTCTCAGCAAAACTCTAGCAAACAATTATCTAATAAAATGCATACCATCGCAAGTGAGTTAACTATGAGTGGCACAGACTGTGAAAAAACAGGATAACTACGACGAAAAGTCCATTTTAAACTCAATGTTTACGTCCGAAAGGATTCCGTCCGGTTTGCCCACAAAATAAAGAGCGAAGCCTCGCAAGCACAGTTAGAATGCCATCAAAATTTAGGTACCAAAAGATCATTATTTAACCTTAAATCGTGACTTACTCTTATTCCAAATTCCCCAAAGGTTGCCATAAATGTCGACACAACATGTTGAGCTTCAGAACATTCTACAACGAATATTACATATATTATTATATAGTAGTATTTTTTTTTTATCTAATAAGAAAATTAATATTATTTGCATTACCCAACTCTCTCTCAGCGGGTCCAACACACGCTTTTCCACCCCTTAACGCATCAAGTTTTCTACGCGTCTGTTTGATTCGAAGTTTTCCGTCAATTCTTCTAGTGCACTTTCTACCTTGCCAAGCCCGCCATTTACAATCTTGTATAAAAGAATTTACATATTAGTGATTTCAAAACGTCCTGTCAATAGCACTCTTAGATAAATTATTTCGGGAAAATAGTACTTGGGATCAGCTGTTGAAAAGAAACGTCACCCGAGCCATGCATGCTATTTTATGATATATATATATACTGCAAATTTGGATGACTAAGTCTAGAACACAAGTCCGATAGCCGATCTAACAATCAGTCGGATGTATTCCTACAGTTCAAAACAAATGATCCATTTGTTTTTATTTGAATAAATATGAAACGCAATTTGGCAGTAGATTATAAACGAGTTACCAACGCAAATCACACGGACGTGAATTAATACTTCTATATTTTCGCGATCGTGAGCAATTACAGGTTTTTACAATTATAGTACTTACCTCGAGGTTCTTTCTTTCGATTTGACCATAAGAAACCTTAAGAAATACATTCATTTAGTTATTCTATATTTATGTCGGTTATTATCAAATAAATATGTTTGCATGTTCGCAAAAAATTATACAAACATTTATTTCAAGCATTGTGTGTATTATGATCGAATTGCTTTGGAGTACGAGCATTTATGACAGAATTACTGTAATCTTGCACGTCTCTAGCACACCTTGACAGAAATGTGTTTAGAGACTATATATATATATTGTGTCAACTCGTAAAACTTTGTGAACCTTGAAGCCACGTGCTATAACAGTACTTCTTGAACTGGATGATCGCGAACACTTAGGGTTTCACCGGAATATTTCTATGGATATCTGGACGATAATTGAGTTTTTTTTAGTTTTTTTACAATGTAGGGAATCCCTTGCGCATGTGCCTGTCTAGTACTTCTAAGCGTATGGCAAAAATTATTTGCATTGAACAGGCGCATGCTGCATGTAATATTTAGTTAGTGTAAAGTGCCTTTAATAAATAAATAATCTATCTGTCCGTCTCACCACCGCCAGATGTTTTACAAGTCTCCAAATTGCAGTGTATATATTCATCATTTGGTCCTTCACATTTTCTGGCAATAGTGCATTTCCGAGAACGCGTTTGTTCACCATCCCCACATGTTACGGAACATTCACTCCATTTTGTCCAATCTTTCCACTCTAACAAATCGAAATTAATAAAATATATGATATATATCAACCCGAATTCATTCGAAGTCATTATTTTTTCAAATTCCATCTAATAATTTACCAGGGCATTTTCTAACATTGCACGATCTTTCTTCAAATGATTCTCCTTTACAGGAACCCGGAATTCCTTGACATATTCGAGTTCTCCTCTGTCTTCCTCCCCCACAGGAAACATCACATTTTGACCAATAATTGAAATCGCTCCATATGCCTTCTGTGGTGGTGGTGGTGGTGGCTTACAATTACGAAATACAGTATTTAAGTCAAATAATTACTGAATTGGTGCAAATTTCCATCAATTAGGAAAATTTTTTGTGATATCCTATTTTTTTACAGTTTTTATACAGTCGCACACAAATACGTATTTAAATAATATCCAATACATACTCTCATCGTATCTGAGAGAAGAAGAATTTTTCTTCGATTTTATTACAACCATCAATCTTCTGACTCAATCAAATTATTAAGTTTATTTAAATGTGTAAACACAGATAAAATTTCAATGATAAGTTACCATTTGTGCTCACAATCAACGCTATAAGTGGTGATACCGACGTAGTAATTTATACGAAATTATAATTAATATTAGGGAATAAGGTTATGAAAGATAAAATAGATAACTTAAAATCAAGATTCTATTTCTCCCTTTTATATAAGAAGTAATTTTGTGAATAGGTAAGTTCAATATTACCAACAATTAATAAATTTTCATAATAAAACGTTAGAATTGAATATATCCCATACTCAAAGTGAAGAAGCATTGGATTAAGCTGCATTTACTTACTCAGTTTGCAGCGTTTGCATGATTTCGGACATGTTTTCACCAGTTCTGAGTCTGAGTCACAAATATCAGGTATACCAGCTACAACAGCAGAACACCAAGTTTGTGCATCTTTGCACTCGTCCTCAATGTCTGATGATGCAATTAATTTTGTAAAATACGTAATATGTAAATTATATAATGAAAACATTTTGTGATATTGTGAATAATAAATGAAGTATCGAAAGGAGTCTTAAGCAGAAAATAAGAAACGCATTGTCCACCAAAAGTTTTTTTTGATATTTTGAAAATATTTTTAAAACGACGTCAACTTATATGTCCTGTTCCAATGATACTTGCATACTTGATTTTAAATCCTAAATCGCCGACAAATATAGAATGGAATTATATTAACATCAACTTCCATGCGACTGTCGATATTTCTAATTTATCAATATACGTAATCATATGTGATAAGATACTTTAAATACGTGATCGGTGCCAGCCGAGGCTGTGTACCGGGATTCTACTCCTTCAGGTTAAATGCGTTAGATGCCACCTTTGCCGGGCGTTATAAGAAAAGACTTGATTGCCTGCTTTTTACAAGCTGTAATGAAGTAATACGAATTACGGTAATACGGAATAATAAAATCAATAACGCAAATTTATCGTCACAGTGATTGGAATTTGTTACGCAAATATTTGGTTTAGAATAGCAAGTTAAAAGAATTTTGAAGGCGGGCACAAGAAAAAAGTTCAGTTTTGAAGCGGTCCACACTGCAAACAGATTGACCACAACGGCAAGACAAACAGGGTCACGCCGCGTTGATAATTATCATTGGCGATGATTTACCTCAAATATGTATCAAGCATATAATTTAAAAACAATACCCACGTTCACACTTCGGTAAATTTGGTTTCCAGTTTCCATCATTCTGACAAATAGAAAACCCAATCGATGGAATCATAGTATTTCCTGATCGGCATTCAATTTCAATTTTATCATTTTCTGCGTAAAATTGCCTATCTGGTTTGATATCTGCATCGTTTATTAATGGCGCTAAACATTCTAAAAATATGCAAATATTTTGAATGAAAGACACTATAGTACAATAAAATCAGCTTGTTTTAAAACGGTGGATACCAAGCAATTATAATAAGGAAAACATTGTACCGGGACATTCTCGAGTATTACATTCCCTCTCCTGTGTGTCAGGGCCTGAACAAGGTTCATATCGACATTGCCTTCTACGAATCTCGATTCCACCACTGCATGTTACGTCACATTTTGACCAAGGGCCAAAGTCGGTCCACTTTGAATCTTTTTCTAAATGGAAAAAGATCGAATCACATCACTTGAACAAATAACACTACACGTTCTTACTTACGATATTTAACATACACTCCCCGAATTAAAATATCGATATGAATATATTTCCCACCATGGTTATACTATGTTGGTGTTTTAGCAAACAGGGTTCAAAATCCATGCCTCTATTACATCCACTGTTTAATCAGCTGGGCAGGCTATATTGTAAAACAATTTTGGCTTTTTAAAAAAACAATACGTGTTTTTGCTACGTGTCCCTACTGCTCTTTCAAATGATCGTTCCTCAAATATATATCATATATCATTAAATAAACAGATCTCGCAAGCATCCAAAAATCGCATCGTTTATTCTTCGCATTTGCCGCCTCGTTTACAAAATACCATGTACACACATGTACCATGTACACACATGTTTTTAAATATTGCATCAAAGGTTGCAACATATCAATAATATTCACGCTCCAATAAATACATCAAAAATACCATTTCACCCTCGGTTCGTTCGTCTTTTCGCAACCCTTTATCTTTAAACTGTCCTATCTGCCCCCAAACTGCCCACATCTCGCTCTTCACCAATTCCACTTGTATTGCTAACTCGAATAAGACTGACTTTGGATGTACCCTTTTTATAGGCCACGAGCAACATGTTTCCGAAATGTGTTTCGTTTGCTCTTTACCATTTTCCGCTTACAGTTACATGAATCTCATTTCTCCATCACGATCTTGTTTTATTAATATCAAATACCGTGTTTCATCCTCCGAATTTTTCTGCGGACGGCTATTTCGCTTAACATTAACTGTCACTCTATCTAAACCAGAGTATTCAAAAAAATTGGGCAGACAGATGGAGGTGCTTTTGTACACAGATATATTTGAAATAGGCGACAAATGACTGAAGGCAAAAAGATGTCGACAAACGCGGATGACTGAGATGGAAAGAAGTGGAGGCGCATCATTATTGTTCTTTTTACAATCCCCAAGGATCAGAGTACGAACTAGCGGAGAATTAGAAGCTGTGTCTAAAGCCAAACGTCCATTAGACATTTATGCCAAGATTCCTACACGCATGAGGTGTGAAAAATGCAATCATCGTGCAAGCATTTAAGCTACCAATTATGGTGCTTGGCTATCCAAAAAAGTATCAGACAACCATGATTAAAAAATTTGATTGCTCAATCAAGTTGGAAAGACGCCATTTCATTTTTAAAATGTCTACCGATATTAATTTACTCCACAACGTATCCAAGGCATTGAAAATCTTACAATTGGTTTTATTTCAAACAAAATCATGGCCTAAAATATATGCAAGCATATATTGCTTCTAAGACGATAAACCCATTCAACATTGGCGTACTTCCGCCACATATGAATCACAAATTGCTAATGCGGTTGTAAAATAGTTCTGGTCGTAATAGCCGTTGATTAATTAGTCTAATGAATCGTTCAGGTAGAGATGTAAGGTTCGTCCCTCTAGCGGAAGGGACTAGACACCGGGAGCTCAGGTAAGGTTAGCCGGAGGGAATAGACACGGGGTGCTCAGGTGGGGTTAGCGGGAAGAATCAGACACGGGTGCTCGGGTAGGTCTAGCGGGAGGAATCGGACACGTTGAGCTCAGGCAGGGTTAGCCGGGGAGATCAGACACAGAGAGCTCAGGTGAGGTTAGCGGGAGGTATCGGACACGGGGAGATCAGGTTGGGTTAGATGGAGGTATCGGACACGGGGAGATCAGGTTGGGTTAGATGGAAGTATCGGACACGGGGAGATCAGGTTGGGTTAGATGGAGGTATCGGACAGGGGGAGATCAGGTAGGGCTAGCGGGAGGGATCAGACACGGGACGCTTAGGTAGGGTTAGCGGGAGGGATTAGGAGTACGAAGCTCAGGTAAGGTTAGTGGGAAGGATCAGACGCGAGGATCTTAGGTAGGGTTAGCGGGAGGGATTAGTTACGAGGAGCTCAGGTAGGGTTAGCGGGAAGAATCAGACGCGAGGAGCTCAGGTAGGGTTAGCGAGAGGGGTCAGACGCGGGAAGCTTAGGTAGGGTTAGCGGGAGGGATTAGGAACACGAAGCTCAGGTAAGGTTAGTGGGAGGGATCAAAAGCGGGAAGCTCAGGTAGGGTTAGCGGGAGGGATCAGACGAGAAAAGCTTGCGAGATGGATTACACGCTGGGATCTCAGGTAGGGTTAGTCGGAAGAATTAGAGACTTGAAGTTTAGGCAGGGTTAGTGAAAGGACTTAGACACGGGGGGCTCAGGTAGGGTTAGCGGGAGGGATTAGACACTTGGAGATCAGGTAACGTTTGCGGGATAGTTTAGATGTAAAGATCTCGGGTAAGGTTAGGCGGAGGGATCAGACGCGGGGAGCTTAGGCATGGTTAGCGGGAGGGTTTAGACGCGGGAGCTTAGGCTGGGTTAGCGGGATGGATTGGACGCGGGGATCTCAGGTAGGCTGTGCGGGAGGGATTAGACAATGAGAGCTCAGGTAGGGGGAGCAAGAGGAATTAGACAAGTGGAAATTCAAGGAATTAAAAAGAAGGTTGATGTAGACTTTCACGTATTGCAACATTGCCACCTGCATGTAACATCACATAGTCAGTCCAAGTTTCCTATATGGCTCAAATAATAGAAATCAAAAAATTAATACTAAATGTGAAAAATAGTTTTCAATTATTTACTATAGCCTACCTACCTTGACAGGTGGGAATATCAGGGTACCATAATCCTGCATTGCACGTAGAAAAATTGGCAGGAGGATTCAATTTATACCCATCATTACATCTAAATGAAATTCTGTTTTCAGAAATACGAGTATATTCTCCGTTGGTGATAGAAAATTGTCTGTCACATTGTCCTATAACGGTAAAAATGTGAATTTTAAATAATGTTATTGTGTTTCTTAAAATAAAACAATACAATTCTCCAAACTTCACAAGATAGCTCGATTGTGAGATTCATTATTTTTATTCCGAATTTCCAGAGGAACCTCATTTGGTATCTCATGAATATTGTTGTATCGCAATTCAACAAATTGTCTCGAATAATACAATTTTATATCAAGAGCAGACATGACTAACTACCTCATTTCCTCCTAGTTTACTGATACTTTCGGATTCACTCCGAAAACAACGTTTTATAAATGGGAATATCTTGTATATATAGAAGAAAACAACTAACTTGAAAAAATACTGTTCCACTCATTTTAGTGACAACTCTAGTACACTTACAAAAGTTACGTAGAATAAATAAAACTCATCAGAAAATTAGCATGAACGCAGAAAAAACTCACTTTCACATTTAGGAATACTTGGTTTCCAGTCGCCAATATTCTGGCATATAGAATACGAAATAGACGGGACGAGAACGTATCCGGTTTTACATTCGAATTGAATTGTGTCGTTTTCAATGTACCGAAGCTTATATGGCATTATGCTTCCTGCGTCAAATTTTGGTGCTAAACAATCTAAATTGATTATAAAAAAATTTGATTAATATTATATAGCTTGTCAATATTTGCCATCGTTATATTTCTCAATTTATAATACCGAGTTTAAGCTTGATTTAATATTCAACAGCCTAGCTGGAACATTTTCGTTATTCGGGGAGATCTTTTATTTGATTTACACTTATCATCACAAAAACAAAATTTACTCCAGCATGGTCGAAGATTACACGGTCTTCGCTCTATTGCTGCTTCCGATCCTCCTGGACAGTTCATTGTATTCGAAAGAGCATTTTTGCACAGACGCTCGCGAGTTTGTGTTCCATCGTCACACGTAACATCGCAGTCTGACCAATCACCAAAGTCACTCCAAACCCCTAGTGTAGCTGTAGGTATGCAAACAATTTAGTCAAATTCCGGGGATAGGTGACCCTCGGGACGATGGTTAACTTGTAGCTGTGTAACCACTTTCCCCATGGTGCGATCCAGACCATTACATAAACATAGTACCTTCAAACATGGACTGCTTTTACAGAGTATAGTTTGGTTTGTGAAGACTACATAGAAACTTGTACAAATCTTATTTCACTATTCCTCGAACACGAATATTGTCCTCTTTTTCAGGATAAAGGAGTTCGGAATTTGTCCAGCTCCATAAATTATGTTTTGCTAATATAATTACGTGTTCCGTAACGAATTACAATATTATAGTTATAATATTATATATATCGCTTGCCTCTATATACCTATTTAAGATTCCTGCAAACAATGAAGTAAATAAAATGAACGAAGGATTTAAAAGGTAAATAAAATCACGTTGAGAATAAGATAATGTTTACAGTTACTTACGCTCACAACTTGGTATGTCTGGTTTCCACTTATCGCCATTCTGGCAAATGGAAAATAAAACTGGTGGAACAGCGCTGTACCCTGATCGACATTCAATTTTAATCTCTTCACCTTCAGCGTAAACTTGTTTATTAGGTGTTATATTTGCATCATTTATGAATGGAGCAAAACACTCTAAACAAATCAATTAAATCATTTGAATTGATAATATCTCAGTTGTTAGTTACAGCCGCATTATTTTTGCGTGATTTCCGAATTTTCGACAAATATGGTCACAATTACGCTGGCATTTGCGGGTATCTGGGTAGAGTAATCTTTTCGGTTTGCTGTAGCCCAATGGATATTTTTTGCCGCGGGTGAGCTATTGTCTGGATAACTACTAAATCGATAATAAAGGTTTTGAATTAATTCATTAATACAGATACTCGTGATTTAAACGAGAAAAATAATTCTATACATCGTCAATATTAGGTTCGTTGCCATCTGCCTTTTGGATGGGATAATACGAATAATACGCAAAAATGGTTTTCTTGATGGTCACTATCAGAATCATTACAAAAATTTCGTTGTTTTACGCTATGAATACCAAGTCTAGACTACACAAATAATACGATGACAGGAAGAAAAATTATATACCAGGACATTCTTGAGTATTGCATTCTCTTTCTTCTGTTTCGGAGCCGGAACATGGCGGAGAAAACTGCCCATGTCGACATTGCCTTCTACGTATTTCAACTCCGCCATTACATGTTGCGGAACATATCGACCAAGGTCCAAATTTTGTCAAAATTGTTTCGGTATCTTCAGAATTAAAATTTAGTAATACAATTAATACGATTTTTTATATAAAGAATTGATGTCGAAAACATGTCGTCAATTTTTAATTACCTGATATAACCCTCATGTTACAAGAGCATAGGGCGCAAAAGGTGCATTTCATTGTACAAATTCATTTCTTATTTCACGTTTTTATTTCTAGCAATAGCCTGGCAAAAACTGTTTTAGCTAGAATTTGTATCATCTTTTAGCTTACCCAAACCTTTGCAACCATATACATCTGTGGGGGCAAAACTATCCAGGTGCAAAATGTCCGTAGGTGCAACGATAAGAGAACCCAGGATTCCACAAAAAGAAATTCGAATAATTTTGCTGATAGATAGTAAAACTACATACTCACTTCGACATTCAGGAATATTAGGAAACCATTTTCCATCACGACAGATAGATGTCGGAACAGGTGGGTGTAATTTACGACCTACGTTGCAGGTAAACGATATTTTATTTCCCGAAGAATATACATTTCTCTTAGGACTATGCCGACCATTTCGGATCGATATAAACGGACTGCATGTACCTAGAAAAATTGTGATATAACATTGGATCAATACCCCGTTTGATTGGATAAATGCGGTCCAAATGGGAGCTTAATTATTGCTAGGGAAAAGTCAACAGTTGAAATTAATTTTCTACAAAATTTGGTCCTAGTTGGTGTATATTTTACCCAGCTGTGTAGAAGATACCCGGGTGACTGGAAGTAGAAAACATACCCATTTTGAAACGAACGGCAATTTTTTAATATAGTCAAAATGAGACCTACATTTAAAATCTAACTAGTATTAAACAGGAACAAATGTAGGAACTCACGTTCACAGCGAGGTATACTTGGTTCCCAACTCGTGTCAGGTTGACAAACAGAAGTAGAGATAGACGGAATCAAAATATATCCACTCCGGCATTCTATTTTTATTTCTTCTTCTTCAGCATAAATTTGTCTTTTTGGTACAATGACTCCAAAATTCAAAACTGGCGCAGAGCATTCTTAAACAGATATATTAGGAAAACATTAAAAAATAATTTATAACATTTTTCATCAAGAAAAGGTAAGGAATATCAATGAGCAGCCATGAGTGTATTGGAAATGAAATATTTATATATAATTTCATTCACAGGCCTAATATAACAGGCTTTCGAAATTTGGTAGGAGTTTATTATTTATCGATTTTAATCGGTAAGTATGTTGATAGGTATTTGTATGTCTGTCTGTCTGTTAGATGCACGCGATATCTCACGAAAGCGAGATTGAATCTGCTCCAGATTTTGCATGTGCATTCATCTTATCTCGGACCAGAAGCCTATTGATTTTGGGCAAATTATGTCATATAATTAGCGAATTATTAATTAGTTAGTGATGGGACACAAGGTGTCACTATGGAGTAAGAGCGCTGTTTTGGGGATCCCCTAACTTTCGATCGATAAGTCTTCGGTCTCTGACCGATATTCTCGTTTCAATATTTGATGAATTTTTCATGCAGTGACAAACAAACTGTTGTTATTTAGATTAATTAAAAAAATAAATAGAATAATATTTATATTAAGGATGAAACGAATATTTGATTTTTAATGTTCACGAATATCCGAATGAACTTGGTACAACACCTCTACTCAGTATTCATCTTTATTGTTCCCTGGTGAAATTATGTAAAAATACGTTAAATGAAGAAAGGGAAGCGTCGTTGCATGTAAGTAAAGAACTAATCAGTGATTCGAAAGGATTCACTGTAATTTCATCCCGTAATATAATTGCGGTAAATTCGTCGTAAGAAAATTAAAACGTTGGTAGTTACATTATCAGTGATATTATCATTATTTTTACAGCTTGAGCGAAACGAACAAAACACAGCTCGAGTAAATAAATAAAAAATCAGATAAAATCGAATTGTTTTTGTTTAAAATTACGATCATAAATAGTGTCACATATTCATGATATCCCATATCTTTAACTGTTAATGGTGAATCTGCTTGCTAACCCTAACTGTGCCTTGAAATTTCCAAGCGCTCCAATTACTGGCAATGATTTTATTTTCCTTGCAATAAAATTACCAGGTAAAGTTACCAAGTAAAATTACTGTATCACATTTGAAAGTTTTATTTTGTATTTGTGCGATGAAGCGATAAACATCGCCAATAATTCACTTCATAGAAAATATATTCAATATAATTACCAGGGCATTTATCAGCATTACATTCTCGCTGTTCGGTCTGAGGCCCAAGACAAGTTGGAGAAAAATGCTCCCGTTGACAACTTCTTTCACGTATCGAAATTCCACCGCCGCACGTTACGTCACATGCTGACCACGATCCAAAATCAGTCCAAATGCCTTCAATCGCTTCAAAATCATTAATAAGAATATTAATTACAGAAACAGATGCAAAATGAATCAAATGTATTAGTACATATTGTTGAATATAACAAATTAGCGCCATTTATTGCTATCAGTATAAAACTCACGTTGACGAAAATTTGTATCATATACAAATATGAAAACCAAAGCCAGCCAGCCAAACCTCTCTTACCAGCCAAAGACCTCTCGTACGTATTTATAATTATAATTTGTAATTTATATACCAAACATAGACCATATTACGTAGAATTTTCAATAGTTTCAATTAAAGTTGATTTCGATTTTTGTCATCAAAGTATTCAATATGGTTCCATTACATTTGAACCCACGTACATTTGAACCCATGACAATTGCACCTGCATACTATTGCACCTATGGAAATTTTTTTGTTGTACGGATAGTTGAACCCATACTAACCCTAACCCATGGGTTTCAGCACCCGCATATTGATTGAACTCGCGGATATAGACATGGGTTCAAATGTACGTGGGTTCAAATGTACGGTCACCATTCAATATATGTACTTACGTTCACAACGTGGAACATTTGGTTGTCATTTTCCTGACTTTTGACATTCGGAATACCTTGTTGACTGCGTTAATGCGTACCCATTCTTACAACTATACCATATTCTATCTTCTACTACGTAAGATCGGTAAGATTTACTGGTAAAATGGGTAAATTTTTCTAAGGATATGTTATTCTTGGATATTGGTCAAGTGTAGACAAGAAGTGTACAGTAATATACCGAAATGTGTTATCTTACCCTCCGTACTTTTGCAAAATGGTATGTTAGGAGTCCATTTTCCCGCTCGACAAACAGATGACTGAACAGTTTGAGGATTAAGTCTATGTCCGAGGTTGCATTTAAACGATATTTCATCTCCAGAAATATACAAAGGTTTTGATGGACTATAATTTCCATTTAAAAATGCAAATTGGGTGCATTGTTCTATAAAAAATAAGCTTGATTAACTTAATTTAGGCAAAACCATATCGCCGCCACCCGAAAGATGTGGCTACCACTGTCTGTGATAGCTATTTTACTATTTAATTCTAGTTGCGTTCTCGAATTATTAGGAAATTCTTCAATCTTTACGTCTGATTTACATATTCATATTCTCAATATCAATAATCTGAATATATTTTAGCACAATTGTGATATTTTATTATCTATATAATCATGCCATGTCGCCACGAACTTCGAACTGACGTCATAATGCAAAACTCACTTTCACATTGTGGAACATTTGGTTTCCATTTCCCGGAATGTTAACTTTCTGAATACCTTATTGACTCCGTTTAATGCGTAGCCAGGTATCATGGTTCAGTAAATACTAAGTCAATTATGACGTCATACAGATACGTACCGCAAGCCCGCGTTTGACTGAAGTGTTTGCGTTTGACCGCCTCACACTCAAGGTCGATTCGTTGTTTCAGGTTGCGCTTCGTATTTGGCACCACCTCCCTAGTTTAGGATCTACTATACCAATGTAGCGTTTTGTATCAAAATATGCTTTACCGTTGGTGGATGACTATTTTATGTTTATTATTGGTATGTAAGCTGTTTATTTACTTTGTTTAAAGTCAATTCTCCGAATATACGACAATATATAGCAAGCACTCGGCGTTATACAGAAACAACTGAATCTAATAAATTATCTTGCACCGCAGCATGCATTGCTGAGCTGTAGCTTATTCGCCCGTTTGGTTTGGCCAATGAGCTAGGTTTACCATACGTCCCGCTTTAGGCGGGACAGTCCCGCTTTTCAGCGTTTTGTCCCGCCGTCCCGATAAGTCAGCCAAAAGTCCCGCTTTTCCAGCATAATGCACAAACATGTTCTCGTTACTGTTGTTTCTGTGTAGCGCAGCGCTAGTCTACTTACTGAAGGTAAATGCGTTCGTTTCCCGCTGATTCCCATTGATGGCAGACGTATCGCATGTAAAACCAATACTAATTAGTCTAAATTCGCATTATTTGTACCGGTATCGTTAACGTCAATTCCTTCCTATTTTTCGAACTGAACCCGATATTTGGACAGAGAATATGCGCATGAAATTTCGATAACAATATGATCAATAAAGACAGCCGAGACAGCTTTAAATGTAGGAATGTAGTAAAATCGGAAAATGTGAAGTTATAAAATCACAGCTAAGGGGTCGTTGTCTTTTGAGGCGTCCCGCTTTGAAGTCACAAAAATATGGTAACCCTTCAATGAGCATATATATATATATATATGCTCAGCTACATAGTATACAAGCGCACACGGTATAAATGTGTTGATAAGGTAAATGATAAGATAACTAAATTTTGGCATTTCGATGTTTGAACTAACGTACACAACTAAATATCGTCACGCTAATAACCGAATTGCGTAAGTCATTTTTAGCAGTTTTTGAGAAAAACGTAAAAAACTTCCTAATGATTTTGTTATGCAATTTAGAGTCAATAATTTGCCATGGTTCAATTTTTTGATCGTAGCCGGATTTAAGTTAATTTGTATGACGCAGTTAAGTGACGTCATAATGGCGCACTGTGACTTAGGCAGAAATGTGTCTATGACTTGGTGACATACGCAATTTTGCAACTTCACTATATGCACCAGTCCTGAAAACTAAACATTCCAAAAACGAATGTAATTCTCAGTATCTACAATGTCTAATCCCCAAAATAGCTAATCAGTTTCAATTACATCATTTTTTATGTTTAAAAAATATATATTTCATCAATATAACACGTTCTGCACACCCACCGAAATAGGACTAAGATTAAATATAAAGAATAAAACAGCAATGCACCCAATATAAAATCCAACCAAGGTAAATTGGACTCGGACAGTGAATATCACAAGTGCACGTCTTCTTATACTGTAGTAAAAATTCAAATTAACACGCGCTAAGCTAGAATCCGAGATGCAAAAACTCGAAAATACTTCGCCGAAGTTATTTTGCCTTTGTGACGTCACAATAGTACTGCGGTAACAAGGCTAATTCATTATGACGAAACAATTGCACAAATGGGCATGTCATACTAAATCTCCATTTTTATGGGTTTCGGAATTCCTAAAATAAAATGATTTAACAGACAGGTGCGCAGCATTACATAAATACCTATTTTATTAAAAACTCAAAATCGCCAAAAATGACATACGCAATTCGGTTATTAGCGTGACGATATGTTACTGATAACTAGGCCGGTTGGCATACTAAGTTCTTTTTAAATGAATTTCCACTAACTTTCGCATGTTGGTAAATTCGGAATCCATATTCCATCATCACTACATGTTGATAATGTGGATTCAGGAGCATATCCTGGACTGCATCGAACAAACACTTCTTCGCCAGCAGTAAAAGTTGTTTTGTCCGGGTTGTACCTGCCGTTGTCGTCCGGAAAGAATATCGAACACTGCTTGGGAACTTCTATACATGCATAATTAACAACACGCGGTTAGTGCCCGCATGAGCTCAAATGCTCAGTGTTACAGTCTCTCTCTCTCAAAAAAAGATAGACTGTATTCCAGTTTGTACGATACTCAATGGGATTTGGAATGAAAGCGTACGCTAATTCTCTACTAAATTGGCTATGTTCCTACTTAAATAACTTTGTCCCTTCTGAAACGGCCATGTTTACCATGTTCCTACTAAAAATGCCTATGTCTCTACTACATTTTAGTAGGAACATGGTAAACATGGCCGTTTCAGAAGGGGCATAGCCATTTTAGTAGGGACATATCTGGATCGCGATTTTGGTAGGGCCATAGCCATATTGTAGAAAGAAGGCGGATATAAGGGACATGGCCGTTTCATGAATACCGTTAAAGAGCTGGTACTTCGGCTGTCAGCAAACTCGGTATGGGGAGTTTTGTTCTAAACAGCCATAAATTGCAAAGACGTGCGTATTTTTGTTGATTAACCCAGCGCAATTGGGTGTGCTACTTAAGAAGATCTTTCTGAAATATTTAGATGTCGTTTATTATATAGCGTGAGAAGTAGAATCTTGTTGAGGATACGTATCTGTAACGCAGAGTTATCGGTTTCAAAAGTACCTTCCTCGAAGCTTCGTTATTACTTCACAACACAGAGGCTTACGACAACAGAAGAAACTGGCGAGAGACGCGATCGCGCGGGTTAAACACTGGGCAAAATGGTACAATCAATAAGGCGATACTCGACGAGGCACCATTATTGCTATTTGCCGTCATCATCAGTCAATTTTTGGTGTGCCAAATGGCATGAAAACTGACTGCCTGGTCAGTTGCGTGTCCTATATTTAGTATCTTTGGGCCTTAGTTAATGACATTAACAAGTAAGGTAATTTTAGGTTTCGGTCATTTTGACGTTAAGACAAATATCTCATATATATATATAAAAGTTCCGTGAAAAGTGTTTCGTACTAAATGAAAATAAATGTATTTTATATATCTTGCCATTGCAAGCTGGTAATCTTGGAGTCCACCGTCTTTTTAAAGAAGGTGTTATCTACAGAGAAGCTTGCTTGGGCGAATAAGTAAATTCTTAATGCTTGAAACTGTGGACCATTTTATCATTTTTTCTTTCTTTTACTATACATAAAAAATCTAAATTCGAATTATTTGTATCGTTAACGTCAATTCGTTTCCATTTTTTGGATTGAAACCGATATTTGGACATAGAATATGCGCAATAACTCTCGATGACAATATGATCGGTGAGGACAGCTGGGATGACTTTAAATGTAGGCCTATGTAGTAAAATCGGAAAATGTGAAATTACAAAATCACATCTAAGGGGTCGTTGTCTTTGAAGGCGTCCCGCTTTGAGGTCACAAAAATATGGTAACCTTAGCTCAGAGTGATGGTTGGGCACATCGAGAGCCTGAGATCTCATGCTGCTAAATCATCGTCTTAAGACGCCGAAATGTTTTTGAAGTTTCTCTCTAAATATTTATGTTTGTGTTTTTATTTTAACTCATGACAAAATGCCTATTTAGCTTACCTTGGCAATCTGGTAAATCTGGATTCCATATTCCATTCTGGCATGTTGTAGATTTCAAGTTGGAATTTAGTTGATAACCAACATTGCAATTGATTGAAATTTGTTCTCCGGATGAGTAAGTACGTTTGAGTGGGAAAGGAATGCCATCCGAGAATATTCGGCGGCTTACATGGTTTTGCAATTTCTGAAAGATACGTAAGTAATTATTTGTCTATCATGATTAGAATACGAGACAAGTTCTCTTTCGAGAAAATTGATCAAATATCATTCCACATTATATATATATATATATACATATTTATACATTGACAACAAAATTAAACGGACAACTAAAAATACAAATGCATAGTTGGATAGATTAAAGTGGAGTTAGAAAAAGTTAACCCCTAAGATATATAAGAGCGACTGAATGCATTTTAAGGAAATGTCCAGGCTAGCAAGGTTAGTTAATGTTTTGCGGATCCTACATTTTCGTTGTGAATTGTTATTATTGATAAAAGTAAAATATAAAATACTCGCTTCTACAAACTGGTAAGTTTGGAGTCCATCGTCCATTTTGACACGTTGAATACATCAAGTTTGAATTTAGTTGGTAACCAACATTGCAATCGATCCGAATTCTTTCACCAGTTGAGTAAGTTCGCTTGGACGGAAAGGGATTACCATTTGAAATGAGAGGCGCCGAGCATGGCTTTGCAATTTCTGAAGTTTATAGAAATCGTGATTTACAACCTTTCTCATTATTTTGGATTACTGAGATTCCGAAGATAAATCAGTCTTAAACATGTAGCATACATTGAACACTTATTTTGGAGAAATGGGTCCGAAAATGTTTTATTAAAATAAGGTATGAGCCGGCCATTTTGACTTTCAATAAAATAAATCAGGCTCCATTATAACAGGAAAATACATTAAAAGTATGTTTTGGATATATTTATGTTCATATAATCTACGCCCAAACAAGTTTAGTCGAGAGATTAATACGGTGTGCTGACACGCGTATAATATGTATTATATCAAACCTGCCTTTGCAAGTAGGTAAGCTTGGGGTCCAAATTCCATTCTGGCATCTTATATATTTTAAGTCGGAGTTGGGTTGATAACCGGCATTGCATTTGATTGAAATTCGTTCTCCAGATGAGTAACTGAGTTTGGACGGTGAAGGATGCCCATTAGAAATAAATGGCGATGAGCATGGCTGTGCCTTTTCTGAATTATACACGATAAATTGAGTGTCTGTTCGATAACCACACAATTTTCTTTTCACTAGCCTACGACTACTGTCAACATTTTTGTATTGTCTCAATATATTATACTAGCCTATACAGAGTGAAAATGTAGATTTGTACAATGTAAGGCAACAACTTTGTCCCAGGATACGAATTTACGATTGAATTCATAGTAAGATAGCTTCCATGTTAACAATGTGGCAACGATTCACTTTTTTCTTATTTTGATATATATATATGTGTTGTGCTGAATACAGTAATATCAGTAAATATTTATATAACTTTCCATTGCAAGCTGGTAAACTTGGACTCCATTTCCCGTTATGACATGTTGATGACTCAATATTGGAATTGAGTTGATAACCAAGAGTTATCGGTTTCAAAAGTACCTTCCTCGAAGCTTCGTTATTACTTCACAACACAGAGGCTTACGACAACAGAAGGACCTGGCGAGAGACGCGATCGCGCGGGTTAAACACTGGGCAAAATGGTACAATCAATAAGGCGATACTCGACGAGGCACCATTATTGCTATTTGCCGTCATCATCAGTCAATTTTTGGTGTGCCAAATGGCATGAAAACTGACTGCCTGGTCAGTTGCGTGTCCTATATTTAGTATCTTTGGGCCTTAGTTAATGACATTAACAAGTAAGGTAATTTTAGGTTTCGGTCATTTTGACGTTAAGACAAATATCTCATATATATATATAAAAGTTCCGTGAAAAGTGTTTCGTACTAAATGCAAATAAATGTATTTTATATATCTTGCCATTGCAAGCTGGTAATCTTGGAGTCCACCGTCTTTTTAAAGAAGGTGTTATCTACAGAAAAGCTTGCTTGGGCGAATAAGTAAATTCTTAATGCTTGAAACTGTGGACCATTTTATCATTTTTTCTTTCTTTTACTATACATAAAAAATCTAAATTCGAATTATTTGTATCGTTAACGTCAATTCGTTTCCATTTTTTGGATTGAAACCGATATTTGGACATAGAATATGCGCAATAACTCTCGATGACAATATGATCGGTGAGGACAGCTGGGATGACTTTAAATGTAGGCCTATGTAGTAAAATCGGAAAATGTGAAATTACAAAATCACATCTAAGGGGTCGTTGTCTTTGAAGGCGTCCCGCTTTGAGGTCACAAAAATATGGTAACCTTAGCTCAGAGTGATGGTTGGGCACATCGAGAGCCTGAGATCTCATGCTGCTAAATCATCGTCTTAAGACGCCGAAATGTTTTTGAAGTTTCTCTCTAAATATTTATGTTTGTGTTTTTATTTTAACTCATGACAAAATGCCTATTTAGCTTACCTTGGCAAACTGGTAAATCTGGATTCCATATTCCATTCTGGCATGTTGTAGATTTCAAGTTGGAATTTAGTTGATAACCAACATTGCAATTGATTGAAATTTGTTCTCCGGATGAGTAAGTACGTTTGAGTGGGAAAGGAATGCCATCGAGAATAATCGGCGGCTTACATGGTTTTGCAATTTCTGAAAGATACGTAAGTAATTATTTGTCTATCATGATTAGAATACGAGACAAGTTCTCTTTTCGAGAAAATTGATCAAATATCATTCCACATTATATATATATATATACATATTTATACATTGACAACAAAATTAAACGGACAACTAAAAATACAAATGCATAGTTGGATAGATTAAAGTGGAGTTAGAAAAAGTTAACCCCTAAGATATATAAGAGCGACTGAATGCATTTTAAGGAAATGTCCAGGCTAGCAAGGTTAGTTAATGTTTTGCGGATCCTACATTTTCGTTGTGAATTGTTATTATTGATAAAAGTAAAATATAAAATACTCGCTTCTACAAACTGGTAAGTTTGGAGTCCATCGTCCATTTTGACACGTTGAATACATCAAGTTTGAATTTAGTTGGTAACCAACATTGCAATCGATCCGAATTCTTTCACCAGTTGAGTAAGTTCGCTTGGACGGAAAGGGATTACCATTTGAAATGAGAGGCGCCGAGCATGGCTTTGCAATTTCTGAAGTTTATAGAAATTGTGATTTACAACCTTTCTCATTATTTTGGATTACTGAGATTCCGAAGATAAATCAGTCTTAAACATGTAGCATACATTGAACACTTATTTTGGAGAAATGGGTCCGAAAATGTTTTATTAAAAATAAGGTATGAGCCGGCCATTTTGACTTTCAATAAAATAAATCAGGCTCCATTATAACAGGAAAATACATTAAAAGTATGTTTTGGATATATTTATGTTCATATAATCTACGCCCAAACAAGTTTAGTCGAGAGATTAATGCGGTGTGCTGACACGCGTATAATATGTATTATATCAAACCTGCCTTTGCAAGTAGGTAAGCTTGGGGTCCAAATTCCATTCTGGCATCTTATATATTTTAAGTCGGAGTTGGGTTGATAACCGGCATTGCATTTGATTGAAATTCGTTCTCCAGATGAGTAACTGAGTTTGGACGGTGAAGGATGCCCATTAGGAATAAATGGCGATGAGCATGGCTGTGCCTTTTCTGAATTATACACGATAAATTGAGTGTCTGTTCGATAACCACACAATTTTCTTTTCACTAGCCTACGACTACTGTCAACATTTTTGTATTGTCTCAATATATTATACTAGCCTATACAGAGTGAAAATGTAGATTTGTACAATGTAAGGCAACAACTTTGTCCCAGGATACGAATTTACGATTGAATTCATAGTAAGATAGCTTCCATGTTAACAATGTGGCAACGATTCACTTTTTTCTTATTCTAATATATATGTGTTGTGCAGAATACAGTAATATTAGTAAATATATATATAACTTTCCATTGCAAGCTGGTAAACTTGGACTCCATTTCCCGTTTTGACATGTTGATGACTCAATATTGGAATTGAATTGATAACCAAGAGTTATCGGTTTCAAAAGTACCTTCCTCGAAGCTTCGTTATTACTTCACAACACAGAGGCTTACGACAACAGAATAAGCTGGCGAGAGACGCGATCTCGCGGGTTAAACACTGGGCAAAATGGTACAATCAATAAGGCGATACTCGACGAGGCACCATTATTGCTATTTGCCGTCATCATCAGTCAATTTTTGGTGTGCCAAATGGCATGAAAACTGACTGCCTGGTCAGTTGCGTGTCCTATATTTAGTATCTTTGGGCCTTAGTTAATGACATTAACAAGTAAGGTAATTTTAGGTTTCGGTCATTCTGACGTTAAGACAAATATCTCATATATATATATAAAAGTTCCGTGAAAAGTGTTTCGTACTAAATGAAAATAAATGTATTTTATATATCTTGCCATTGCAAGTTGGTAATCTTGGAGTCCACCGTCTTTTTAAAGAAGGTGTTATCTACAGAAAAGCTTGCTTGGGCGAATAAGTAAATTCTTAATGCTTGAAACTGTGGACCATTTTATCATTTTTTCTTTCTTTTACTATACATAAAAAATCTAAATTCGAATTATTTGTATCGTTAACGTCAATTCGTTTCTATTTTTTGGATTGAAACCGATATTTGGACATAGAATATGCGCAATAATTCTCGATGACAATATGATCGGTGAGGACAGCTGGGATGACTTTAAATGTAGGCCTATGTAGTAAAATCGGAAAATGTGAAATTACAAAATCACATCTAAGGGGTCGTTGTCTTTGAAGGCGTCCCGCTTTGAGGTCACAAAAATATGGTAACCTTAGCTCAGAGTGATGGTTGGGCACATCGAGAGCCTGAGATCTCATGCTGCTAAATCATCGTCTTAAGACGCCGAAGTGTTTTTGAAGTTTCTCTCTAAATATTTATGTTTGTGTTTTTATTTTAACTCATGACAAAATGCCTATTTAGCTTACCTTGGCAAACTGGTAAATCTGGATTCCATATTCCATTCTGGCATGTTGTAGATTTCAAGTTGGAATTTAGTTGATAACCAACATTGCAATTGATTGAAATTTGTTCTCCGGATGAGTAAGTACGTTTGAGTGGGAAAGGAATGCCATCGAGAATAATCGGCGGCTTACATGGTTTTGCAATTTCTGAAAGATACATAAGTAATTATTTGTCTATCATGATTAGAATACGAGACAAGTTCTCTTTTCGAGAAAATTGATCAAATATCATTCCACATTATATATATATATATATATACATATTTATACATTGACAACAAAATTAAACGGACAACTAAAAATACAAATGCATAGTTGGATAGATTAAAGTGGAGTTAGAAAAAGTTAACCCCTAAGATATATAAGAGCGACTGAATGCATTTTAAGGAAATGTCCAGGCTAGCAAGGTTAGTTAATGTTTTGCGGATCCTACATTTTCGTTGTGAATTGTTATTATTGATAAAAGTAAAATATAAAATACTCGCTTCTACAAACTGGTAAGTTTGGAGTCCATCGTCCATTTTGACACGTTGAATACATCAAGTTTGAATTTAGTTGGTAACCAACATTGCAATCGATCCGAATTCTTTCACCAGTTGAGTAAGTTCGCTTGGACGGAAAGGGATTACCATTTGAAATGAGAGGCGGCGAGCATGGCTTTGCAATTTCTGAAGTTTATAGAAATCGTGATTTACAACCTTTCTCATTATTTTGGATTACTGAGATTCCGAAGATAAATCAGTCTTAAACATGTAGCATACATTGAACACTTATTTTGGAGAAATGGGTCCGAAAATGTTTTATTAAAAATAAGGTATGAGCCGGCCATTTTGACTTTCAATAAAATAAATCAGGCTCCATTATAACAGGAAAATACATTAAAAGTATGTTTTGGATATATTTATGTTCATATAATCTACGCCCAAACAAGTTTAGTCGAGAGATTAATGCGGTGTGCTGACACGCGTATAATATGTATTATATCAAACCTGCCTTTGCAAGTAGGTAAGCTTGGGGTCCAAATTCCATTCTGGCATCTTATATATTTTAAGTCGGAGTTGGGTTGATAACCGGCATTGCATTTGATTGAAATTCGTTCTCCAGATGAGTAACTGAGTTTGGACGGTGAAGGATGCCCATTAGGAATAAATGGCGATGAGCATGGCTGTGCCTTTTCTGAATTATACACGATAAATTGAGTGTCTGTTCGATAACCACACAATTCTCTTTTCACTAGCCTACGACTACTGTCAACATTTTTGTATTGTCTCAATATATTATACTAGCCTATACAGAGTGAAAATGTAGATTTGTACAATGTAAGGCAACAACTTTGTCCCAGGATACGAATTTACGATTGAATTCATAGTAAGATAGCTTCCATGTTAACAATGTGGCAACGATTCACTTTTTTCTTATTCTAATATATATGTGTTGTGCTGAATACAGTAATATTAGTAAATATATATATAACTTTCCATTGCAAGCTGGTAAACTTGGACTCCATTTCCCGTTTTGACATGTTGATGACTCAATATTGGAATTGAGTTGATAACCAACATTGCAATTGATTGAAATTTGTTCTCCGGATGAGTAAGTACGCTTGAGTGGAAAGGGATTGCCATTGAGAATGATGGGCGACCTACATGGTTTTGCAATTTCTGGAATATATATATACAAGTAAATATTTGTATATCTCCAAAATTTCATTCAAGTTATCTTTTCTGAAAAAAGTCTGTATCTATTGTATTCTTTTTGTTAATGTACCAAATAACAAGATTCATTTCCAGAAATACAACGTAATTTATTTTTATAAAAAACTAAAAAACATTATACTTAGAAAACATTCCAAATTTAAACTAATATTTGTGTGTATTATTTGATAGCGAAATTACGCACAAAATTAAATAATAACGAATGGATTCATTTTCACGGCATGTCCGGGTTAACAAGTAAAATAGTCTGAGGATTATACATTTTGATTGTAAATTGTTATCAATGATAAAAGTAGAATATCAAATACTCGCCTCTACAAACTGGTAAGTTTGGAGTCCACCTTCCGTTTTGACAGCTTGTATATTTTGAATTGGAACTGAGTTGATAACCGGCATTGCAATTGATTGAAATTCTTTCTCCATTCGAGTAAGAGGGCTTGGAAGGGAAAAGATTTCCATTGAGAATATTTGGCAATGAACATGGTTTTTCAATTTCTGAAATATAAGCAATTTATACATACGACTATGAGTAATCAATTATTTATCTAAAAATAACTTTTTTTGCAATAAATTGTCAGCGTTAATGCAATATTTCCATATGTATGCCAATGAACAAATGAAACCATACAAACATTCATGCATTTCACAAAGCATCACAAAAAAATTAAAAAAAATATATTATTTTAAAATAGTTTGAACTCTAACTTAAATCCTTCATTAGAATTCCAGTCTTAAAATAAAATGTGAAAAGTACCCTAGACTTGTAATGTATCTTGTGTGTGAGATAGTACCATTCTTACAATGTAAACAAAATTCCATAAATTAATACTGATGTGATAAAAAATATCAAACTTGCCGATACAAGCCGGTAATCTTGGTGTCCACCTCCCATTTTGACATCTTATTAATTCCCAGTTAGAATTGAGTTGATAACCAGCATTGCAAATGATTGAAATTTGTTCTCCGCTTGAATAAGTGTGTTTCGGTGGGATGGGATTTCCATTGAAAATATTTGGCAGCGAGCATGGCTTTGCAATTTCTGAAATACACATGAATAATTGTCGATCCATTATCACATATTTTCAGTTTCATCAACAATTGTTATCATAACATAGGATTGAAATCATTTTAAAAAGTACCACATTTTTTATACCAAAATAAAATGCAAAACAAATTTTACTCCAAAAGCATTTCAAATCCACACCTAAAGCAACATTTCAGATCACTAGAATTTAAATGAATTGTCATTTGGATAAAAAGGCGGGACAGTTCCACTATTTACCGTCTTGTCCCGCTGTCCCGATAAGTCAGGAAAAAGTCCCGCTTTGGCATTCAGCCCGTCAGCAAAATACACGAACATTACCAGTGAACATGTTCTCGTTACTGTTGTTGCTGTGTAGCGCGGCGCTAGCCTACTTACCGAAGGTGAATTTTTGTTTGTTTCGTTGTTTTCCAATGTATCACATGTAAAAACCAGTACTAATTGGTCTTGTTCTGACGTTTACGTGATTGTAACATTGAATAACGTCTTTTTAAAGAAGGTGTTATCTACAGAAAAGCTTGCTTGGGCGAATAAGTAAATTCTTAATGCTTGAAACTGTGGACCATTTTATCATTTTTTCTTTCTTTTACTATACATAAAAAATCCAAATTCGAATTATTTGTATCGTTAACGTCAATTCTTTTCTATTTTTTGGATTGAAACCGATATTTGGACATAGAATATGCGCAATAACTCTCGATGACAATATGATCGGTGAGGACAGCTGGGATGACTTTAAATGTAGGCCTATGTAGTAAAATAGGAAAATGTGAAATTACAAAATCACATCTAAGGGGTCGTTGTCTTTAGAGGCGTCCCGCTTTGAGGTCACAAAAATATGGTAACCTTAGCTCAGAGTGATGGTTGGGCACATCGAGAGCCTGAGATCTCATGCTGCTAAATCATCGTCTTAAGACGCCGAAATGTTTTTGAAGTTTCTCTCTAAATATTTATGTTTGTGTTTTTATTTTAACTCATGACAAAATTCCTATTTAGCTTACCTTGGCAAACTGGTAAATCTGGATTCCATATTCCATTCTGGCATGTTGTAGATTTCAAGTTGGAATTTAGTTGATAACCAACATTGCAATTGATTGAAATTTGTTCTCCGGATGAGTAAGTACGTTTGAGTGGGAAAGGAATGCCATCGAGAATATTCGGCGGCTTACATGGTTTTGCAATTTCTGAAAGATACGTAAGTAATTATTTGTCTATCATGATTAGAATACGAGACAAGTTCTCTTTTCGAGAAAATTGATCAAATATCATTCCACATTATATATATATATATACATATTTATACATTGACAACAAAATTAAACGGACAACTAAAAATACAAATGCATAGTTGGATAGATTAAAGTGGAGTTAGAAAAAGTTAACCCCTAAGATATATAAGAGCGACTGAATGCATTTTAAGGAAATGTCCAGGCTAGCAAGGTTAGTTAATGTTTTGCGGATCCTACATTTTCGTTGTGAATTGTTATTATTGATAAAAGTAAAATATAAAATACTCGCTTCTACAAACTGGTAAGTTTGGAGTCCATCGTCCATTTTGACACGTTGAATACATCAAGTTTGAATTTAGTTGGTAACCAACATTGCAATCGATCCGAATTCTTTCACCAGTTGAGTAAGTTCGCTTGGACGGAAAGGGATTACCATTTGAAATGAGAGGCGCCGAGCATGGCTTTGCAATTTCTGAAGTTTATAGAAATCGTGATTTACAACCTTTCTCATTATTTTGGATTACTGAGATTCCGAAGATAAATCAGTCTTAAACATGTAGCATACATTGACACTTATTTTGGAGAAATGGGTCCGAAAATGTTTTATTAAAAATAAGGTATGAGCCGGCCATTTTGATTTTCAATAAAATAAATCAGGCTCCATTATAACAGGAAAATACATTAAAAGTATGTTTTGGATATATTTATGTTCATATAATCTACGCCCAAACAAGTTTAGTCGAGAGATTAATGCGGTGTGCTGACACGCGTATAATATGTATTATATCAAACCTGCCTTTGCAAGTAGGTAAGCTTGGGGTCCAAATTCCATTCTGGCATCTTATATATTTTAAGTCGGAGTTGGGTTGATAACCGGCATTGCATTTGATTGAAATTCGTTCTCCAGATGAGTAACTGAGTTTGGACGGTGAAGGATGCCCATTAGGAATAAATGGCGATGAGCATGGCTGTGCCTTTTCTGAATTATACACGATAAATTGAGTGTCTGTTCGACAACCACACAATTTTCTTTTCATTAGCCTACGACTACTGTCAACATTTTTGTATTGTCTCAATATATTATACTAGCCTATACAGAGTGAAAATGTAGATTTGTACAATGTAAGGCAACAACTTTGTCCCAGGATACGAATTTACGATTGAATTCATAGTAAGATAGCTTCCATGTTAACAATGTGGCAACGATTCACTTTTTCTTATTCTAAAATATATGTGTTGTGCTGAATACAGTAATATTAGTAAATATATATATAACTTTCCATTGCAAGCTGGTAAACTTGGACTCCATTTCCCGTTTTGACATGTTGATGACTCAATATTGGAATTGAGTTGATAACCAACATTGCAATTGATTGAAATTTGTTCTCCGGATGAGTAAGTACGCTTGAGTGGAAAGGGATTGCCATTGAGAATGATGGGCGACCTACATGGTTTTGCAATTTCTGGAATATATATATACAAGTAAATATTTGTATATCTCCAAAATTTCATTCAAGTTATCTTTTCTGAAAAAAGTCTGTATCTATTGTATTCTTTTTGTTAATGTACCAAATAACAAGATTCATTTCCAGAAATACAACGTAATTTATTTTTATAAAAAACTAAAAAACATTATACTTAGAAAACATTCCAAATTTAAACTAATATTTGTGTGTATTATTTGATAGCGAAATTACGCACAAAATTAAATAATAACGAATGGATTCATTTTCACGGCATGTCCGGGTTAACAAGTAAAATAGTCTGAGGATTATACATTTTGATTGTAAATTGTTATCAATGATAAAAGTAGAATATCAAATACTCGCCTCTACAAACTGGTAAGTTTGGAGTCCACCTTCCGTTTTGACAGCTTGTATATTTTGAATTGGAACTGAGTTGATAACCGGCATTGCAATTGATTGAAATTCTTTCTTCATTCGAGTAAGAGGGCTTGGAAGGGAAAAGATTTCCATTGAGAATATTTGGCAATGAACATGGTTTTTCAATTTCTGAAATATAAGCAATTTATACATACGACTATGAGTAATCAATTATTTATCTAAAAATAACTTTTTTTGCAATAAATTGTCAGCGTTAATGCAATATTTCCATATGTATGCCAATGAACAAATGAAACCATACAAACATTCATGCATTTCACAAAGCATCACAAAAAAATTAAAAAAAATATATTATTTTAAAATAGTTTAAACTCTAACTTAAATCCTTCATTAGAATTCCAGTCTTAAAAATAAAATGTGAAAAGTACCCTAGACTTGTAATGTATCTTGTGTGTGAGATAGTACCATTCTTACAATGTAAACAAAAATTCCATAAATTAATACTGATGTGATAAAAAAATATCAAACTTGCCGATACAAGCCGGTAATCTTGGTGTCCACCTCCCATTTTGACATCTTATTAATTCCCAGTTAGAATTGAGTTGATAACCAGCATTGCAAATGATTGAAATTTGTTCTCCGCTTGAATAAGTGTGTTTCGGTGGGATGGGATTTCCATTGAAAATATTTGGCAGCGAGCATGGCTTTGCAATTTCTGAAATACACATGAATAATTGTCGATCCATTATCACATATTTTCAGTTTCATCAACAATTGTTATCATAACATAGGATTGAAATCATTTTAAAAAGTACCACATTTTTTTATACCAAAATAAAATGCAAAACAAATTTTACTCCAAAAGCATTTCAAATCCACACCTAAAGCAACATTTCAGATCACTAGAATTTAAATGAATTGTCATTTGGATAAAAAGGCGGGACAGTTCCACTATTTACCGTCTTGTCCCGCTGTCCCGATAAGTCAGGAAAAAGTCCCGCTTTGGCATTCAGCCCGTCAGCAAAATACACGAACATTACCAGTGAACATGTTCTCGTTACTGTTGTTGCTGTGTAGCGCGGCGCTAGCCTACTTACCGAAGGTGAATTTTTGTTTGTTTCGTTGTTTTCCAATGTATCACATGTAAAAACCAGTACTAATTGGTCTTGTTCTGACGTTTACGTGATTGTAACATTGAATAACGTCTTTTTAAAGAAGGTGTTATCTACAGAAAAGCTTGCTTGGGCGAATAAGTAAATTCTTAATGCTTGAAACTGTGGACCATTTTATCATTTTTTCTTTCTTTTACTATACATAAAAAATCCAAATTCGAATTATTTGTATCGTTAACGTCAATTCTTTTCTATTTTTTGGATTGAAACCGATATTTGGACATAGAATATGCGCAATAACTCTCGATGACAATATGATCGGTGAGGACAGCTGGGATGACTTTAAATGTAGGCCTATGTAGTAAAATAGGAAAATGTGAAATTACAAAATCACATCTAAGGGGTCGTTGTCTTTAGAGGCGTCCCGCTTTGAGGTCACAAAAATATGGTAACCTTAGCTCAGAGTGATGGTTGGGCACATCGAGAGCCTGAGATCTCATGCTGCTAAATCATCGTCTTAAGACGCCGAAATGTTTTTGAAGTTTCTCTCTAAATATTTATGTTTGTGTTTTTATTTTAACTCATGACAAAATTCCTATTTAGCTTACCTTGGCAAACTGGTAAATCTGGATTCCATATTCCATTCTGGCATGTTGTAGATTTCAAGTTGGAATTTAGTTGATAACCAACATTGCAATTGATTGAAATTTGTTCTCCGGATGAGTAAGTACGTTTGAGTGGGAAAGGAATGCCATCGAGAATATTCGGCGGCTTACATGGTTTTGCAATTTCTGAAAGATACGTAAGTAATTATTTGTCTATCATGATTAGAATACGAGACAAGTTCTCTTTTCGAGAAAATTGATCAAATATCATTCCACATTATATATATATATATACATATTTATACATTGACAACAAAATTAAACGGACAACTAAAAATACAAATGCATAGTTGGATAGATTAAAGTGGAGTTAGAAAAAGTTAACCCCTAAGATATATAAGAGCGACTGAATGCATTTTAAGGAAATGTCCAGGCTAGCAAGGTTAGTTAATGTTTTGCGGATCCTACATTTTCGTTGTGAATTGTTATTATTGATAAAAGTAAAATATAAAATACTCGCTTCTACAAACTGGTAAGTTTGGAGTCCATCGTCCATTTTGACACGTTGAATACATCAAGTTTGAATTTAGTTGGTAACCAACATTGCAATCGATCCGAATTCTTTCACCAGTTGAGTAAGTTCGCTTGGACGGAAAGGGATTACCATTTGAAATGAGAGGCGCCGAGCATGGCTTTGCAATTTCTGAAGTTTATAGAAATCGTGATTTACAACCTTTCTCATTATTTTGGATTACTGAGATTCCGAAGATAAATCAGTCTTAAACATGTAGCATACATTGACACTTATTTTGGAGAAATGGGTCCGAAAATGTTTTATTAAAAATAAGGTATGAGCCGGCCATTTTGATTTTCAATAAAATAAATCAGGCTCCATTATAACAGGAAAATACATTAAAAGTATGTTTTGGATATATTTATGTTCATATAATCTACGCCCAAACAAGTTTAGTCGAGAGATTAATGCGGTGTGCTGACACGCGTATAATATGTATTATATCAAACCTGCCTTTGCAAGTAGGTAAGCTTGGGGTCCAAATTCCATTCTGGCATCTTATATATTTTAAGTCGGAGTTGGGTTGATAACCGGCATTGCATTTGATTGAAATTCGTTCTCCAGATGAGTAACTGAGTTTGGACGGTGAAGGATGCCCATTAGGAATAAATGGCGATGAGCATGGCTGTGCCTTTTCTGAATTATACACGATAAATTGAGTGTCTGTTCGATAACCACACAATTTTCTTTTCATTAGCCTACGACTACTGTCAACATTTTTGTATTGTCTCAATATATTATACTAGCCTATACAGAGTGAAAATGTAGATTTGTACAATGTAAGGCAACAACTTTGTCCCAGGATACGAATTTACGATTGAATTCATAGTAAGATAGCTTCCATGTTAACAATGTGGCAACGATTCACTTTTTTCTTATTCTAAAATATATGTGTTGTGCTGAATACAGTAATATTAGTAAATATATATATAACTTTCCATTGCAAGCTGGTAAACTTGGACTCCATTTCCCGTTTTGACATGTTGATGACTCAATATTGGAATTGAGTTGATAACCAACATTGCAATTGATTGAAATTTGTTCTCCGGATGAGTAAGTACGCTTGAGTGGAAAGGGATTGCCATTGAGAATGATGGGCGACCTACATGGTTTTGCAATTTCTGGAATATATATATACAAGTATTATATATATTTGTATATCTTCAAAATTTCATTCAAGTTATCTTTTCTAAAAAAAATCTGTATCTATTGTATTCTTTTTGTTAATGTACCAAATAACAAGATTCATTTTCAGAAATACAACGTAATTTATTTTTATAAAAAAATAAAAAAAACATTATACTTAGAAAAAATTCCAAATTTAAACTAATATTTGTGTGTATTATTTGATAGCGAAATTACGCACAAAATTAAATAATAACGAATGGATTCATTTTCACGGCATGTCCAGGTTAACAAGTAAAATAGTCTGAGGATCATACATTTTGGTTGTGGATTGTTATCAATGATAAAAGTAGAATATCAAATACTCGCCTCTACAAACTGGTAAGTTTGGAGTCCACCTTCCGTTTTGACAGCTTGTATATTTTGAATTGGAACTGAGTTGATAACCGGCATTGCAATTGATTGAAATTCTTTCTCCATTCGAGTAAGAGGGCTTGGAAGGGAAAAGATTTCCATTGAGAATATTTGGCAATGAACATGGTTCAATTTCTGAAATATAAGCAATTTATACATAAGACTATGAGTAATCAATTATTTATCTAAAAATAACTTTTTTTGCAATAAATTGTCAGCGTTAATGCAATATTTCCATATGTATGCCAATGAACAAATGAAACCATACAAACATTCATGCATTTCACAAAGCATCACAAAAAAATTAAAAAAAATATATTATTTTAAAATAGTTTAAACTCTAACTTAAATCCTTCATTAGAATTCCAGTCTTAAAAATAAAATGTGAAAAGTACCCTAGACTTGTAATGTATCTTGTGTGTGAGATAGTACCATTCTTACAATGTAAACAAAAATTCCATAAATTAATACTGATGTGATAAAAAAATATCAAACTTGCCGATACAAGCCGGTAATCTTGGTGTCCACCTCCCATTTTGACATCTTATTAATTCCCAGTTAGAATTGAGTTGATAACCAGCATTGCAAATGATTGAAATTTGTTCTCCGCTTGAATAAGTGTGTTTCGGTGGGATGGGATTTCCATTGAAAATATTTGGCAGCGAGCATGGCTTTGCAATTTCTGAAATACACATGAATAATTGTCGATCCATTATCACATATTTTCAGTTTCATCAACAATTGTTATCATAACATAGGATTGAAATCATTTTAAAAAGTACCACATTTTTTTATACCAAAATAAAATGCAAAACAAATTTTACTCCAAAAGCATTTCAAATCCACACCTAAAGCAACATTTCAGATCACTAGAATTTAAATGAATTGTCATTTGGATAAAAAGGCGGGACAGTTCCACTATTTACCGTCTTGTCCCGCTGTCCCGATAAGTCAGGAAAAAGTCCCGCTTTGGCATTCAGCCCGTCAGCAAAATACACGAACATTACCAGTGAACATGTTCTCGTTACTGTTGTTGCTGTGTAGCGCGGCGCTAGCCTACTTACCGAAGGTGAATTTTTGTTTGTTTCGTTGTTTTCCAATGTATCACATGTAAAAACCAGTACTAATTGGTCGTGTTCTGACGTTTACGTGATTGTAACATTGAATAACGTCTTTTTAAAGAAGGTGTTATCTACAGAAAAGCTTGCTTGGGCGAATAAGTAAATTCTTAATGCTTGAAACTGCGGACCATTTTATCATTTTTTCTTTCTTTTACTTTACATAAAAAATCTAAATTCGAAATATTTGTATCGTTAACGTCAATTCTTTTCTATTTTTTGGATTGAAACCGATATTTGGACATAGAATATGCGCAAACCGGTATTACACTTAAATGTAATTCGTTCTCCTGTTGAATAAGTCCTTTTAACTGGACTGTGTTGTCCATTGTTTATGTTTGGCCCAGTACATGGTTCTGCGTTTTCTGAAGTTATAACGGTAAATAAAAACATGATAGGACCAGATAATCATGTTGCCATTATTCGGTATGAAAAGATCGAATATTTTTTTTTATAATTGGAAATGTTAAAAGGTAGGAATAAATGTGAAAATTTGAATTATTTTCTCTATATTGAAAATTTAGTTTTGAATTCCAATTTAGCGAACATTCATTTAGTACGAAATAATTCATCATAGTTACAAAATCGCAATACCCAACTTTAAGATTTTGATCAGATCAAACAATGGTATAGAGTAGTTATTAGTTGCATCAAAGGACAATATATGTATATATATATATATATATATATATATATATATATATATGTTGGAATCATTCTTGAGGAAAAACTAAAAACGTAATCAATTTTGGGTCAATTTAGAAACGTTCACTATTATTCTAGAGAAATTCTGATAATTAGTATAAAAATCGGCGATAGCCATTGCATAGGGCCGGATTTTGCTTATGAATGGCCATGAGCTACGTCTTTTCTGAGGCCGTGGACAATGACGTCATTAAAATACATTTTGTAGCCTTCAATAGGGTAAATAATTGGGACAAAAATTATTTGCTTGACTAAAAAATTAAACAAATACCAGTTTTATGAAATTCTAAACAGCTTTTATTTGGGAACAATCTTTTACCTGGCCTAATGCTGAATCCGGCCCTGGCTATGAATTCAAGTTTTAAATTTTGAAATGCGCATATGATTCAAAAATTGCTAATGCTAAAAAATTTAGTTCTGCATAACATTACTCTTGTTTAATTTATATTACTAAAATGAAATTTGCAAAGTGATTGACACTTTGCCGCACTTTAAAAGAACTGGTAGAAATAGGCTATACTCACGCGATATGCTGATCGTGCCAAGTCCTATAAAAGAAAGGAAATGAATTTGGAGATAAGTTAGAATTGTTTTGTTGCTATTGTTAAGTATTGAACTGCATGAACATGGTGCGTACCATGGCGACCGTCACAATGTATTTTATTTGGTTGCATATTGGGTCGTCGTTTTATTGTACAATGTGAAAAATAAATTCAAACTTCGTAAAGTAGATAGATATTTGCATATTTCGAAGTGACACAAATCGAGACTACTTCAAACCATTGTTTATTAACTCTTAGATTCAACAAATCATAAGCGTTCGTGCATACACGTTATCAATATTTCCAAAAGGATGTGTTCCAAGATACAAATATTGACGATAAAGACTTGACATAAAACAGTTATTTCATCATTTTTTAAATATATACCTGGAAACGGCGGTGCTGGTGGTGGCCTAAATGTTCCTAAAAAGGAAAAATTAGCGATGCATTACATTAATCAAATACGTGCTTAACCACGCGGTACTCCCGAAGTATGTAAACCAAGATAGCGGACACCGGGACTTAGTATGTGTAGCAGGTCAGGGTTAGGCCATAATTTCATTCCAAATTTCCTTATTTTAGTTCTATTACGAGTTTGGGGACTAGCCAAGTGACTCCCGTAGTAAAGTTTTGCCTAACCTTAACCTGATACACATACTATGTTCCGGTGTCCACCATCTTGGTTCACATACTTTGGGAGTACCAACAATACTGCAAATTTTTACTTAAGGTTGAGATGCATGCTTGTTAAAAATCGAGTTGTATGTGTCAATGTGTAAGAGGGTAAATCAAAACTGTGTAGTCGGATTAGAGAAGACAATTTGAAACTCCCGGAGTTGAAATATTCGACTTCTTATGTACGTAAGTGAGGCACTAAATTGTTAACTAAAATAAAACACAAACTCCTATCACAAACGCCTAATTTTTCAGAGCCATACTTTTGTTATCTATTTAAGACAGCTGGCGTTAAGGTGAATTCCAAACTAGAATTCGATGCTGAAGTCGAAGTTAAAAATTTTGTTAACCGGATCCGGAGTTGATTTTTAGTTGGTTCAGAAACGCAAGACGTTTAAAGAAATACCTTGAAATTGAACGAAACCCATAATAAACCCATGAACCGGACTGTCACATACACACGCACACACACACAATTTCCATTAACCACACAAAGTAATGAAAACAGCTAGATCAGGATTGTTTTCAAATCTAAAAATAAATTCCATTCCGGCGTTCAAACTTGGTACATGGGAATGATAATGAAAAGTAACCATAATTTTTTGTGTGTGATGAGGTCATCACAATCAAAATTTGCGCAACCTGCGGCGGTTCCGCGTTCGTTACTATCTGGTGGCCAGGGGAAGTCTTGAATACTGCGGTACCGGTAGTCTACTGTAAAAAACTAGATAGATACTCGCACTACATCGTTTTGGTATTCGTGTCCATAAATATACTTGAGTATTTGTATGTTGTTGTCATGAAAATGAAATTTTTCTACGTATTATGAGATTATTTTACCTGTACATGCTGGTATACTTGGGGACCATATGCCATTTTGACAAGCTGAAAACGCAACGATCGGGCGGAGCTGAAACCCGGTATTACACTTAAATGTAATTCGATCTCCTGTTGAATAAGTCCTTTTAACTGGACTGTGTTGTCCATTGTTTATGTTTAGCCCAGTACATGGTTCTGCATTTTCTGAAGTTATAACGGTAAATAAAAACATGATGGGGGCAGATAATCGTATGGTATAGGGTAGTTATTAGTTGCATCAAAGTACAATATATGTATATATATATATATATGTTGAAATCATTCTTGAGGAAAAACTAAAAACGTAATCAATTTTGGGTCAATTTAAAAACGTTCACTATTATTCTAGAGAAATTCAGATAATTAGTATAAAAATGGCAATAGCCATTGGATAGGGCCGGATTTAGCTTATGAATGGCCCAGAGCTACGTCATTTCTGAGGCCTTGGACAATGACGTCATTAAAAATGCATTATGCTGTCATAACAGGTCTTTGCAGTTTATATAAAACGTAATATGACGCCAGGAATAAAATGGTAAATTGCTTGAAATTCAAAAGTTTAGTTACAGGTGAAAAAAGTATGGTTATGCTTATTGGATAGTAAATTTAAAAACGTAAAAAATCGTCATGACTGCAGAATGCAGTTTTTTGAATTTAGATTTATTTAATTTTGTAGCCTTCAATACGGTACATAATTGGGACAAGAATTATTTGCCCAACTAAAAAACTAAACGAATACCAGTTTTATAAATTCTAAAACAGATTTTATTCGGGAACACCCCTTTACAATTGAAAAACGACTTGAAATGAATAATTGTTTAAAAATAAATGTCGAGGCCGCTATATGCGGCCCTGGCTATGGATTCAAGTTTCAAATTTTAAAACTTACATATGGTTCTAAAATTCACGATGCTAAAAAATTAAGTTTCGCATAACATTAATCTAGTTTAATTTAAATTACTACTATGAAATTTGTAAAGTGATTGTGGTTGCAAAAAAAAAAAAAACAGCAGTTGCCTCATCACCACGACACATACTGTACTAAACTCTTGCAATGACAATTCAAAGAACTTCTAAAATAAAATATAAAATTTCGGGTTTGCTTCGGGCTCGGGCCTGCAAATCCAGTTAATTAGTCGGGCTCGGGTCGAGTTTAATAGCCACGGGCCTGGATCGGGCCGGGCTGGAATTTTTGGGCCCTATCTTACCCCAAATAAATAGCCTACTCACGTGATATGGTGATCGTGCCAAAAGATCCTATAAAGGAAAGGAAAATGAATTTGGAGATAAGTTAGAATTGTTGTGTTGTTATTATAAAGTATTGAACTGGGTGACCATGGTGCATACCATGGCGACCGTCACAATGTATTTTAGTTTGTTCCAAGTTTGGTCGTCGTTTTAATGTACAATGTGAAAAATTAATTCAAAATTCATAAAGAAAATAAATATGTGCATATTTAGAAGTGACACAATCGAGCATATTTCAATTCATTCAATATTTATTTTAAATTTGACAGATCATAAGCGGTCGTGCAGACACGTTATCATTATTTCCAAAATCATGTGTTCCAAGATACAAATATTGACGGTAAAGACTCGACATAAAACAGTTATTTCATCATTTTTTAAATTTATACCTGGAAACGGCGGTGGTGGTGGTGGCCTAAATGTTCCTAAAAAAGGAAAATATAGCGATGCATTACATTAATCAAATACGTGCTTAACAACACGGTACTCCCGAAGTATGTAAACCAAGATAGCGGACACCGGAACTTAGTATGTGTAGCAGGTTAGGGTTAGGCCATAATTTCATTCCAAGTTTCCTTATTTTAGTTCTATTACGAGTTTGGGGAATAGCAAGTGACTCCCGTAGTAAAGGTTTGCCTAACCCTAACCTGATACACATACTACGTTCCGGTGTCCGCCATCTTGGTTCACATACTTTGGGAGTACCAACAATACTGCATATTTTTACTTAAGGTTGAGATGCATGTATGTTAAAAATCGAGTTGTATGTGTCAATGTGTAAGAGGGTAAATCAATCGGATTAGAGAAGACAATTTGAAACTCCCGGAGTTGAAATATTCGACTCCTTATGTACGTAAGTGAGGCACTAAATTGTTAACTAGAATAAAACTCAAACTCCTCTCACAAACGCCTAATTCTTCAGAGCCATACTTTTGTTATCTATTTAAGACAGCTGGCGTTTAAGGTGAATTCCAAACTAGAATTCGATGCTGAAGTCGAAGTTAAAAATTTTGTTAACCAGATCCGGAGTTGATTTTTAGTTGGTTCAGAGACGCAAGACGTTTAAAGAAATACCTTGAAATCGAACGAAACCCATAATAAACCCATGAACCGGACTGTCACATACACACGCACACACACACAATTTCCATTAACCACACAAAGTAATGAAAACAGCTAGATCAGGATTGTTTTTAAATCTAAAAATGAATTCCATTCCGGCGTTCAAACTTGGTACATGGGAATGATAATGAAAAGTAACCATAATTTTTTGTGTGTGATGAGGTCATCACAATCAAAATTTGCGCAACCTGCGGCGGTTCCGCGTTCGTTGCTATCTGGCGGCCAGGGAAGTTCCGGATACTGCGGTCCCGGTAGTCTACTGTAAAAAACTAGATAGATACTAGCACTACTTTGTTTCGGTATTCGTGTCCATATATATACTTGAGTATTTCTATGTTGTTGTCATGAAAATTAAATTTTTCTACGTATTATGAGATTATTTTACCTGTACATGCTGGTATACTTGGGGACCATTTGCCATTTTGACAAGCTGAAAACGCAAGGATCGGGTGGAGCTGAAACCCGGTATTACACTTAAATGTAATTCGTTCTCCTGTTGAATAAGTCCTTTTAACTGGACTGTGTTGTCCATTGTTTATGTTTGGCCCAGTACATGGTTCTGCGTTTTCTGAAATTATAACGGTAAATAAAAACATGATAGGACCAAATAATCGTATTGCCAATATTCGGTATGAAAAGATCGAATATTTTTTTTTATAATTGGAAATGTTAAAAGGTAGGAATAAATGTGAAAATTTGAATTATTTTCTCTATATTGAAAATTTAGTTTTGAATTCCAATTTAGCGAACAGTCATTCAGTACGAAATAATTCATCATACTTACAAAATCGTAATACCCAACTTTAGGATTTTGATCAGATCAAACAATGGTATAGAGTAGTTATTAGTTGGATCAAAGGACAATATATGTATATATATATATATATATATATATGTTGGAATCATTCTTGAGGAAAAACTAAAAACGTAATCAATTTTGGGTCGATTTAGAAACGTTCACTATTATTCTAGAGAAATTCTGATAATTAGTATAAAAACCGGCGATAGCCATTGCATAGGGCCGGATTTAGCTTATGAATGGCCATGAGCTACGTCTTTTCTGAGGCCGTGGACAATGACGTCATTAAAATACATTTTGTAGCCTTCAATACGGTAAATAGATGGGACATAAATTATTTGCTTGACTAAAAAATTAAACAAATACCAGTTTTATAAAATTCTAAACAGCTTTTATTTGGGAACAATCTTTTACCTGGCCTAATGCTGAATCCGGCCCTGGCTATGAATTCAAGTTTTAAATTTTGAAATTCGCTTATGATTCAAAAATTGCTAATGCTAAAAAATTTAGTTCTGCATAACATTAATCTTGTTTAATTTATATTATTAAAATGAAATTTGCAAAGTGATTGACACTTTGCCGCACTCTAAAAGAACTGGTAGAAATAGGCTATGCTCGCGCGATATGCTGATCGTGCCAAGTCCTATAAAAGAAAGGAAATGAATTTGGAGATAAGTTAGAATTGTTTTTTTGCTACTGTTAAGTATTCAACTGCATGAACATGGTGCGTACCATGGAGGCCGTTACAATGTATTTTATTTGGTTGCATATTGGGTCGTCGTTTTATTGTACAATGTGAAAAATAAATTCAAACTTCGTAAAGAAGATAGATATTTGCATATTTCGAAGTGACACAAATCGAGACTACTTCAAATCATTGTTTATTAACTCTTAGATTTAACAAATCATAAGCGGTCGTGCATACACGTTCTTCTTATTTCTTAAAGTCATGTGTTGCATGATACAAATATTGATGATAAGGTCTCGACACTAAAACAGTCATTCAATCATTTTGTTTTTAAAATCCAACTATATACCTGAAAACGGTGGTTGTGGCGGCTTAAACATTCCCAAAATAGAAAAAAAGACTCAGCGTTGCGTTACATTATGAAATGAAACACAATCTTAACAATACTGCACATCTTTAACTACGGCTGAGTTTCATGCATGTTAAAAAGCGAGTTGTATTTGTCAAGGTGTAGTATGACAAATCAAAACTGTGTATAGTTGGAGTAGGAATAAAAATTTAAAACTCCCCAAGTTGAAATTTTCGACTTCCGACAAGCTTGCAAACGTCTAACTATGTTTAGGACAGCTTGCGTTAAAGCCAGAATTGGATTTGAAGTAAAAAAAATTCTTAACCAGGTCCAAAGTTTGTTTTGAGTTGTTTTGTAGCCGCATAAAACAGCACAGTCTTATGAAAAATGAATGTCATATTTTTCTAAACACAAATTTAATTTTACGATTTATTCAATAAGTGAGAAATTTGCTGGTAGGATGCTTTAAAAAAATTGAACAAATTTTTTTTTGTTTCAACATCAGAAATATATAGAAAGATGATTTTTAATGGTCGATAATAAGCTTCCTAATATTCGATATTTATTTCGCTTTATCAATAAGTTCGTAACAATGACATCATCTTATTCCTGTAGATCCGGGAATCATTTTCAATACTCTACCAAGTGGAGAATTTGACCGAATAAAAAGAATACTCTATACACGACTCCTGCAATTTGCTGAATATTGTTTTTCTGAAACATATCATACCCTGTAACTGCAATTCTAAGTAATACCACAGGAGAAGAAGAATCAAATGCATGTCCAGGATTATATGCGAAAAGTGTGTTACAAATTCACGTACACTGAATTGTTGTGTTAGGGCTGCCCAAGCGAACCAAATATTCGAAATCGAATCGAATCGCAAATTATTCGAATCGTTTTTCGGCTAATTTTCGAATCGCTAAAATTAGGTACCTGTACATAAAGCGGAAACCACCTTTACGGGATGTTTTTCATCGGGCAAGCGGCGGCGCTCCGAGCTCAGACCACTCTTGCTCCCGACTTAATTGGTTTCCCGATATTTCTCTCGCCTTCATTTTGTGATAAACATGTCATTACTAATGCCCGCCCGGTGGCACGTGATTAGCCATTTCATGCATGGTCATCATAACAAGGTATAATTGGTCATGACGTTTTTGAGAGAGAACAGGAGAAAAAGGAGACAATTTAGAAAACGATAGTTCCATAAATAGAATCGATTTGAAGCTGTTGAGTTAGTTATCATAGGAACGTGGTACAGGCAACTCAAAGCTGAAACAGGTGTTTTGGGATCCTTATGATGGCAATACCTTCTTTGAATGGAATTTGTAATTTCTTATGAATTACTATATTATCCATCTATATACCAAGACAAATAATTGCACTCTTGCATTTTGATGGCTGTTGTACACTAACAATATTATGGTCGTCAAATAATATTGTCATCAAACCAGCTTGGAAATTTTAAATGCAATTTTGAACTTTAGCAACAGTTTTATCTATGTTGATGGCTGTTATTATTTTGCTGAAATTTACACAAAAAAACATAAGACTAGTGAATAGGATTAAAATAGCATCTACAGACTTTACATGTCCTATTAAAACTGAATCCATCAGAATTGAGATTGCAATTTTTGAATAGTGCAACTTTTACTCTTAACACTCAACAGTTTTCGAGACCCAAATTTTGAGGTCCTCCAATTTTTTTGACTAGTTCATACAAGCGTGTGATCTCCTTTCATAAATCTGAAAACATTGTATTGCAAAATACCAGCAGTAAGTAAGATGTAACTGCACATACGTTACCACAACATCGAAGGGCAGACGTTTATTGTATAATAGAGACAGATTTAATATTGCGCAATAATATTCGATTATTCGATTCGATTCGGCGAAAATATTCGATTCGAATCAAAAAATTATTCGATTTTGGACAGCACTACAACTAGAGTATTTATTAACTATTTACAAATTCGTAATAACTCATATTTATTTTACCAAATTGTTTGTATGTGCAAAATACTTTACCTTGACATCTTGGTCGACTCGGTACCCAATTCTTGTTTTGACAAATCACAAACGAAACACTAGGAAATGGCTGAAACCCAGCATTGCACTTGAACAAAATTCGTTCACCATTTTTATAGGTCATTTTATCTGGTGTGAGGTTTCCATTGGATATGCTTGGCTTTATTTTAGTTCTATTATAAGTTCAGGAACTAGCCAAGTGGCTCCCTTAGTATTTGTACTTGAAATTGCCTAAACCGGTACACAAACTATGTTCCGTTGTCCGTCATCTTGGTTCACATACTTCGGGAGCACCCGAAATTTAATACTCTCGTATATCTGGTTAAATTTGTGCCACCGATAAATCTTGAATTCTTGTCGCCACTAATGCAAATATGTGAGGTTTGAGTAAAACAACCTCGCCACGGTTTTGAGTAACAAATCGATGATTATCCAGTTGGGATTCAAATTTCCAGTCCAATCTGCATTCCTAACTCTAACTGGTAAATTAATAACTTTTCTTATCTTGATACTCATTTTGTATTCGATGAATAGTGACCAGCGCTTTCAGATATATATATGTTCAATTTATTTTGAATTTACATTGTTCCTAACATTCAACTCTAAATTTCCGCGATCTCGTTTGTAATTTACTGATTAACTTCAACTTCATTAAAACACTTTCTTGAATTGGGACATAAAATATAAATGCTTGTAAATAGTTCCACAATGTAATAATCGAATCAATTTTATATCTTCTTCAAGATATAAATATGGGATTTGTGAATTGTTCGTTTATCACTCTGCTCCATGTTCACAATACTCAAATAAACACTCACGTGACTGGGTAATCCCGCCAAGTCCTGAATGGAAGCAAAATGAATTAGTGAACGATAAGTAATTCGACTTGTTGGGGATCTAGCTATTTGTTTAAACATAGGTGACTAAAATTGAAGCATTTTCACATCATATTTTTGCAATTTAAACGTATCAATAGGTTCATTAACGACTTATAAACTGTCGAGATTACACTAACACACTACATTCCCGATACCCAGGTGTTTTGATGAAAATATTGCTGATAAAGACGCGACACAGAAACAGTTATTTCATCATTTAAAAAAAAATCCAAATATATACCTAGATGTGGTGGTAGTGCTTGAAAACCAGTTTGTTCTGAAATAAATAAAATATACTACGAGTAATACATTCTACACATAAAATACCAGCTTTTAATTATGTTTCACTTCAATTTTGACTAAGATGCAGATATATTCAAATGCTCAAAAGTGGCTAGTTAGCAAGTGTAAACATGTATATGATGTATATCAAAATCTTATTCGGAACTTCATGATTTAGATAATTGGATTCTGGAATGCAAATTAAAATCAAATGAAAAAAAACTTGCAACACCGAACAATTCGAGATGAAATTTTGTTAGCATTGTGCGAAGATCTCAAGATTTCAGTTTTTATTCAGTCATTAGGACCTGGAGTCGAAGTGAACATTTTAGTTGAACCTAGATTTTGGACGACGTTGACCTAAACCGTGAATCAGACCTGTGACAAACAAAAGCAGGCCAAAATTCGGCACACGAAGCAGTAAAGCTGGACATTCTCCTACATTGGTTTAAAACCCCCAAATATCCACTTATAGGCACACGGACACAAATCTTTAAATTTGACACAAACTATTGGAAAATTGCCATTCTTAATACGTTGATTGATGCACAAAAAAGGTGTAATTGTACTCATTATGCAATGTTTTGTCATCATTGCATGAGTTCAACATTTTGTTATAGGTTTCATTGCTTTTGCAAGAAAAACACTGAATTCTCAGAGTGTTGCTTGTTAGTTGTAGCCATCTTTTTATGTGAAGATTGAGGAAACATCGATATCGTTATTGGCCTAGTTTTAGAAAACTATCGGTATCGGTTTAATAAGGCAGTATCGGTCGAGTCCTATTCACAATACTCATAATAATACTCACGTGATTGGGTAATCCCACCAACAAGTCCTAATCCTGAATAGAAGCAAAATGAAATATGGTGAACAATAATTCGACTTATTATGTTGTTATTATATAGTGTTTTTAGATGGATGTGCAAAATAAAACATATAGTTTGTTATAAATTTCGTCGTCTCTTCTTTGTACGATGTGGATAATTTATTGTAATCTAGTTATTCGTACATTCAGAGGTGAATAAAATTAAAGCATTTTCGTTTCATATTTTTGTAATTTAAACGAATTACTAAATTCATTAACAAATCATAAAATGCCCGGCATATACTTAAATGTAAATATATACCTGTAAGAGATGGCGGTACTCCAAAAGCAGTTTGTTCTAGAATAGATGAAATATACAATTAGGTCTATATATTATACACATAAAAACATGCTTACAATTGATATTGCTTCAATTTTGGCCAGGGTGCAAATATGTTTAAATGCTCAAAAGTGGTTAGTTAGCAAGTGTAAACGTATATATGACATATATCAAAATCTAATTTGGAACTTCATGATTTATATCAGGGGTGTGCAACCTTTTTCGCATGCGGGCCAAATATCAATAGCCGGGTGAAACCGCGGGCCGCACCTACATTTAACACTTTTCAAATTCAGCTTTCTATTAGTTGCAGGCACAAAATGATGTCTTTTTTTTATTGATCTCATGTCATCATTAGGGTTCCTTGCAGAAATGATGAGTTAAAACGCATACATTTTTTAAAACGGTAATTCAAATGAAGCGCTAGCAATTCGAAATGACGCCCATTTTAGAAAAAAATCTTTTACCGAAAAGTGCCATATTTGAAGCCATGACTTTTTTCAAATGTGGAAAGTTATCTTGGTTGAGATGTTTTCAGTAAAATACGCCAAGATTCATTTCCAAATAATTTGCTGTCAAATCTTATTCTGGGTTAGGGTTAGACAAAATCATCTGATAGGCTGGAACCAAAACTCAGTTAGCTTTTGTATCTTTTAATATTAATTTTTTTTAAACTGCTCTCCAGTTGCCTCCGAAGGCCGCACAATTTTCCTTTGCGGGCCGCATTTGGCCCACGGACCGCACTTTGCACACCCCTGATTTATATAATCGGATTCTGGAATTCAAATTAACGTAATATGAAAAAGCTTGCAACACCAAACAATTCGTAATGAAAATTTTTGTTAGCATTGTGCGAAGTTCTCGAGATTTCAGTTTTTAAATTCTTCTCCCGTGAACTTTCCCTATTCAGGATAAACCATCAGTTTTTGAAGAATTGAGTAAATAGACGAATATAATATCATGCTAAATATTTCGGGCGTACAAGCTCATGGTTAAATACAAATTCACAAATACTAAATAAAGTCCTATGCAGTGTGAACTCACGAACGGGTGAACACGTTTGAATTTCTGGCACCCATCGACCGCTGTTACAAGTGGACCGCTTCATGTTAAAGCCGTTGAGGCATATGACGCCGATAACATCACCGGATGAATAACTATTCTTTATTGGCAAATATCGTCTATTCGAGCCGGACGGTGGTACTGAGCAAATTGCGGTCGGTGCTTTAAACTGAGCTGAAAAAGATAGTATAGTGAGAAATTATTAAAACTATCCTAATCTTAAAAACAGCAGTTCAATAAAATAGTAGTTTCGAATCTTACAGATTTTCTAAAATATAATGTTTCCTAATGTCTGGTTAAACTTATTTTTGAGATAAAATAGATAAATCAAATATATATGTAAAGATACAAAACAAATATTTCTCGATTTCAAAGCGCTACTAATAGGGCTACTATTAAACATTAAACAACAAGCTGCAGATTACTATCCTGATTGTACCTGGAGTTGGTGGTAGTGCTCCAATAAACTGAGCTGAAAAAAAGGTACAGTTCGTGAAAAATTATTAGATTTATTGTGAGCAGTTCAATAAAATAGGATTCATCACTTTGAATTTTTATTTTCGGTATGTTTCAAACCAGGGTGGTCCGGACTCAGGCCCGCAGCCATTATCTGTGACCCGTGTCGCATTCCGAAAGTAATAAAAAAATTGCACTTGGTGTTGTTTCGTCATAAAAATTAACCAGAAAATTTTTTAATGTCACTGAATTGACTACTGTTATGGCTTGCTGAAGCACTAGCAAAGTTGAATGATGTGCTTGGCAGTCTTAATTGTTATCTGTCTTTCTATTATTTTAATCAGGAATATATGCTAACAATTTTAACATCATAGAAAACTAAAATCGAATGCGGATTCTATTAGTCTAGGTTGGGTATGCCTGATAACTAAATATTAATGTTATGACCTAACAATATAATCCATGCCGGGTGTTTTAGCAACCAGCCTAAACAGTATTACAAAATGCTGCTGCCTATATGTCAGAAAATTTAGTAATTACCCTTCTGTACCTCAAGTTTGATAATCAATCAATATACAGTTATTTGTAAGGTATTTTGTAAACATGAGCTTGAAAAGAAAACTGACAAATTCAAACAGATTTTTAACTGAATATAAGAAAAAATATAACAATGCTTGCTTGATATGTTGTCATGTTGTGTCGGTGACAAACGAATATAATCTAAATCGGCATTTCAGAATTTTGATCTTGTGATCAAGGAGCATGTTCCAAAGTTAAGATTTCGCTTAATAAATGTTCAAAAGCACTTACATTTGCGGTAGCACTTTTCCAGTATTAATTAAGAGTTTGAAATCTTACACTAAATATAGATATAGAAAGACTTTTGCAGGTTTTAACAAGTTTTTTGTGTGTTTGCACAATAAAAGCGTTTGTTTTGTACACTGTTTACCCAATATTGGCACTATTGTGGCCCGCCAACAATGCAGAAATATTTTTGTGGCCCCCGGACCCGAAAACCTTGAACCACCCTGTTCGAAACTATCTAGTTTTCTAATGTCTGGCTAAATCTATTATATATATAGAAAACTAGATAAATCAAGTATATGTATATAAATAAATCTACAAAACAATAATTTCTCGTTATGGCTCCTATTAAAAAATTCCTGAAAACTTTCGGAAAGTCTACAATCAAGAATCCTCTGATAAATATCGCGTTATACCAAGCAGCAGTTTTCTAACAAACTAACGAAAACAAAATGATTAATATTAGAACTATACAAACCATTAGCATTCACCATAATCGAAACACTGGCAAAAAACTGCAGCACTTTCGCGGTATCCATATCATTCTTGGATACACACACAATTTATATAATAACATGTAAGCTCTATATATTGTTTCAATCTTTAAAAACACGATAAAGTAACACAATATTAAAAATCAACGTTTTATATAGAGTCATTCACACTGGTATTTACTACTAGAAACTTGAAGATCGACTGAGATAAATTGATATTTATTTTTCAGTCGCAGTGTACCAGTTTATTAGGGAGTGTATGGGACGCTGTCAATTTGAGCAAGACGTATATATATATATATATACCCATAGAATTTGACTTGCAATACTAAAGAAACATGAACTCAAATTAAATTCTACTAAGAATTAAAAACCGAATAGAGAGATATTCTTGTATAATCGAACACAAAGACGTATGCAAAATCAAGCCGTTGCAACTGACATGGTGGGAAATTAAACAAAATTTTTGATAAAAAATGATTTATTGCCCCCCGGCGTATTCTTTACATTATTTACTCTAACACTACTTTTCGTCCTAATCTTGCTTTGTGAACATAATATAGGCTATCTTATGCATTGCCTATGAGTTTATTATTTATGCAAAAACATGAAAATATGCAATACCATCAGTTTAACTTGAGAAAGATTTTATCGATGTACATGCCCGGGGCTCATACGACTAATTAACAAATTTGGTAGGAATTTATAATTCTAAAGGGAAATTCAAGGCCTTAGGCAACTAAATGCACGCATAAAAATGTAACATATTCAGAAATGTAACCTATTTTTAATATAATCATTGTATTTGATTAAATAAATGCATAGTCCGTGATACATTTATTAAAACATGCATTTTGATGCAATTATGATGTAATAGTGTGCAGAAAAAGCTCGTATTGTTCGGCAATGCAATTCTTAAAACCAGACTTCTTTAGTTTCAAATCTGTGTATGATTGAATAGTTATAAAATTCTTCGTACAAACAACCCGTGTAATGAATATACAGGAATGTTAATCGTAGGAACTCATTTAATACTGTATTCAGTCTATAACAAGACTTGTGCTTTGAAATCCCAGTAATACGATGGAGGAATATCGTATAAATGTATACTTTCATTATTAGCAATTCGTGATTTATATCAATATCTTGTTTCATAAACCATTTTGTTTGCAATTCTGAGTTCTGAGGTCAACAACTTCTCGTCTTCAAATGACTATACATATATATGTGTGGGAGAGTGGCAGGATACATTTGCCAAGTATAAATTGGAAAACGACATGCGTGTCATCTCTTGGCATCACAAACCGAATAATCTATTCATTTTGTCTTCTCATGTTGCGAAAAAAAGACATAGAAGGTGTGCATGCTTCCACTTAGTCAAAATCCAGCATGAGGTAATGAATGACCTCGGTAAAAACAATCTTCGTTTATATTTTCCAAGCCGTGTTGAGGGGCCTCTTGTTATCGAGTGGACTGGAGTTGACCTGTCATTTTCTTAGGCTTGAATTGTCTCGAGTTCTCTTGACGAAATGACCGATTCGAATTTGGACGACTCGAAATATCAAAACATATTTCTGGATATGTGACCAATATCCGTTTAATAGTTGTTAAGACGGACTAGCCTGGCAATGAGACTACATAGGTTCAATGGTAAAACACTGTCCCCATGAATTAAGTGAAATATCGTGCCCCGCATGCAGCAGAATAAAAAATAAAAGTAATAGCCTTCTAGCTTTGTAGCTTCGAGTACTTGAAGCTTAAAGTTTGGTCCAGTAGTTGCAAAAAAATTTTCAAACAACAACAATAACAACAGTATTGTGAAAATATCCAATTATGAGATAATGATTACGGCAGACTTTGACCAGACTCTTTAAAAACCCCTTCAATGTTATTGATACAAAAATGTCAAAGTATGTTCACGTCAAATCAAAGTTATATTAGGCATGATTGCCTCAAGGCATATTTTCAAATGGTAATGCCTGCAATGACTAGTTGGACATGAAGTGTACACATGAGCCGTTTTATTTTTTATTAATATGTTGATGTTCTCATTCTACATAAATTTCCATAGACAAATCTTGAATGGGGCATCAGTGTTATCTTGCCCGACTTATTTTGAATATTTACATTTCCTTGTTTTGAATATTTACGTTCTATTCACCTTTTTTTTCAACGTGTTTTTGAATAAAACATACTTTCGCCTCACTATCTGTTACTTGTAGCTTATTGTTAGCTAGTTATTGGACACGTAGTGGACATAACGATCGTTTCAATATTATGTTGTTCTTGTTCTTGTTGTTTGACACAGAATAACACACCTAGTGGAAATATTAAAAAAACGCTTTTCTCTTCGAATACTGGAATCAGTGGTTGGAGATAAAATATTTCCCCAGAAAGATATTACTTTTATTCATTTTTAATATTTCTGTTAGCTCTGTGAGATTTGTTTTTGTTCGCTATGACGTCATTAAACGTTCTGCGGACATCGGACATCATTTTGTGTCCTACTGTACTGCTTCGCTTGGTGTGAATATATTTGTAGACTGTGATCTGACGTACGGTAAACCGTACTGTACTGCGAACAGACGTGTCCATATATTTGGGCGTAGCTCTCTTGTTTTTGAGGTGGGGCGCGAGACTTGACAAATCCGAAAGTGGGCGCGGCTCAAAAAGTTTGAGAACCACTGCTCTAATATGTTTGTGAGCATGAGAACTATTTAAAAAATATAATGCAAGTTAATAATACCTTGGCACTCAATTAGTAGTGAATGGATGTTACCTTCGTCCTTGACTCCAGAAAAATATCCCTATGCTTTGTTTGTTGCTTTGAGAGTGTTCTGGAGAGTTGGCGCTTACAATATGGTTAACATGTTCAAAAACACGATTTTCATTAAAACTATCGGACCACGTGCCGCTCTCAGGTCGGGCTAGTCTGTTCCAGCTAATGTGGGATATTGTTTTGATTATTGCAACTAAACTGAGAATCTTTGGAAGACATAATTACTAAACCACTGATCTAAACTACAGCACTTGGCAGATGATGATTCCAAGCCAGAAGTTCCGAATGCAGAGACATGGTGGCAAGCTGCGACCGTTCCGCTACCGCCTGAACAATTTCACAAACGCAATAAATTCAGCAATGAGAATAATCACCAGCAATCACGGGATTGGCTGCACGCTAACACAATATTTTTCTGCAAAAATATACAGAAATAGATCTGTGCAAATGTGCAGCAAGACTCTTGAATCATCTATAAAGTTATCTTCACTCTTAAATCATCATCCTTGCAATATATGCATACGGATCCACCCAGTGATGAGCTGGAAAAATCGTAACAACCGGAACGCACTTAATTCGCAAAAATGTAATATACCGTATTTCCCGGCGAATAAGTCGCTTTTCTAGACTCAAATTTTTGGCCTGATTTTTTTTTTTTGGGGGGGGGGGGGGGGGGGGGGTCGTCTTATTAGGCGAGTATGATAATTTTTTATTTTTTGTGTGTCGCTTATTGGACACGAAGTGGACATAACGATCGTTTCAATATTATGTTGTTGTTGTTCTTGTTCTTTGACACGTTTTTAAAAAGTCGCTTTTCTCTTCGAATACTGGACCAATTGCTTTGAAATTTTCAGTGGTTAAAGATTAGTTTTTTCGCTAGAAGGCTATTACTTTTATTTATTTCAAAATTTTGCGTGAATTCAATGAAATTTGATATTTCGTCTAAAATTTTGCTGTATTATTTTTTATCCATGGGAACACGGATTTTAGTCAGTGTCATGACTAGAGATGTACCGATGTATCGGTATCGGGTATCGGTATAGGCAATATCGGTCATTTTTTCGGTATCGGCCATGTATCGGTATCGGTTAAATCAAGGCCGATATTTCCGATATATTTATCTTTTTGATATGGTCCAGAATATTTTAAAAGATAAGTTGGAATACTACTTTTTAATTTATTTTTTGTCTGGAGAGATCGTGAGCTATGAGCCATACATGTCCCCACCCCCGCGAGAGAATAGGATTCACGTGTTTTTAGCTATTCATCAGCCAAACTAGCTCAACTAATTTGGCTATTTTCGCTGTCAAATTTTAATATTGACATTTTTAATATTACATAGTAATTATGAAGAAATATATCAACACAGCACATAACAAAAAGCAACTAGGCGCCCAGTTTCAAATCATACAGTGGAATTGGGGTCCTTATCAACGGCACATGGACTTTTGGCACGGGTATAAGTTCTGACTGTTTGTCGTCAAGTACGAGTGTCATTTAGTCCGTCGACATCGATAAACTAAATTCCGAAATTCAAAATATATGATAGCAATTGTAAAATATTTTATAATATAAAATAGTAAAGTAAAAAAACATCCTCGGCGGTTATAGGTAGGCCTTCTTTTTGTCGGTGCTGATTGATATTCTTTCATTTTGGCTTTGACTTATTGCGTCGACGATTACGATTAGCCATGAAATAAAATATTTGTAAAATGCTTTTAATCTGAACGTAGGACGGCGGTGCTAGAATGTGTGGGTGATATTCGATTTTCTTTTAAACACGAATAACGATATTCGAAGGTCGCGATATTCATATTAAGTTTAAATGGGACATCCGGGCATAATGAGTTTTTTTAATTGAACACCGAGATTACTAGCGTTACTGTATAACGTATCTTAATCAGTTGAAGCAAACACCAAACATTAATTTCATATTATGTGATATATATTTTTTTTTCGATCTGAAATAATGTGTACTATGAACAACGCTCAAAGACCATTGTTTTAACCCGTCTGCCCTACACAGCACACCTAATTAAGTAATAATTACATAGTATCGGTATCGGAATATCGGTAATATCGGCCTTTTTGTAGTATCGGCGTATCGGTATCGGTATCGGCGTTTTTGGCTGGTATCGGATCGGTATCGGTATCGGCGACAAAAGTGGTATCGGTACATCTCTAGTCATGACTGGCTGTACGTTTTGATTCTGCAAAATTCTTGCTACTGGAAATTCAGAACTTTTTTGAGGGTACCGTCTCCATTTTTAGAAAATCGCATTTCTCTTCGAATACTGGACCAATTGCTTTGA